GACGTGGCTCCGCTCCAGCGGCCCGATCCGGCGGAGGGTTTTTACTGGTGCGCGCGGCGGACGGGGCACCAATTTGCAACAGTTGTAGTTGACTGAGTGGTAGCGGTAGACTCTTAGCGGTTAAACGCTGTCCTTAGTCATACTTAGCTGTACGTAGCGGCCTTTAGGGCCCCACGGTCTGAGACATGTCGAGTAACACTCTAACAATCGTTGGTTCGCGTAGGCTAGCTTAGCCTATTGACTTCGCGTTCCGGAACGGGCACGCTGTGCCATCATTAATGCTCTCATAATAATAAATTCGTGACCGTGGGGCCCAGGCCGCTACCCTCGTAGCGTTCTGCAGTGCTTCCCCTTCGCGCTTCCCAAAGAAATTGTTCTTTGCGCCTTTCAATTGCGTTGGAATTGCATGCGAAGCTTGTTTGGCAATAGCAAACAAGAGAACGAACTGTATCCGCGCCGGCGGCCGCGACCCGCGCCAGCGGCAGAGCGTAACTGTTACCGCCAACAAAACGGTCTGAACCATTGCCAGGAGACGGTCGGACCCGAGGCCCTCGTTCATCTGCGCCCCCAGTCTAGATCCCCTTTCAAAGTCTTTTAGGCGCGTCCGCCCCCTGGCAAGTTCAGAGTCAGGGCGGGGTTGCCCTCGAAGGAGCCTGAGAATGAGAAGGTTAGAGGCGGGTGAGCTGGCTGAAGCGCGCAGGGTAAACTAGCGAAGACCAATTGCCGAGGCATCCTGATTGACTTGTGAGTTCCCCTAACAACTGCCGCTGCCATCATGGCGGACTTTTCAGCTTACGAAATGGCGGACGCTGTGCGGTTGTCCTTCAACGTGTGGCCGAGCTCAAAGCTTGAGGCGACCAAGTGCGTCGTCCCATTCGGGGTCCTCTACACCCCGCTCAAGCCCCTTCCCCAGATGCCGGTGCTTCCATACGAGCCAGTCCGCTGCCGCTCCTGCCGGGCTGTTCTGAACCCGTACGCTCAGGTCGATTTCAACGGCAAGATCTGGATCTGCCCGTTTTGTTATCAACGCAACCACTTTCCTCCGCACTACGCTTCTATCTCGGACACGAACCTTCCAGCGGAGCTCTACCAGCAGTACACCACAATTGAGTACACCCTCCCCTCTCGGCAGACGGCGCCCCCCGTGTTTCTCTTCGTTGTGGACACTTGCTTGATCGAGGAGGAGCTGGGCCACCTGAAAGCGTCCCTCACGCAGGGGCTGTCGCTGCTGCCAGAGAACGCCCTGGTTGGTTTGATCACCTATGGCACTCAGGTCCATGTCCACGAGCTAGGGTTTGCAGAGTGTCCCAAATCCTTTGTGTTCAGAGGCAACAAGGATATCGCCAGTCAGCAAATCCTGGAGCAACTAGGTCTGGGTGCATCTGCTCAGAAGGGTCAGGCGCCAGTCAACGCGCAGGGGCGGGACGGGCTGCCAGCTGGCGGGGGCGTCAACAGGTTTCTCTTGCCGGCGGCAGAGTGCGAGTTCCAGCTCCAAGCGGTGAGCAGCGTCCCGCATCGTCCATCAGCTTTTGAGCAGAGTCGAGTATATTTTCAGCACAGTCCAGTCGGGAATTTGATGTTGCATCCATTGAATGACTCAATGAAGGTACGGCGCTGATTGAGCACAAGCCATCGGCAATCGACATGTGGCCGGTTTGCTTAGGAGAGACGCATGCAATTTCAGAGTAAGCTCTTGGTCACAAAGTCACCCAGATTTCCAGTGGTTGATGGTTTGTTGTCTATGAGAGCCAGTTGTTCAAATTCTTAACCTCCTTGGAAACATCAATGGAAGCGGTAGCTCCAGTGTAAATGCAACTCAGCCCTTCTGCTTGACATTGCCATCATGCAAGCACAGCAAACCATAGAGCATGTTACTTTGTTGAGCCTGCGCCCGCTGAGAGCTCAGCACCTTCGGCATGAGGAGAGATTCAAAAGACTGTGCAATTGGCCTCTATCTGCAGTTGATCATAAGTGGTGCACCTCTTGTTCGCTTGCTGGTTCCAAGTTCCGAGCTTATGTGCTGGAGACAGATGCTCAAGCACAATGATGCAAGAAAGCTTCCAAGTTCTGCGCAGGTTTCTGAAAAATTGGATCCAGGTTATCATCGAATCCAGATTTGGTCTGGTCGCCACCTTTCTTCTGTTTGAAGTTTAAGGTCTGCTCGTCTTTGCCCCAATACCTTCTCCTTCTAATCAGCGCAGCGCGCCTCTGAACAGCGCAGCGCCCCTCTGAACAGCGCAGCGCCCCTCTGATCAAATGGCAGCTGTGCGAGTAAACACCAACGTCGGTGGCATGTCCGCACGAAGTACACCAACAACTGTAACGAGAACAGCAGTGAATACAATAATAATGATGGTTCAACGCCCCATCCTTTGGCAGGTACTGGAGGAGCTTCAGAAGGACCCCTTCCCTTCCTCCGCCGACTGCCGCCCTGCCCGCTGCACGGGCACCGCTCTCAGCGTCGCCGCAGGGCTCCTCGGGGCGTGCGTTCCAGGGACCGGAGCGCGCATTCTCACATTCGTCGGTGGCCCCGCGACCGAGGGGGGGGGTACGATTGTGGCGAAGGAATTGGCGGAGCCGGTGCGCTCGCATAAGGATTTGGACAAGAACGCTGCGCCGCACTACAACAAGGCGGTCAAGTTCTACGAGGGGCTCGCGAAGCAGCTCGTGACGCAGGGCCATGTGCTGGACCTGTTTGCGTGCGCGCTCGATCAGGTGAGGCGTGTCCAATGAAGGAAGGAAAGGTCTTGAGTACACTCTTTCTAGCCTAGGAGATACTGGGCGTCAGTCTCACGGTCCCTGATGTGCGGTTCGAAGCAGAGCAGAACCAAAGCGAAGTAGATGCGGCTATGAAACCGAACGTGCGTTTCGAAGCAGAGCGGAATCAAAGCAGAATCGGATGCGGCCATGACACCGAACAAGGTTCGCATGTTGTCTCGACCTGTCCGAAATTGCAAGCTCCGAAGTGGCGTTGATTGTTCAAAAACTGGCATGTCACCAGTCAGTCTAACGTTTGACACACTTGCTGCAGGTTGGGGTCGCCGAAATGCAGGTCTGTGTCGAGAAGACTGGCGGCTTGGTCGTTCTTGCGGAGAGCTTTGAGCACCCCGTCTTCAAGCAGACGTTCCAGCGCGTTTTCGAGGAGGGGGAGCATGCACTGGGGCTGGCCTTCAACGGGATCTTTGAGGTGGGGCCGAAACCGTTTGGTTGAACGGAAAGGAGGTGGCAAACTGTCTACCGGCGAACGTGTTCCTTGTTTGTCAATACGAATAGAGTCCCACACTGCAACTCTAAGCTTTTTGGGGAATCCGCAGACAAGAACACTTGCGTTTTACCACGCCCGTAGACTCTCAGCATGGCCTTCGAAAGTCGAACTTTGCCTCTGGAAGGTCTCATGTTCTGGTCGAACACAAATTTGTCGAAAGTCTGTTTTGGCAATGCCAACGCAGAATCTACGAATACAATGTGTAGACAGCTCTTTGCCACTTCGCAAACCAATCTCCCTCTCCTGTGTTCCCGTTTGTTGCACCTCTTCACTATCACAGGAGGGGTTTGCCGCATACTCGATGATGTAAAAAGTGAAAGGAAGGCGAGAAGAAAGGTCTTACATTACAACAAGGAAAGAAAGGAACGAAAGAAGAAGGGGCGCTTCGTGTCTGTGGCGAAGACAGGGCCTCAAACCACATGAGGACTTGGCTTTCGGCTCTCTGCGGCATTTCGCCAAGAAAATCTGGTAAAGTGACCGTAACAAGGACGAAAACCCTTTCTACTCCTGTCTTCAGGTAAATACGTCCCGTGACGTTAAGATCGCGGGCGCCATCGGGCCGTGCGCGTCGATGGAGGCGAAAGGCGTGCAGGTCGCTGACGTCAGCGTCGGGATCGGGGGGACGACGGCCTGGAAGATGTGCGGGCTCAACAACAGCACGACGCTCGCGACATTCTACGAGATTGTACCAGCCATGCAGGGGGGGCCGCCCGGGGGGGCTCAGGCGGGCACGCAGGCGGCGCAGCAGTTCTTCTTGCAGTTCTTGACGCAGTGAGTAGGCATTGCTGTTGTTTGGAGGGTGAATTTCCACTTGATTGTCAGCAGACGGCTGAATTTTGTTACACGCATCGTTTGGAGGGGTGATACAGTTCTTCTTGCAGTTTTTGACGCAGTGAGTGTGCTTGGCCTCTCTGGGAGGGGTGAAGGTTCAGCAGATTGTCAGCAGACGGTTGAGTGAAGATTACGAGCGTTGCTATCTGCTGCTGTTGTTGGAGGCAGGAGGCAGGCATGCACATCGCCCTTCTTCCTTGAAAAGTTAAGGCAGCCGAGTGTTTCGTGATCCACGACTATGAGATTGTTAGCCTAGATAACCAGTTCTTCGGAACGGCAGTCTTTCGTAACGGGGGACTTTGGTCTCTGAAGTACCAACAAAAGCTAATAGAAACGCACCCGAAACACGACAGTTTATGAGTTGAAAACCTTGGTTGTCCTATTCGCAGCCACCAGCACTCGAGCGGCGAGACACCGTAGCACCTCGAGCGGTATCCTGAAGACGAGTGAAGACGGAACAACCACAAAGATTGAAAGTTCAGAATTTTACGGTCGTTCGTTTTGCAGCTACCAGCACTCGAGCGGCGAGACGCGGTGTCGAGCCACGACGATCACGCGGCGGTGGGTGGACGCTGCGGACCCGGGGGTGACCGCGGAGCTGGTGGCCGGGTTCGATCAGGAGGCGGCAGCGGTGCTCATGGCGCGGCTAGTGTCGTTTAAAATGGAAAACGAGGTACGGAGGCCTCGTGTGCTGAATGCGGTTCGAATCATGGATCCTCGTGTCCTGCATCTCGACGTCGTTTCTGTGGTCTCAAGCGGAGGATGAAATAAAGCGGAGAATGTTTCATCTTGATCAGGAATTACACGGTGCAGTTGTTTCTCGTACCCGGCGTTCGCAGGTTGAGCTTTGTTTATCTTAGCTTTGTTTGCGAGTCCGGGGCTCTGAGCATAAACATATGGATGTTATTAGCTTTCGCTGGATGACCTTGTTTATAGCAGCGTGCATAGGCCTTCACAGCCGCCATGAGTAGCCTTTTCAAACCACCTACGCGTTGTGGACGACCTCTTACGAACATCTTGACCATGGTTCTTGTTGAGCCTCGTTTGATTGAGTGTACACCATCCAGAATTGGCTGGTCTCTCACTTTCTACTTTTCAAAAGCGGTATTGTAACGCGGCCTCCTCTTGGCTTTTGCAGGAGGAGTTTGATACAACGCGGTGGTTAGACAGGATGCTCATCCGGCTCGCTCAGCGCTTTGGGGACTACCGAAAAGTGAGCATCCTTTTTGGTCTTCCTTTCACGACGACTCTTGTTATCCGTGTATCTGGGTTCCGCGGTAGCCACTGTTCAACCCGTTGTCGACTATTGGCAAAGGCGAGCGATTGTGCATTCATCGTAGAGAGTTTGTAGGAATTACACTCAGAGTTTACCCTCTCTGACTGCGCAATCCCAGAGAAGAGCATCGGAGGACTGCTCCACCTCTTCAACGACCTGCTTCCTTGACGCCTTGGCATTAGTAGCCCGAGGCGCCTAGAACTTGTATCTGCACTGTCGCTGCCATATGAGATCCGCGCTCTCGTGATCACGAAGTTGTTTCTTTGTCGCCCCCCGCAATGACAGAGTTTGGTCGTTGAGCTTTGCAGGACGACCCCACCTCTTTCAGCTTCTCCCCCAACTTCTCCATCTACCCCCAGTTCATGTTCAACCTGCGCCGGAGTCAGTTTGTGCAGGTAAGGCCCCGCCTTCTTGGCTGTTCTGTATGTTTCTTCGGGACCATCGTTCATAATGTATCGCAATTCAATAAGAGGCCGACAACGTTTGGCTTGGTGCCGTCTGATACTCAAGACAACTCTGGTGGTCTGCTTCATTGAACAACTCTTGGGAGGACGGATCGCCCGGAACTTTGTAGCAAAGGCAGTCTTTTTCTCGTCGTGGACAGTGTTTCATTGGTTTCCGTTTGCACTGGAGCTCTTACAGTCGCATCGGCAACGGATCCGCGAACTTCACAACGGGACTCTGGGTGTATCATAGCACAGCCGGTTCCCTGCTTTCTGGTCAGCCGTAACCGTGCCTTAACCGGGGCTGCCGCGGTGTGCGCAGGTTTTCAACAACAGCCCCGACGAAACGGCCTACTTCCGAATGGTGCTCAACCGGGAAACAGTCGTCAACTCTCTAGTCATGATCCAGGTGAGGGCTTCCCTCTCTTTCCCTTCACAATCATGCTCGAGCTTGCTACCGAAGCTTTTTGTCTTCAGCTTTCTCGGGCTGGATTGCGTTTTGCGTGGGGTGGCTTCGAAGAAACTCTGACGACCGGAGTTACTTGTGTTGCCCATTACTCGTTCATGTCAGGATGGATCTTGAGAGAAACCAGGTAGGTAACCCCTGTGACCCTCCTGCCTCTTTGTATCAGTAGACGTAATCGACCCAAAAGGCCTAAACCGTGGAGTCGTACATCCTGCTTTGAGTTCTTTAGGCTTTACAGCCGCTTCATGCTGATTATTTTACCTACTCGTGACATGCAATTTGCGTTCTTCTGACCTACAGACCGACGACCGCAACTCTCATTGGCCCGTTGCTCCAACATTTCGAGTAACTCAACAAGCTTCCCTCTTTGGTTTGGCCACTCTCATCGTCGTACTTAAAAGAACTTCCAAGGTTTGAGTGAAAAATGACCATCGATGTACTAACCTTTTTAGATATCCGAGTCGAGACCCAGTAGAGCCCAGCATCACGTGGGGCACTCAAAAGGCCAGTCGATGGACTGTTGACCTGACGTCGCATCGCCCACACTTTGAGCATTTCAAGACCCTGAAACTACAAACCCTCAGAAGTCAAATCTATTACAAACCTTTCCCTCCTCGGTGCAGCCCACCCTGATGTCGTACTCATTCCACGGCCCCCCGGAGCCGGCGCTTCTAGACGTCGCCTCCATCGCCGCGGACACCGTCCTCTTACTCGACGCTTACTTCTCCGTTGTGGTGAGCAAACCCGGCCGCCTAGCTCGCGCCACTCCCTGTGTCCAAGTTTACTTTCATGTTTGGAGGAGGCTGTTCGGTTGGCTAAGAAGAACCTTCTTGCGCTCTGTTTCTGCTCGCCAAGTTGTGGGAAGTGCCGTCTGATAAGTGGTTAAGAGCATGTTTGTGTTTGTGCTTACGGTTGAGCATTGTGTACGAGAATCATTAGAACGCTCGAGGGACAACGTGACACTACCTGATACCAAAAGCAGTAGTAAAAATTGCGGACAGTCAATCTCTCAAGTGAACACAGATCACTCGTTGACTCCTGGGATGTGCGTGATCAACAATTCTAGTTTTTAGTGGCAGTGCTAAACCGGAAGTAAAAGTCGCAAAGAAATCAATCCTAAAGCAGGTATAGAGAACCAGCAATAATAGAACTCGGCACCCCACTTTTCCAATATCACGCTTCATTTCGACGGTGCCACTAGGGTTGCTATTACCACTATTTTTCGGACTGTGAAATCCGCATATCCGTGCTTCATTCGTTGAAATTCCACCGCAGATCTTCCACGGGTCAACAATCGCGCAGTGGCGCAACGCGGGGTATCACAACCAGCCAGAGCATGCGGCTTTCGCGGCGCTCCTAAAAGTGCCTCACGAGGACGCAGATGCGATCATACGGGACCGGTTCCCCGTACCACGTCTGGTGGATTGCAACCAGCATGGGAGCCAGGTCCGTCGAGCTTCTAAAGATTTTGAACTTCTAATCTTTTACACCAGGAGGCCTTGAAAACTTTAAAAGCGGTTCCGAAAGGGTGCAGACGTTTGGGATCGGCGTCCAGTACCGCGCTTGGTGGATTGCGACCAACACGGGAGCCAGGTTTTTTCAAGTTTCCGAAGTATCGGTTATTATACCTCAAAAGTTTGAAAGCTGATGAAGTGCTGCAGAAGGCGTGCGTGTCGCTCCTGGTGGGTTGCAATCCCGAATTATCGTCGTTCTGTGTCCAATGTTCTCCATTTTCGTGGGACCCTGGAATGTTGACACCGTAAGGCCTAGAGGCCTTAGAGGGCGTTCATTCTGATCATCTCTGATGTTATGCCCGGCGGACTGCGGCCAAGACGGGACGCAATTCTGTACTCAATGTGTGGTGATTGGGGGTTTCATCCTACCCCAAAGCTTTGATGTCGATCCTGAAACCGCAAGTTGTCTAAAAGCTCGGCCGGAAGTCAACCCTTCGATAGGGTTTCCCTAGGCCCGCTTGCCGGGTCACAATCAGAATGAAACAGAAGCTTTGCGACTTCGGGTCTTCCTGCTATTGTTTGCTCGTTATCTCTCTTCGTTCCGTTCCTTCTCTGGCTTTTCTCTGAACCCCATTTTGCCGTCTCTTTTATGCTTTTCTTTGACTGTTTCTATCTTGAGATGATTCCGCTTTCTTCGGCTGTTTGTTTGTGTCCTGTTAATTGGCGTTTCCTTCCGATTGGGAGAGCTTTTTGGTGCCCTACTTATTTGGTTTTTACCGAATATTGGTCTGTTTTCCACTTCAGTTGAGGCAACCTTGTGACAAATACTGGCAGAGGCTTGTTCAGATCAGCAACAATGCATACTTTGCTTTTGGATCTTCGAACGATTTTCTTTTGTGAGCAATATCTGGTGCGTCACTCTTTGCAGGCCCGCTTTCTGCTGGCGAAGTTGAACCCATCAGCAACGTACAACTCTGCGACTGGTCCTGCTCCGGGTGGCGACATCATATTCACCGATGATGTCAGCCTACAAGTGTTTATGGACCACCTGCAAAAACTTGCAGTGCAATCATAGATGTCCACGCCTGCTTTCCAGTCGTCCTTATAAGGCGGCTTTGCGTTTCTCTAACATAGTGTTACACGGAATAAGATTCGGCCAATCTTTTGTAGACCGGATCCGGTGAATGCTAAGGATCAATCTCTGCTCAACCCATATGGATTCAAAGACCACTAGGTGCGTGGAAATGTTATATGGATCGTTTCGCGCATCCACAACCGTCATTGTGATTGTCAATGCATGCCAGTTCGACAACCAAACCGTTCCTAAGACGTATATATGATGCTTATTCAGATGCATCACCATATATCTGGACACCATCAATGTCCATGCGCCAGCGTTTCGTTCATCAGCTTTGATATCAATCCAACGTATAAAATCCGACAAAGCTGCGGGTGACAGCATGCAATTATGAAACGGGAGCCTCGTGGCTGTCGTATGCCTGCACATGAGCGGGCCTTGAGGCTGCGTGTTTTAGTGGCCTCCCCGGGGAGCGACCAGCAACTTTGGTCTCTTTTTGTACCATTTCGCGGCCCAGCTAGTCCGATCTCTTGCCTGCCACCTCAAATAGATCAACGGCCAGGACTCGGTGACGATATCAAACTGATCTGAGCTTGGGGGGAGCGGTTGCCGTCGATGTGTCTTCTTGAGATCGGACGGTTAACCGAACCCTCGGGCAGCGACCACGCTGAACAGTACGCTGATGTCAAGTTTGACCGGGACAGCTCCGAAATTTATGGAACTGAAAGGCCTGCAATTATTGCACATGTTCTGACAACAGGATGGTAAAAGCAGTTTTAGAAACAGAGCAGAGCTCTGTTTGCGGGATGACTTCTGGTAAGGCCAGAAATGCGACCCTACTCGACTAGAAGATACCGATTCTACCTTGGTGAAACTTGTTTCTTCGATAAAAGCGGACTTGATAGCTTTTCTGTACTCAGTGTACGGACGGGGGGCTTTCCTCGAACGAAAATCTCGGAAGCTTGCAGTTGTGCTTGTCTCTGGCGTATTCGATGATCTCTGGCCTGAATATGCTGACAGAGTCTGCATCCCGCCTTATTCAACGTCGTAAATTAATCTGTATTGAGGTATTCTGACCAATATAAACATAGTCATCCGCCCGAGTTTCACCCGTTGTCTGTGTCAGAATATGATTGACCTGCAATCCGGAGGCTGTAATAAGACGAACCACGTCCTATCCACCGAGGGCAAAGGCATCCGGTCGCCGGCTGAAAGATACCATCGTATTGCATTCTTTTTCCGGCTTCCCGAGCAAATGCCCCGGGCGTTGGAGATCCGCCCCTCCAATATAGACGGATTTAGTAAGGAATTAATTGCAAGAAGGTTGAGTACGTACTGACCTTGTACGGTGCGGTACCAGCCACGTGGAAACACTCGTGGTTCTCCACGACTCGGACTCCCGAGCGGCGAGCACTCGATGACTGCGCAGTGCGGAGCTGGGCATGCACAGTGTGCACAGAAATGAGAACGCACTTTGGCGGGGTACAGCCTGCTAGGGTGTACCACCATTGCACAGCATGTCAGGGAAAATTCGCCATGGCGCGTCAGGACTGTGTCTTCTCATCATGACAATCCCTGGTGCAAACAGCTTCTGACCGACATCCTGTGTGGTGAATCTTTCGTTTGGGTCACTCTCCCTACTCTGAAGCTGGCGCCTTCCATCAAGCCGTGTCAGCAACGGAGAGAATAGGTGATTGAGAAAGTCTGGAGCGGAATGCGGACCTTCTGAAGCCAGCTAAGCAAGCTAGCAGCTTTTATCTGACACTGGTATTGCACAGGCCCAGAGCGCTGGGTCTGTTTGTTGGAGCTGGCTGGGTGCAGATCTTCATTGTAAGAAGAATCCCCACATTGTGGAACGCGGGAGGAGGGCAATGAGCGAAGACATTTGGACCGTAGTTAGGGGTGGACTGGGGCGTTCGCTTTGCGCATTCGCTTGCTCTTGGTTGTCCAAGTAGGCTTATTCGTCTGCGCGTTGTCGGACATGCTGTGGCTGCAGGTTCTACACAGAGATCTACGGGTTCTACACCGCCAATTACGCTAAAGTATGCCGCGTTGCTTGTCGATGTAGTGTGGGAAAGCGTAGGAGACTCTTAACCACTTCATGAGTGGTGGCATTCTGATACAGAGAGGGAATGCAGAGGTAATTGGCAGAGCCGTTAAGAACAGAGTCCAGATCAGGGTTTTCAACACCTAGCCTTACTTAAGGGCTTCCCTTGTGATTGTGTCAAGCGGTCACATCACTAGGGAGTGCCAGGTCAGCGACCCTGCATAGCCTCTGATGGGACAGCACACCAACCCCTCCTTAGTCTAGTTCAGGGCTCCAACCCCTCCCCCACCATTCCCTCCCCCAGCATTCACACTTGTTAAGAAGGCAGATTTGCTCAAGACGTGCTCTACTCCTTCGCATTCTGGGGTGGTTTGCCACTCACAGCTGTAGCCCATAATGCGCACGACCATCGGATCGTCAAAGCGGCCTTCTTATCATAACGCGCAAGCAGCAATGGAGGGTCAAATGAGGTGCTGCGGCTGGCTAGCGACCCTCCTGTTGCTTGCTATGTCAATGCCCCACGCGAAAGCGCAAGATCTACCGAGCCAGCCCCCCGTCTCAGTTGTCAGCAGCGGGGGCGGTCTCAGCACAAACTTGATCATCATGATCATCGTGTGCGCGGGGGGGGGCATCATCATTATTGGCGCTCTGGGGGGGCTGTTCTTAGTGTGCTCCCGGAGAAGGGGGGAGCTGAAGGGGGACACCGAAGCCCCCCCCATCGTCAAGAGCAACCATGTGGCGCCTGGTAAGTCCAGCTTACCTGCTAGTGACTGCGGCACAGGTGTGGTGACACCTGTCTACAGCTGTCGGGTCCATTAACAGCTGTCGGGGGACCTGCACCTAAGACTCTTGTGGGCAGCTCTGTGTATGGCTTAAAGGCTTCCTATGAAAGCTTCTTCCCAGCTTTGTGAATTGCATGAAATGCTATCTGGGGGGGGTCTCCCCTCGAGTTTGTTGGATGTTCTCCTAAATCTGCTTAGTCGTACTCAAGCCTTTTGGTCGGCCTCTATGGACTGTCTACCTTTCCAGACTCCACTCTACCTTTTGGCGACAGTTTGACTCCGGTTCTCAACAGCGATTGGCTCAAGACACCTCTTCTCACAAGCTGGCAGATTCTTACTGCTGCTAACAAAAACCCCCAGGGATAGCGTTCTGTGTGGTATCTTTGATGTGACTGGGCCCTGCAATTGCTTCCTCGGAGTTGAACCCAATGCATTAGCTGCCCACGCCGTTGACCGGAGAGTTTGCGCACTCTCAACCTGGGCATAAAGGGGCACTATGATTTTCCTTTGCCTCCAGTGTCTTGCGGCTCCCTTTTATTGATCCTCTTGACTGAACCAATTGTTGGTTCAGTCATGAGCTCCTAGAAAGATTGGAAGACCATCTTCAGAGCGCCAGCTGTTTAAAGGAAGGGGAAAAGTCTATTAAGCGTGCTGCTCTCTTCTCAGAGGGCATGCACAAGAGAAGTCCCGCTTCTCAAACGAAATGCTCTTGGAGTGCTCGTTCAGGTGGATAGATTGCCGCATCATCTGCTGATGTTCTTTCGGTGTCTGTTCATGTTGAGGACTTTGTGGACAACTCTTACTCGGGACTTTGCATCCAGAGGAGGGCTTTGGTAGTAAGCCAGTCTTGTCTAGAAAGTCAGCCCACAGAAAGAGCTTTTGCTTCTGTGAAAAACAATGCATGTTTCGGACCTTGACATGACCCTTGTTAACTCTCCACCATAAATGCTGGCTTTCGGGCCCTGTGAGCTTTCAAAGGATCCTTCCTGCCTCGGGCATACGTGCAAGTCCTTTTGATAACTGCAGGCTACCAATGTATTATCTCCTTGATTACAGCCCGCTTTGCTTCTTTCTCTTAACAATCTGTTGCACACTTTTCCTGTCTGAAGATATTTCAAGGTGCTGGGTTTTATAAGCTGGGGCACACTGAAGAGTGAATGTTGAATCAGTCTCTCTTCTGTCCTTTTGTGTGAGTTGATAGTGGACTTTCTCAACGACAAAAGAGCATTCATCATACTGCAAGGGTTTGAGAGGCAAATCAAGAGGTTTTTGGTTGCACACCTGACGGTAAATATGGAGAAGGTTAGCAATAGCTGCTGCCAGCACTTCACGCATCAATTGAATTGCCCGATCCAGACTGCGCCGAACTAGATTATTCTACTTGAAAGAGCCAAGGTTGGAGACCCCCGAAAGACTTGCATTCAGAACGAGGGACTTCATGCAGAAGTGCTCCAAGGGCGAAGCTTCCATCCGAACACAGACCACTGCAAGCAAGGCAACCACAAGGCATTCAATTCGACGTACACCACACGCCCAGCTTCTTCATGTACGAGTTGCTGATCCGTCTCTGCTTTTTTCTTATCAGATTGGCATGCCGCAATGGACCCATACAACGCCCAAAACGACCAGGAATACGTGGCCAAGATTTTCAGCTACAAGGAGCTACAGCTGGCCACCCGCGACTTCAGCCCCAAGCATCTAGTTGGCGAGGGCGGCTTCGGGCGCGTGTACTACGCAAAACTTTCGGACGGGCGTGTGGCGGCCGTGAAGCGACTGGACAGAGCAGGGCGGCAAGGCGAGAAGGAATTCCGGGTCGAGGTGCGTGACAAATTGACTTTCTGGGGGGGTGAAGTTTCAGCAGATTGTCAGGTTATGGATGCTTTGTGTTTCGCCCTTCAAACTCTACTTACATGGGCCTTCTGGGACGAGTATCTGTGATTCTTTCCTTGGCCATGCCTTTCGTGCTTACAGGTCGAAAGGCACTGACAAGGCACTGTCGAAGTGTGCATCAAACGTGTAAGTAATTCCGGCATTGATGAACTGCACGCAGCAACGGTACCAACTGTGGGCCTAATAACTCTGCCGGTTATGTGGCTACACATCTGACAGCCCCAAAACTCGTCTGAACCATTCGGATTTTTAGGCAACTGGGGGCCAACACGTGTCAAACGATCTCCCCGCGTAATAATAATCGCCGCGACTGTGATTCACTGACCATCATTCTAACAAGAACGACTGTCCTGCCCAGGTCGATTTGCTGAGCCGGTTGGCGTCCCCTTTTCTGCTGAGCCTGTGGGGGTACTGTGCGGATGGCGAGCACCGAGTGCTGGTCTACGGCTTCATGCCCAACGGGAGCCTTCAAGAGCATCTTTTCACGGACGGTGAGCTGAAGTTTCCAAATCTGGAAACTGGGCGACATGCTCCGACATTACCTGTTCCAATGATGAAGTTAAGGCGCAACGAGCACAGTGAGAACGCTGGACCCTGTTACCGTTGAATGATAACTTGGATACGTCGCTCTTGTCTTCTTCAGCCACTGAGCTTTTGAACTCCTGAATAACAATAATTGGATGCCGTAGTATATCGTAGACAAAGTACTTGAGCACAAGTGAATGCCAGCCAAATAAGAGCGCAGCCTTAACGGAGACGGACAACGTAAGTGCGCTCAATGCCAGCCGTAAGAAGGAGAAGCAAAAGCAATAGATTCCGTCAACTAGTCGAAAGGTTTTCTGGCCGACCCGGGAGCCCACAAGCGCTCGACTGTCGATCGTTCCCGTTCCATGCTAACCTGGGTTAACATCAGCCAACATGCGCAAACCCAAAAAGACGTAACCCAATGTGAATACTCGCAGGCCGACCTGGGAGCCCTCAGCCGCTCGACTGGGCTGCGAGACTGCAGATTGCGCTCGACGCCGCGCGGGGTCTGGAGTATCTCCACGAAGTGGCGCAACCGACGGTCATCCACCGGGACTTCAAGTCGAGCAACGTGCTGCTGGACTTCAACTACAGGGTGAGGGGGAACTAAAGCGCGGACTCTTCTCGGTCGTTTGGTATGCTTTTAAGAACGCCGTTTGGGAGCTTTTTGGGATGGAAGCAGCTTCACAGAAGAGAAGAGGATTCTTAGTATCTGTGACGTTAAGATGCTTACGCCGATTGCAATCTCGGACAATCAGTACGATCATAGGAAAGGCCACATCTCGCCGTGTTCGTCACTGTCCTCCTTTGGCTGTTTGAAGCTGACGTCATTGCGCGCTGTCCGCAGGCCAAGGTGTCCGACTTCGGCCTCGCGAAGCTGAGCCCGGATAAAGGGGAATACGTCAGCACACGTGTGCTGGGCACACAAGGCTACGTCGGTAAGCAGTGCGCATCGGCGCTGAAGAACTGCGAAACTGTTGTAGATCATCGATCGAATTGCTAGGAAAGGTCCTTAACAGCGGAGCCTTCATGATCTCGTTGTATCTTCCGCTCAAACGTCTCTGTTGTGAAACCGCTCCAAAGTACTTCAATACAACGTCGTGTTCTTTGCTAGCCTGGTGACTCAACAGCACCTGAGTACGCTCTAACGAAGCATCCGCGCTATCAAGATATTTGCTTGTGCATTTACGGTGTGAAGATTTTCGTTCAGCGTTTGCTCCAGAATGTGGAGACTTCGAACCCGGTACGAGTGCAGCCTGACACGTGGCCTCTTTTGCAGCGCCCGAGTACGCCCTCACCGGCCATCTGACGACCAAGAGTGACGTGTACAGTTACGGGGTTGTCCTGCTGGAGCTTATCACCGGGCGGCCCCCAGTAGATCCCCGGCGCAAGTCGGGCGAGATTGTCCTGGTTCCGTGGGTGAGTTTGGCGTGGCTCTTCTATCGTTGGTTCTTCGAGCTTTGATTCTCGCTACCCCCCATCCGAAGAGTCGATGGGCGAGCGAGTTCTGATGATGGTTTGCGTCGCTTGGCTTTCGTTCTTGGTCATGGCTTGATTATCATTTCTGGATTCACAGCAGGTTGACCGTCTCTGAGTGGCTTTATTAGCTGACGAAGTCTTTGCCACTTTTGCTGACGTCGTTACAGCTGACGGAAGCAAGGAGCTTCTTGTTGCTCGATCCGCGACCGGCGACGCTTTTTGAGTGGTCTCGTTCCATTGGTGTAAGTTAGGAGATTGCGTGCTCATCATGAACCCGGCTGACTTAAGGTCCGGCAATCTGTCTCTTGCTTACAGGCGCCTGACTGCAAATACGTCCAAGGGGTCGTTATTCAGCCCTTGACCCTATTGCGTAACCTTGCACTTAGAGTGCTGACGTTACAAACCTAGAACTCTGAATGCCAAACCCCAAATGCGTGCGCGTGGGCATTTTTCTTGCTTGCTGACCGCAAGCAAATCGAAGAAAACTCAGGAAGGGGCAGTTTCTGTTGACCGCATGGCAGTAACTCTAATATGTTACCTTGGTGCTCTCCAGATATTGTGGACCCTGGACGGCCAATAAGTAACGTTAGCCTCGAAGGTCTCGGAGCCCCAAACGCCCCCTACACTGATCAACAAGCCCTAAGCCTCAAACCCTCCAAAAGCTTGTGATTCAGGTGATGCCCGTCCTCAGTGACCGCCATCGGCTGCAAGAGATTGTGGACTCGCGTTTAGAGAGCCATTACTTAAGTAACCTTAGCGTCGCAAGGCTCAAACCATGGTTACAAATCTGAAACCCTTGGTTCCCAAAACCCGTATTCTATCCGGTTCAGGTGATGCCCATGCTCGTCGACCGTCACCTGCTACAAGAGATCGTGGACCCGCATATGGAGGGCCAGTACTTAACCTTGTTACTTAACCCAAACCTTTGCCTTGCGTTGTCCACAAACCTTGAACCGTTTGTAGAACCCTAAAAACCGAGTATTTCTTTCGGTTCAGGTGATGCCCATGCTCGTCGCCCGTCACCGGCTGCAAGAGATCGTGGACCCGCATATGGAGGGCCAGTACTCAACGTTACCTTAAAATGGTCTCAAAATCCCAAAATCTAAAAAAACCTACATACTTTCTAAACCCGGAATTTGTTCCGTGCAGGTGATGCCTCTGCTCGCCGACCGCCGTCGGCTGCAAGAGATCGTGGACTCGCGTGTAAAAGAGCCAATACTTGACCTTAGCATTTCAAGGCTCAGAACCCTGATTACAAGTCTGATACCCTTAGTTTATAAACCCCTAAACCGAGATTATTTCCCGTGTCAGGTGATGCCCATGCTCGTCGACCGACACCGGCTGCAAGAGATCGTGGACCCGCGTTTGGACGGCCAGTACTCCAACAAAGACTTAACCCAGCTGGCGGCAATTGCCGCGATGTGCGTGCAAGGCCAAGCGGACTACCGACCGCTAATGCGCGACGTGGTGCAGTCTCTGCTGCCCCTGGTGATGAATTCGGTTAGGTCGAGCTCCGGGGGGGGCAGCGGGGGCAGCGCGGGGGAGCGGAGGAAAAACAATGAGGAGGTGGGTTTGTAGAATAGGGTTTTGGGGTTTTGAGATTCAGGTTTTGGGGTTTGGAGAAAAGGGTCGTGGGGTTGGAGAATAGGCTTTTGGGGTCTGTAAACTCGTACAGTCTTGGTGGGCGTAAAATTCGGGTCCTGCTGAGGTGTTAGTCGATCCAAGGAGCACACAGGATATGCGGTCCTGTTGGTTTTAAAGCCAAGGCGGTCGTCTTGCTGAAGATCAAGTCTTTCTTGTCCAAAACCTTGGTCTTTTTTAGACTACTGGACCAGTATACATCTTTACCCTGCTTGGCCTTCTCTCCCGGAAACAAACATGTGGGTCGCGTGCTTGCTTTCTAGATCCATGTGCTGCTCCTCAAATTGCATTTGATCTCGCATTCTCCTTGCATCGCGTGCTGATTCCGCCCATCTGATCCGGTTCCGTTTTCCGCCCCGCAGCTGTTCCTCGCCCACATGGCCGAGGCCGAAGTCCGCAAGCAGGACCCGCAGCAAGTCAATTCGGTGAGCAATTGCGCGACGATAGAGCGCCACGTGGCAGCATCCGCGACCATTGCAATCAATGCTCAGCTTTGCTTTCCCATCTCCGCGTTTGAAGGGGCTTTAGAAGCTGACTCTGCTCCGCTGCACTACCTATGTTTCGATTTCTCTGAATATCATCTTGCAAGATACAGTTGCTGTGACTCAAGTGGTGTGTTTGGTTGAATCTTAACCCTGACCCTTGATACGTGCTGGGATCGCAGGAGCACTTTGAGAGCCGCGAGTTCACGTCGCAAGAGTTCCAGCACGCGGTGGAGGCCCGTTATCCGGTGAGCCGTCGAAACGGACACCGGATCCCGGAAAGGTTTAACGGAAAACGGAAAAGAGATCAAAAGTGAGGTTTTTGGGACTCATACTGGGTTTAACCATGACGAAGCTGTGGCTCGTAAATGTTCGGATGTGGCTCGTTCTAGTTATCATGTCTGCGCGTTCTGCAGAGAAGGTGTCTCAACCTTTTCCCCCGGCTATTTGCAGGGCTCCATCAAGGGCAGGCCCGATTCGGCCAATCGAGAATCAGCCCCTCCCGCGGGGGAGAACGAGGATCACGTGAGTACCGTTTCTCAATGCCGGACGCTCACGCATCTTCAAAGCAGTCCGCAACGCTCGAGAAACATTTAGGAGGATCCCGCTTTTTCCCATGCTGCGCTTGAGTGTCAACTATCTGTGTCGCGTTTGCAAGCTGACCGATTATCCTGAAGCAACTGATGTGACATCGTGGCTCACGAATCTAATGCGACGATCGGTCAACCGCTGTAACCGATCGGAATGGCGTGAATTCTTCCTCTCAATGATTTTTTGGAGCGAAAGCTCGAGACCCGTCAATGCAACTGGGAGACCAGACGGCCAGAATATGTTGTCAGTCATCTGACCGGTAGACCATTCTCGGTCATTTTCAAGATTCCAACCGTATAGCCGGCCTTTGCGCGTTTCGCGAATGGCACGTCATGTCTCCTGAGAGATAAGCCAGTTTGCACTGGCCTCTAACTCATGTTGATTAACCAGTCACTTTCTCTGGATGGCTAATTGCAAGCTCAAACAGAATGCATCGAAGGGGATATACAAGTCCATGTGCAAGCAGCTGGCACGCCCCGGAGCATCCCGGAATCGAAAGGTATTCGCTCTTTCCACCCTCCAGTCGCTGAAAGCCTCTTCTCTTCCCGCCAGGTGTCAACTGGAGATGCGTCCGAGGGGCGCTCGGAGCCCGGGGGATCCCCCCGGGGAACCGACTTCTACGACGCCCTCAGCCGTCAGCCCTCAGGGAACGGCTCTGAGAATTTCTCACCGGGTGGAAGAGAGCAACCGGGGGAGGACTCCGAGGCAGAGGAGCGCAGCAAGGCGCTGGTGCACGACGGGTGGAAATCGACGCCTTCTGGCCAGGTGTGAATGCGCCGTCTTCGCCTTTTCTGCTGCGAGAAATCTGTTTAAAACTGCCCACCTTAGCTTCTTCGCCTGGGCAGGGCGGAAAGGTCCCACTTCAAACTGTTTGTTTGTACTCGGAACAATTGTGCATTTTGTTGGAAGCAAAGATACTGAGGAGTTTGATACGAGAGATTTCTTGGGAGTGTTTTGTGCATTGGATACTTCAAACTGCAGTCTTTTGAGAGTTGTTTACGACTCTGTGAGGCAGAAAGGAACCTACCGAGGGTCGAATGTCCGGCTTGCTTGAGCGGTTGCAACATACCTGATCCTCGAGCATTTGAACGACACTTCTCAGCTCAACCCTTTAAAACCCTCGTATATCTTCGCAATATCACGAATTCGGAAACTCCCAACACTGCCGTCGGCCTTGCTGCTCGCTTGGGGTGTTTTCAACATCACAATCCTTCGTCGTCAAATCACTGAGCCGCTAAACCCTGGTTATCCTTCGCAGGTTTACGTCAGCCGTGACTATGACAGCAGCGATCTGGAGAGCCAGTACGTCCATCCCGGCTTCGACGTTGGAGCGCTCGCGGCCACCGACAGCTACAGCCGGGGGCCGATTTACACTCCCGAAGGGCCGATTTACTCTCCGCTAGGACCGAGTAACTCTCGCGAGGGGCGCACTTACCCCGTCGAGCAAATAATCCACAATACCCGTAAGCCAGTCTTTCACCCCCAGGAGCCAATTAACACTGCCCCGGAGCCAGCTCAGGAGCGTATCTACGCCGCCAAGGAGCCGGTTAACACCGCGGACCGTTACGAGTTCGAACGGGGCCGTTTCAGCACCCCCCGGCGGGCCGGCAATCGCACGCCCGACAGGGGGCCCGTCAATTCTCGCGGGAGGGGGGGGAGTTACACCCCCGAAAGGCTGGGCGGGCGGGGCCCCCCCCGGCGGTTCTCCCCGGGCCGACCCCCCCGCCCACCATCCGGTGAAGTGCACGAAATCGAAGAGTTTGAAAAAATCTCAGTACGGGGTAACGGCGAGTTACGGGATCATTTGGACGGGGTTAAGCGAACCCCGGCGGGCGAGGTTTACGTGAGCCGGGATTATGACAGTGGGGAGGTCAGGCGGTCGGTAGAAAGGCACTGGGACAAGGTGGAGAGTTCGCGGGAGGGGCTGTTGCCCCCGGGGCAATCTACCGGGCGGGGTTGAGGATTTCAATCACTTTTGGAGCTAAGACCAGGGCTAAAACTCTGTGACGGAGCACCCAAAGACTCGTGTTGTGGGCTAATCCATTTGTTTTCAAGGTCGGTTCTGGATCTAACAAAGTGGCACCTTCATTTGTTTTTGGTGGGGACAAACGGCTCATTCTGGACGACTGCTGGAGATCGGAAAGTTTGATTGCGGTGAGGACGCGACGGGGCCTTCGAGTTTGAAAACGGAGGAGTTGATAGAGCGATTACTTTCGCAGAGCACCCGGGATAAGTATGACTAACCACGATTGGTCAGGACTAACTAAGTTTTGAGGGGCGTACATATAGGTCGTGTTGGGGATGATGATGGACGTCGGGCGGCTAAAAAATAACGCGCGATACGCTGATGAGCTGGAGAAAGTGAGCTGGCAGCAAACGGCTCCTTGGATATTTTCTTAGTAGCGTCTATAGTTGCAGGCTGTCTAAGCAAATGCATTGAGCATGGCAAGCTCCGCCATAATCGTTGTAGACTTCATTTATTGGACGACGGTCAAGCATGCAGGTATGGTCCGATCACGTCGATCCGACCGTTGTAGGGTTAAGAAAGTCTGTAATCTAACGTACGTTTCAGTCTTTATTTATAGTCTCGTTTTGCAAAGTCTCTGCCAGTGCGGCCATAGGCGGGCTACGCATACCTGGAAAACGTTCAAGTCGAGAAGTCGGCTTCAATAGGGTCAACCTTTAGGGGCGAAGTTTTCGGTCGGATCAAAGTTCATACACGGGGAGTTTCTTGCATCTCTCCATAAGGCTGTGATTAACATGAGATCGAGTGAGGCGACTGAAAGGGGTAACGAGTTTTGTTGTGATCCCGATCGCAGTTTTGGGCCGCATGTCACAGGTGTCTTCCCTACGATCTGCAATTCCAACATATCCAGGTGAACAAGTCGGACGGTCATGTTGGATATGCAAACGCAGCGTATACATATGAATCATGCACGGTGCATAATGCCAGAAAGAATGGTATGCATCCGTGTCTGCATCCAAGATCTGATTTCTGGGTACTATGCCACGTATAGTGTATCAGCCGTCAATTATATAGCAATGGAATCCTGCTGTGCATGGCCATGCTCATGTCATACAGGTGCAGGCTCATGGATATTCGCTCGCATACAATATGCTTTAGTTCAAAATAGTCAGCACACCTTAACATATGTGCGCTAAACAAACCTCAAAAGCAATCCACATCAATCACGTTCAAATCTTTTGAAAATTAGAGTCGGAATACGCAACGTGACCGATCAGCTTTCAACCATCTCAATAGTACAATATTCAAAAATCAAGATGCTACAACGCCTTGATAGGTAATTACCTGATGGACACATCCTATCCCGACAAATGGGCCTGCAACAATTTCAGTCCCCTTGTTAAAGAGCTACAATCGAAAGATATCGTTGCCTCATAATACGCGTTCCTTCAACCGTTCTGTAACAAATCAAGCTACAATGATAACAACCCAATCTAATGTTGTACAATAAACAAGTCTCCCATGTGCTTCGAAGTTCGACATGCAACAGTCACCAAGGGCTTCTATTAATGTATGTCTGCAGCAGGGGACCTTAAACGACCGAGATTAGTCATCAAGTGGCTTTAGCCCCCCGCTTCCATCTTCAATGAACTATGTGTCCAAGGCTCCAATTGACCAGCACTGCTTATCCGTCTCGCGTGCTCCTCCCCTCGCTGCATCATGTGGTTAATCCACTCCCAAGTACCTTCAGGCCCGGGGTTGTCCCCGTACAACTCGAGAAACCGGTTACCTCTTTCCTTCATTTCCGGATCCTCGTAGGGATCCACGTACAATGTATGCCTCCTAGGATCTATGTTCAGCGCAAGCCGGTCTGCATTGATCGACCCGTCTACACAACGGGAGCCCCTGTACTCAGTCCAAATGTGGCCGTTTATGAAGATTGGAATGTGGACCGAGGCTAGCGCGCAATCTATCAAATCCGCTTTGTCTTTGAAGTCCGTGACTGGGACCCTCTTACAATGAAGCCCCGTCCGCAGCCCTGGCAACTCGAGCACAAACAAATGGATCCTCCCATTGCAAAGCTCAGCCGCATTATCGGGAAGCAAGTCCCACAACCACTGCCGTATCAGCCTCCCCCAAACCAATGCTAGCTTGAGCTTCCGATCCCAAAGCTTCTCATCTATTGAAAGTTGGAAAGCATGTTCGGCCGCACGCCGCATGTCTACTCCGCAAGCTGCTAGGACAGACGCAAGCGCGCCGGCGCTCGCCCCTGACATGTGCGCTGTGGTCATGTCAATCTCGTCTTGGAGGATGTTCACAACGCCAATCATCCAGTAGAAGAACATGCCGCCTCCTGAATAAGGAAGCAAGACTTAGACTAAGATCCACTTGTCGATCCTCAGGAGGCTGCCACATGTGGCCACTTTGGAGCTTTGATTTTTACCTACAGCTCCCCTGATTAACCGTCGTTTTAAACACTTCCTAGGTTTGTGTAGGTAGTGGGATAGACGGACAAGGGACAAGCAAAGCTGCGTTCTTTAAGAACAGCACTGCCAAGAAGTGCTAGTAGTAGGGAAACTTGAAAGAATACCCTCGAGGCAATTGCGGTTTTACTCCTTCCTTGGCTTTTGCTCAGCAGCATGAAGTTGCTGGCATCTGCCAAATCAACATATCACAAACATGGCTTGAGTTCAAATACACATTGTTAAAGTACTGGAAAGAAAGAAACCAAACAAAGAGTGACGTACCTGGAAAGCATATGATGGGAGGCAAGTCGGGCGAGAGCGGCGTTGCCTCAGCCGCCTCTTCAAGCTTTCTCGCCTCTGGGGACATGCTGTTTGTGGATAGACTGAGAAGCGAGGCAGCCTGAGACAGCACCCCTACACTCTTTGCCCTAGGAGCTGTGTAGAACCGGGCGACCGAATCTGGGTGCATAATCTGGATGGGATGTTTTGCAAAGCCGTGCCACCTTTGACTCAATCCAGAGGCTGGTGCAAGCGGAGTGGTAGATGTGAAAGGGCTTTGCAAGTGGGAGCAAACAGTTGGACAAGTGGTGAACCTGCAAATGGAAGAAATCCTGTTCAGAGATGGGAGGTCAAGGTGCATTACCAGCCACAAGTCTTTCCAACAATAAGAAGCTCAGAAGACTTCATAATCAGAAACTTGTAACTAGCACTTGCGACTGGATAAGCAGTACTCAGTATCGTCGCCTCTCCTGGATGCAGAGAGCAGCGGAAGCAGTCGGTTGCTTCGCGCACCTGCTTACTGCACACAACTTTGACACACTTCCCCTTAGAGCAACTCGCAGGCTACGGTACATCTCCTGTTCATGAACCTGACTTTCTACGAGCCCATAACAGCTGAGAACAATCTTTCGAATTCGCGAGTCCCCAGCCTACGTAATCTGCTAGCAATTGCACTTGATGAAGCCCCTTCAGACAAGCCGGTTGGTAGACTTGCAACTCACCAGACTCCTCTCCTCAGATTCCTGAAGCTGCACTGGCTTTCCTGGTTCCATATCTTTTTCTTCGACACAAAGTCCATCCCTATCTTGCAGCCTGCATGCTCTCTGTTGAGCAGGTTTTCACTTGTTCCCCCCTCTGCTGCCAGTGCTGGCCAGATTGAAGCACAGGGCTGCGTGGATAGCACAGCGGAAGCCATGAAGCCGGCGGCGCGCCCATGCAGACATGCAAAACTGAAAAGTGGCATAAAGGGCGCCACCTCGCAGACGGCCTGCCAGCTGGATTGGGCAGAACTAGAGGGGATTTGTTTCTCAATCTACTGCAATTTACTGCCACGCAGCCCTTCGATTGGGGTCTTTTTAGCAATCGACGGTGCTTGGTCCTCCTGTTAAGCTGACGTGGCGCAGTGAAAGTTGGGGGGTCCCTCAAAACCCAACTGAAAAGGCCATTGAAAATGAATCCAAAATGGATCTCTGTCCCAGACTGTCCGACCCAGACCTCTCAGGGGCGATCTACTGCACGCACACCATACGGTGACCAAGAGAAGGTGACGCATGCTGTCTTTTGCTTCCTCCGAGGAGGTCATAAGAGCGTGAATGAACCCTGATGGAGTTCAGCTGATTGGATTCGGCTAGTTGCAAGGAGCGCTCTGATTCAGGTCAATTGTGCTTTCAAAAGTGTTCAACGCCTCAGAACTGAGCGAAGAGGTCTGCCAGGCTATGCACACATCTTATGCAAAAAGGGGACGGAAGCGCGGGCCTTTCTACACTCAGATGGTGTTGCTGCTCCGATCGGCGCACAAGTTCCTCCGCCGCAATTGGCGCGCCGATTGGCGCCGTACGCTCAAAGCCTTCCTACTTCTCACAGCAGCATTTGCTCTCCTTTGGTTTCTTTTGCTACCAATCCTGCCAGCAAGTAAGAGCACAGACATGGCAACTGCAGCTGGCCCCCTCCGTCTGGTCTTCCTAACCCTAGAATACAAAGCGGGGACGTTCTCAGGGAACGGCATCTACGCGCAGTCCCAGGTGCGGTCGCTAACTAGACTGGGGCACCGGGTGTTTGTCATCAGCGCAGCACCAGAAGCGTCCCCCTCAACCAGCAAAACCTCAGACGAATACGCTCTGATAGAGATCCCTGTTCCCGTATGGGGGCGATTGGACCGCAAGTCCGGCTGGCGCGAGTTTTCCGAGGGGATCACCCCGGCAATTTGTACGCAGGTTGTGTCATTCGCCCCTCATTGGGCCCTTGTTGTTGACTGGTCCGCGATCGGCACCTACAAGCGCCTTGTAAATGCAGACTGCTGGGGTGAGGGGGGTGTGAATAAGCCCCCACTGGCCTATTTGAACTATAGGATATATGCTGTGACGGAATATAAGAGGCGGGACGATGAGGACCGGGAGGCAGATCAGGAGTTCTACCGGATGGCGGAGTCTTCGGCGGTTGGGATGGCATCAGCGATCACGGCGTTGAGCACAGCTGATGCAAGGTGAATGAACCTTTCTTCACTTGGACTTCAAAGCTTACATGCTCGGTTACCTTCCTGGGTTTAAAAGTTCTTAGCGAGCCATGAGCCTGTGAATTAAGAATTGTCATGGACAGCCAGCCTTTTTTGTGAGAGTTGTTGTACCCTTCATCTCTGATTAAGGAAAGGTGTGGCAGTCCGCTGGCAGGAACAAGCTGGGAACATACAGTACCGGTTTGAAATTGATAAGGTGTCTGTTGCGGAAGGCCTATTCTCCTCTTTATCTGGCACGCTAACCTTCAAGTCTCTCATCTCAGTTGTGCGCACTCAAATTGGTGTGTGATATCAGATGCCACCAAGATTGCTGAAACGTCGTTCTCTCTATGAGTAAAGGGTGTGTGAAACTGATTTGCCAGTTCATACTCGGTAAATCATTGCTGGGGTGAGGACCAAATGCTGGTCAAGCATACAGGCCAGCTTTTGGTACAATAGATGCTGTATATCAACAGGTTGCAGTGTGTTTGAGGTGCAGAGAGAACCAAAAGGAAAATAGTTTGAGCATTACATTTTTGAATCTGAAATCGATAGTACAACTAGTTGGTTTCGTTGTTGTCTCTGCAAACAAACAAACGTTCTCACTGATGCACCGCCCGTTTCGTCCCAGGTATCTAGAAGTCGATCTAGGCGACGCGCGCCGCAAAGAGGTTGTTCCGAAGGCGCTGCTGCCACCTCTAAGGGAGGATATCCGCCAGATAGCACTGTCCAAAGATAAAGGGGGGAGCAATCAAGGATGGGAGAAAGGGCGTTTGTACTTTACGTGTTGCGTGAGACTGTCGGAGGAAAAGAATGCGGTGAGATGCGTTTGTTCTTACGTGGCTGTTAGTCTTGCAAGATCCGCCGTGCTTGCTTGGTTCATGTTCGCAGGGCCATTGCGCTTTCGCCGCTTGTATCCAAGCTTGCATTGGATTGGTCTCCTGTAGCGCTAACCAACTCGGTCCCGCCTTTTTAATTGAGTTGTTCTTGCTTGGATCTAAGCTGGGAAAATGATCAGGGCTGGGAGTAGGAAAATCTTGAGGGAGAGAACCATAACGAAGCTTCCAACTTGCCGAACTCAATCTAGAACAGTCACCACCTCTCTGATACACTAGCTCTTGCGATGTTCAAGGATATCTTCTTCTTACCTGCCGTCGCAGTGTTTCCACCCGCTCCTACCCGAGCCACGCACAGATGCTCGTTGCGGCTGTGCTCGACGTTGCCGGCTTTTGGATGCTCTTTTTAACCTAGTTCATCCAAATAATACCTGTTTCTCTTTTGAAATTTCAATCATCTTTCAATCCAGGTGCTTTGCTCATCCGCCATACAAAACACGAGCCGACCGGCACCAAGCCGTTCTTATTCATCTTCCTTACCCTCCCTTATCGAATCCCAGCTTCGTATCAGATGTTGTGTCCGTTCTTGCGTTGCAATCCTTTCTAACATCGCAAGATTCCATGGCCCCTGTGGTCGACGAACTCGCACCATGACTCGTAATAGTCGGTATTGGACCGTCGTCTTTAACCCCCTCAGCTCTCCCAACCCATTTCGTAAACCTTTTACTAAAGCTACAGAAGCTACCTTTCAAAGCTACAGTGATTCGCCTCGACCCGACTGAAACCTCTGTGCCTCAGGTTACAGAAACCGTTTGCTGTGCTTGAGGAGATTGCTCCGTGTGGCTCGAGCTTGTCTGTATCTCATCGCTCTCCTTTAGCCACAGAGTGCTGTTAACCCGGATTTTTCCCTGCTGTCTACCCTGTACGTATTCCGAACAGCCTTGAGCAAACCTGGTTCCCCTTAACCCTGCAGATGCTGTTTGCTGCTGTGCTTGAAGAGCTTGCTCCATGGCTCGAGACGGTCGGCATTCAGCCGCTTCTGTGCGGAGGCGCCGCCAAAGCCGAGGAGGGGTCTTACGCGCAAGCCGTGAAGGAGCGGGTGAGCAAGGCGGCGCCAGGTGTCGTGCTAAAAGACGGCTTCTTGCCACCCGAGGGCTTGGCCGAGGTAAGTCTTTCTTCTTCTCTCTTTTCGGTGGGTTCACTTGCGCTTGAAAAGTCTCATTTTTGCAGGTTGTTTACGGAGGCTTTCAGGCAGTGTGCTATTTTCGTAAGTCAAATATGGAGGGCAAGGAGGTCTTGCTGGAGGTCACAGATCGGGCTTGCTTTCCAGTGCTTGTACCTGCAGCGTTACGAATCACACAACGCTTTGTTAGGTCGACACGTTTAATCCGCCAGGTCTTCTCCCGAACTCTCGTAAACCTTCATCCGTTAAGCCTTCTAGAGTTAGCTCAGTATTTCCTGGTCAGCTCAACCAATGATTTGGATCCCCCAGGTCTCCTCCTAAACCCTCCTCAACATCCACCCGTGCACCTCACTTCTGTACTTAACTCGACCTTACTTGGTTAGCTCAACCAGGTATCTTGAACCCCCCAGGTCTTTTCCCGCACCCTCGGTAAATTGCATCCATGCATATACAACGCATACGGCATAACAATCGTGAAGCGGCGGCTTTCGCCGTGCCGTCCGTCGCCCCAAGTGTACACGGTTTGCTGAACCTGTGCTTTAAACCGCAGGTGTTTGCTCAAACCCTCCTCAACTTCCACCCGTGCGTACACGACGCATACGGCATGACGATTGTAGAAGCGACGGCTGTCGCCGTGCCGTCCGTCGTGACCAAAGGCGCATGGTTAGCTCAACCAACGTCTTTGACCCGCAGGTCTTCTCTAGAACTCTACTTAACTTCCACCCGTGCGTCTATGACGCATACGGCATGACTATCGTCGAAGCAGCCGCGTTCGGCGTGCCGTCCGTCGTCAACAAAGGCACAGCAGGGGCGGTGGGCGCGGCGGATCTGCTGCGGATAAGGGACGGGATGGCGATCGGGGTCAACCTGGAACGGAAGCCGGCGCAAATCGCGGAGGCTGTGAAAGAAGCGCTTTTGGACAGGCAAGGCGACGAGGTCTAGGTCTTATATATTTCTTTGTCCTTTGCAAAAACAGTGGCTTTGCGCGCATCACCGTACAGTCTTATTGTCATCTTGAGCTTGCTGTCTTCGCTTCGGTGCACCGACTCCTGTACGTCATTGTGAACGGACACACAAACTGACAGCAATGATGGGGAAGAATGAGCTTTAGGTCCACCACACGGCAGTTATCACAAGGCTTTGTTCTCGCTTCATAGAACCCACTCTCTTAAGTCGAGCGTCAAGTTCAAAATTTGAACCCCTGTGCTGACATCTTGCTTTTCCTGCACGCTGTTACCAGCTTCCTCTCGTTTGAGTCCGCAATCGTTGTTCCAAGTTGCGCGTATGAAGCGGCAGAGTCAACTGAACTCAGCATGGGATGGCCACGCCGCCAGACTCTTGAGGGAATTACAAACGGACGCGTTTTACTTTTTGCAGGAGGAAGCTAGCTGAAGTCGGTACCGCTGCCGCTGGAAAAGCGATGGCATGGAGCGAAGAAGCGAACGCAAAGGAGCTTGTGGACATTCTGAGGTCCTCGCCTCGACTCCCACCTTCCAGGCCCGGACCAGAAGACGCCGTGTTGTAGACGCTTGACCTGCTGGAATGCAAGTCTGCTTCCATGTTGTAGCTTCTGCACGAACACGTCTTCCTTCAGAATGCTTCACACGGGTTTGATTACATGTACGATGGTTCGTATATGTAATCAAACAGGTGCTTGAAGGGTTTAACCATAATACACGTCAGCCTTGTCAGGATGATACATGTTGTTTCTGGCCTGGCCGTCGATTCGGATGCTCAGATCGAAATACAAGTTTGAACTTGCTCTTGAGCATGCAGCTGAGAGCTCACTTCACAGCGAATTCGTACCCCACTTTCCGGCTAAGCCGATCATGGCACTCGGTCAAGGTGAGCACTCAGTCAAGAAAGTGAGCATCTGCTTCGATGCTTGCCAGACATATTTACGTACGTTTCCATGATGTTCGTGCACATGTGCTATCTCTCTAGTTACGGCTCAGGGCAATCCAGGGCCCATGCAGTTGAAATGCACATGCTCCGCGGTGCACTGATCGATCGAGTAGAGACGGGGTTGATGCGGCTGCCCCAGGCCCCCAGCTGCAGTTTGCCGAGTAAGTAAGTTCACTGGCCCGGGTCATGAGGTCGGCCGCGGGCCAAGGCCGCGCAGCGCTGGCAGCCGGCCGGCATGTGCTGATCCAATTTGCATAATGTCTCGGGGCATGCACAGACACTCAGACGGCTTGGCAAACAGTTATTTCAGTGGCCGCCGTGCTGGCCGCATCGATCTAAATGGGTGCGACATGCAGCTGCATGGGGCCGACCAGCAGCTAGTCATGGAGTGACTCACGCAGAAGTCCGACCATTTGGACTGCACATGATATTGCAACATGACTGAACTGAAATCGGTGAACATTTTACCTGGTTGAGCACACTGTTATGCAACTCCACTCGCCCGCCCAGCATTTCCGACAGGCACCACCGGAAGATTGCGGGTAAATTTGGATGCGCACATGGCCACGCCATGCGTGAGGAGCTCAAGCTCAGCGAGGAAGATCAGTTGACGTCGACTGGTTCTTCATCCGGCAGCACATAAAACTCGACGTACGATATTCGAGAACTTTGATCCGTCATTCTTCCGTCGAGGCTGCTGTCTTGATTCTGCTGGACCTGCGCCGCTGTTTGCCTGATAGAAATGATGTGCTGTACCTGCAGATTGAACAGAATGCGTGAGATACCCTCATGAAGCTCTTCTAAGCATGAAGCGCCCACGGCCGTAAAAACTGCACGTTGCTGCCGCTAGGAGCTGGCTATCTCTTCTCGCATCCATCAACGAATGTATCTGGTTCATTTTTTCTTATGATCAGTTGCCCGCTCGACAAGGTCTTCAATTCTGTCACAACGTGGAGTTTCAAGGACTATGAACGTCGGACTAATATCCTAAGGCTATGGCGGACAGAATCAACGGCAGATAAGGGCGTTCTAAGAAGCATAAAATGAGAGACGAGTTCATCGAAATGCGTTCTTTGAGCTGATTCCAGTTCCGACATAGGCTTCACGCAGACTGTTGGAAGATGAAGCTACAAGCAAAAGCTCGTGGTCAATGCTGTGCCATCAGCTAAACGTATTAAAAAGATGTAAATTAGAGATGCTGAGCAGATCAGGGAGTGGCGGCTCTGACCTTGAGAAGGCCGCGGTTGTCGATCGTCAGCTTGCTCCCTCGGTTGTCCTTCAAAATGCTGCCCGGAATGTTTGCGGTCGTCGCTCGGAGAAACTTGTACTTGTACCTGCGCGAGTGGCAATCCGAGCTGGTTACGAGAACGTAAACCAAACGAGCACCTGCATCCAACCCGAAACACGTACGAAAAGCGCCAGCTGGTTGATTTGAAACGACCCCGTCCAATAACACGCCTACGAAGGGATGTGGTGATACTGACAGCACTGTAATCAGAGACGTGTAAAGGGAGCAGGACAAACGCTTTCTACTCCTTGAAAGTCCTTCAACGTTACTGCTGGCCTTCGGACGAGTACGAGCCGCTGTGCTTCGCCGAATGACGCAGAATCTTTCGAGAGGCTGACGGGACTTTTGGCACATGGTCAATTCATGTATTTTGATGAAACCACTGGAACTTTCGAGAGACGGGACAAGGGGGAATTCGGAAGCAAACGATAGCCGATCTCAAGGTCAGGTTCGTTTGGAGCGAAAACACCTCAGTGTGAGGTTCTCGTGAAAAACGAAAATTGCATACCAGAAGGAGGCGGCGCGGTCGCACTGGAAGGCAATGAACAGGTCCGTCTGGCTGTCGTAGAAGAAGTCAATCTGCGCAAGCAGGAAACACTTAAAGTCTGCCACTGCCAAATCTCTGTAAGACTACCAGCCGACCAAGCCACAGCAGCGACCTCTTCATTCCGCACGAACTGAAACGAGTTGAACTTTGCATCCACGACACTCTGGATGACCCCTCGATCTGCGAACAGCGCAGTCGGTGTCCTGTCAACGGGTCTCTGCTGATCATTCGCTGCTGTTTCCCTCGCTTTCGAACATCGGCCGACCGAGAGAGAGTAGCCATCTCTTATCCACACACGAAAACGAGTTTACGCCGTTTCAAAAGAAGGGAAAACCAGCAACATCGTGTCCTGCTCAGTGGCCGCTTGCGGCTGATCGTTGTGTAATGAAGCAGCCGCTGGCTCTTAAGACATTAAAGCACATGAAGCCTTTCGCTATCGGTGTTAAATAGCAGTCTGTAGAATGCTTGATACGAAGCACCCCGGACAATAAAACCCGCATTCTCTCTCGAGGCTTACTTGCAAGTCGCCATGTCCCTCTCCACGGAACGTAACTACTGGAGGCTCGGGGTTCAAGGCAATTTGGATGCTGGAGCCAGGCCACTCCAGATCCTCAAAAGCGTCCTTCAGAGCGGATGACTACAGGAAGGTACATAAAACGCTCACAGTAAGCGTGTGAGAGGCCTACAAACGAGCCAGGCAAACAAAACGATTGGGCTTCTGATCCTTCGTGGACATAATCATCTGAGACCCGAATCTCAGTCTAGCAAGTCGGGAGCTTGACAGAGAATTAGGTACTTTTCTTGTCAACGAAGATTTTGTTAGGTTGGTGCTACGAATCATTGAAAATTAGAGAGGGTCGACACAAGGGCTTAAGGTATCCGGGTCTTCTTTTGTTCTGAATGCATCCTCACTGCAGACGCACTCTCATTCAGTCCTTTGAGGAGAGAGTTTTCTGATTGCCATATAAGCGGGCCATGCTCAAAGACAAGCGACTTCACAACTTCAGAAAGCAAGCTGACTCCCAGATAGCAGTCCACCTTTTCCTTCTTGCATCAAATCGATCTCAAAGATTGACTTACATGTCATCTCAGAATTCCGAGGATTGGATAGTGACCCGCTCACCTTCACGGCAAATGAAACTGGGGGTTCATTGGCATCGTCATCGTCGATCGAAAAGTCGTATGGTACGCTGTCTGGTATTCGCGTCCGGATCTCTGCATCCGTGCACATCCTACTCTCATCAGTCAGCCTGCAATTGCAGTGCGGTCGAGGTCTCGTTATGCCAGGTGGACGCATTCGCATAGAGTCTCCTGACATGTGAATCATGAGAACGAACATGCATTCTACGATGAAGCAACACAATGAACAGGCCATAAAGGAAGGCACTTCATGTTGAAGAAACGTGTACTTTGAGCTGCTTTCTTGTTTTCCTCAAATCACAGAAAATCCCCAAGCTTTTGGCTTGTGGATCACATAGAGCCAGTGTCACCAAGCCATGGCAAACGTGTTAACTTTCTAGACGCAATGATCTCCCAACCATTGTTTTGACATGCAACAACCTCCCAACATATGACACTCCTTGTGCTACTTTGTAGCGCTAGACCATTGAAACCACTGGTGACGGAGTGAGGCTTGTCACCTTAGTATTAGTTCCATGTCAGTGCCAGGGTACCGAAGCTCCAGGGCAGTGGTCCCCGCTGTTGAGGCAAACGTGTTCAGGCAATCGACCAGAGTGGTCAGGCTGACTCCGAACCGTGGCCGGACGTTTGCATGGTACTGATATTCTTTGAAAAGCTGCAAAGCACATGCTCAAAAGTCAGCAGAATGAGTGGCGAAATGGACACGTTTGGGCAAGACTAAAAGGCCACATCACTGTGGTTCACTTTCTTATGTGTCTCCCCAATCCTTGATCTAAGAAGTCCTTTCAAAGGCTTCTCTCAGACTTCACCCAAGGAGTCAAGGAGTGACCTTTGTTGTTCAGCGACGCTCTTCTAGATGTTACAGGCAAACAGCAATAAAAGAATGATCTCATAGTGACTGCTGATAGAAAAGAACAAAGATGCGACCATGAGATTAGTCCCTGACCTCTTTTCTGAAGTACACCTTCCCTTGCAGGCAGCTGGATTCTTCCACCACGATCAGCATTCCATGCTCAGACAGCTCGCAGATAGCGTCCTGCGAGGTAAAATACAAGCGTCACTTGGGCATATCAGCCATGATTGGAAGGTCTTCCTCATCTTGTTGGCATTGCTACATTTCATTTCTGCAGTGGTGATGTCCAACTTACCCTTACTGCAAGGGAAGTCTGAAGTGGTGGCGATCAATGCTGATTTGTCTAGTAGTAGGTTTCCTAAGAAGAATGCTTGTTGTCACAAAACGTTATATGCGCGCCAAACACACACCTGCTGCTTCTTCCACTTTATGCTTGTAAGCGCGTCCACAAGCCCCTGCACGCACTCTAACCTGCATACCAGCTCAAACTCGCTGGCACCCCCGCCCCTGCTGCTGGCAGCTGCACCACTCGAGGGCCTTCTCATTGTGGATCAAAGTTTGCGCTTCCTGCACAAAAGGTGTCACCACCCCCGCCAGGAGAAAAAATGCAGAACACAAGCTGGATGTGTTCGTCCTACCTAAGCTCCAGGATGACGAAGCTGGGAGATAGAAGGTGAATGCAAAACTTGGATACTGATCTGGTTGGAAGACAAAATTGATTCTGGAGATTCTGGAGCTGACTTTCAAGTTCAAGTTCAAGCGGATTCTCTCAAACTCTGACAGTTGAACTTGTACTAGTCTCAGGAAATCGGACTTCCAAGTCCCGAGATCCGCATAATACCTCGGTACTCATGAGCATTGCAGCATGCTGCATGGTAGACTATCTAGGATAGAGGAGGCGCCAACTGCACCATGACGGATTGAAATTTTGGCATGGGGATGTCCGCTTACAATGCAGGCTGCAGCTGAGCTCCGGATGCGGCGGCCAAGCAGCTTCTGAGCCGGCAAGCACGAATCTTTGATGCTCGAGACGCCTTACCCAGATTTTGAGAAGACTTCAGAACTTTGCTGTGCTGTAAGAAGCCGTTGTAGAGCTCGAGCAGCTTTCAGCAAAGCGCCGACGAAAGGAAGCTGCCAGCTGTGTCTCCCGCCCTTGAGACTCAGAGGGCCACAATGGCAAGGCCTCGGTTGGACGCCAACCGTGGGGGCGTCACTGACAGCAAGATTTGCTTAGCGGTGTTTGTTGGCGTGGCACTTGGGGTGCTGGTGTCTCTGCTCCAGTTAGGCGGGGACAGCAACCAATGGCTGAGCCAGCTCAGAACCACCGCAGACGCTGCAAATCTAGCACGAGAAGGACAGGTAATGTTGCAGCACAAGGTGGCAAGGTGCCTTCTTTTCTCCTCAAAATTTGATTCTGAGTCCGATGTAATGTGCAACTCAACGTATGAGTCAAGCTTTGACCACTAGCTGCACAATTTGAGCAGAAAGGATTGATGCAAGAGCGACGGTCTTGCAAACAGGTCAGATCCTTTTTGCAGTGGGAAACTAGGGTTCATCGCAGACTGGGCTGTTGTGAGTGCATTGTGTGCGAGGGAGTTCTCATGCTTCAAGGCAGTGCCCCCAGCTCAATGCCTGTATACGAGAAAAGATTCTAGATTTGGAACTTGATGCAGCTTAATTTCCAGGTCTGAGGACAAGTCCCGCCTATCAATACAGGTACTTTTTGGAACATTTGGGAAGAAGTTGGCATTACTTTGAAATGACAACATCCCCTGCACCTTGCGCAGAGTGGATTTACCAATTGCCGAAACACCTCTAAACACTCGTAACTTTCATCAAATTGGATTGGAGGAAGAATCCTCAAATACACATGCTCCCCCCAATCAGCGCCTCGCCCCTTTGTTGCCCAAAAAGTCCTTCGAGCTCTCCTCTCTCCGCCCAGCTTCCGCATTCTTTTTGGATGGACAGCTAGATGGCAACATATTGCCTGATCAGATTTGAAGACGTTCAACTTGCAAACAATGAGCAATCTGTTCTCTCTTTCTATCTTCCATTCGTTGATCTTGTTCTTCTGCCATTTCTCAGCTTGAGTGCATTATATCATATCGGGGTTGTAATCATCAGACGAAGAGATGGGAATCAATCGAAATCACTTGATCCTGTTTGCAGGGACTGGGCCCCCAACATCTGGAGGAGCGGCTGGCAGAACTAGAGGAGGAGAAAAACGCACTCGAGCAGAAGCATGAGGCGGCTGTCCGGCAACGTGAAAACCTTGCCGCCGAAGCCGCAGTTCTTCGGAAGAAACTACAAGCCGCCCTGCAAGAAGGCGTGTCCTTAGCTGCTGCTGAGGGAAACGACCCGCAGCTTGAGATTGACAGTCTGAAGAAGCAACTAGAGAAGGCTCGCGAGACGTACCGGCAGCCGGCACGGGTGAAAAAGGAGGAGCGGCCGGTGGCGGGGCCGCCGGGGTCGATAAAGGCAGAGAGGACATTCCCGACAATTGTGCCGGATCCGAAAGTGAACACGGAGCTGGCAAAGGTGATAAGATCTGCGTTTTCGCTACCTTACATTTGCTCTCATTGCTCTTTGTTTCTTCGCCCTAGCCTTGGTTATGGGCTCAACAGGTTGAGGTCACTGCGACCTGTTCTTACGTCCCCTGGGGCTCTTGAAGGGTAGGAGGCCCTTGCTGATTCTTGTGGGTTTGGCCCCTTACATGCCGTTTGTGGCTTTTCCTCTGGTTTCCATAGAGAACTGTGCGGCTTGAGGCAATCAGGATTAGAATTTCGGGGATGGCAAGCAAGACGCTTAGCAGCGGGGCGACCATGGAAATAACCATTGATCAGAGGAATTGCTTCCCGGCACTTGCGACCTTAGACTGAAACTTGGTTTGGGTCAGCAATGAAGTCGACTGGGGCTCCCCTAAGCTGCTGATGAAGAGCATCTTCTGAGAGGTTCGGTTGTTTAAAGGATTGATCGTCTGGCGCACTATGAAGAAGATACAAACGGGCCAGATCAGACAATTGAACGAGAAGCAGCACCGCATTCTGCTTACAACTGTCAGTTACGAAGTCCTAAGAGCCGACAAGTTTTGTCGAACTCTGCTGGGTATGATTCCAGATCGGAAAAAACGAAGGAGTTTGGATGCGGGAAGTTTCCCTGTGTTGCCCCGGCACTTTTAGTCGAGGATTACTATGATTTGATTAGTACTTCGAAGGAGAGTTTTGCAGGCGATGTAATGGAGTGTGCGGGACTGTAAGCTATCAATCCTTCGCCTCTACCAGAAGCTCGCCCTGTGGTGTTTCTGAACGACAGACCGTTCGCATCGCACACTCTCCGAATGACACACGGGCATCCGAAGTCTGCAAAGTACATTTTAGCAATCGCAAGTGGATCAAACCCTTGACCTTTGGACGATGGTCCTTCTCTCGTGTGTCCGTTCAGAACGAAGCGACCGTTTGGTGGCTAAAAATTTGAAACTTGTAGCGGCACGAGCCGTCAGCTTCGCAGTGAAAGCGTATGACCAGACGAAGAGTCTCTCTGTCAGCCTTTCTTCGACACTATTGGACGAAGTGGCGGTTTTGCAAGCAAGGGGCGAATTCATCTTCCGCTGTTCTGAGCCTCTTGCTCTCTCCTCTGCTATTAGTCTCGTCTCCAATGCTGCAACTATTATGTTGGAGTCAAACATTCCGGATATCCAACTAGAAGGTTTCTTTTGCAGATTCTAGAAAGCAGACGCGTGCAAGGAGCTGTATAAGCCTTCGATGAGGAAGAGCGAAAAGGCTGCCTTCTCTCCCTTGCAGAATTATCACAATCGGCTTTGCGGTCGCAATACCTCTGCTGCCTGTTTGGCAATCTAACGTTTGCAATACTGAACTTCTCTACAGATCCTCGAAAAGGTGGCGGTCAGCAAGGAGCTCATTGTCGCCGTGTCGAACAACAACATCCGGCCAATGCTTCAGACGTGGTTCGAGAACGTGCGGCGCACGGGGGCGACCAATTACCTCGTCGTGTGCTTAGACGACGAGATTGCCGAGTTTTGCGAGGAGAACGGCGTCCCGTACTACCGGAAGACGCTCGAGATCCCCGACTCGCAGAAGAACGCGGGGTCGAACCACGCGATCTCGGGGCTCAAGTTCCACATCCTGCGGGAGTTCATGCTGCTCGGATACAGCGTGCTATTATCGGATGTTGATATTGTATTCCTCCAAAATCCGTTCAAGTTTCTGTATCGGGACTGCGATGTTGAGGGGATGACCGACGGGCATGACAATTTTACGTCGTACGGGTTCGATGACGTGTCTGATGATCCGAAGATGGGGTGGTCACGGTATGCGCACACGATGCGGATATGGGTCTTCAATTCGGGGCTGTTTTACATCCGCCCGACGGCGGCGTCGATTGAGTTGCTGGATAGGGTCGCGGACCGGTTGAGTAAAGAGAACGCTTGGGATCAGGCGGTGTTCAACGAGGAGCTCTTCCGGCCGTCGAGTCCGGGGTACGACGGGCTTCACGCGTCAAAACGGGTGCTAGATTACCTTCTCTTCATGAACAGCAAGGTACTGTTTACTCGAGTACGAAAGTCCTGGGAGTTGGAAAAGATAAAGCCAGTGACAGTTCACGTGAACTACCACCCTGACAAGTACGAGAGGATGTTGGCGGTAGAGCGGTATTATGTGAAGGGAGAGAAGGGTGCGCTTGACGGCTTTCCTGATGGATCAGAAAGGTAGTCACTTATAGTCAAAGGTTCAGCCCGTGGTTTCTTGACTGTGTTTGCAACTTATGTGATAACATTATTGGTTCCTACTTGGTTCGTTTCAAAGTAGCTGCTTCGAATCCTAGTTGTGCTCGAGGCCCCATCTGCACGTAGGATACGGCCGCTTTTGCACCATCATGGCAAAAGCAAATGTGATTATACGGAAATTTTGCGTTGGATTACTTCATGGCCAGACTGTCGATGATTATTATATCTAGTTACATGGCACAATTGTCTACATTTTCTCATGGCCGGGACGTTGGTCCCTGCATGCTGGCAGTGCTGCTCCACGCCGCTTGGTGCATGTTGAAATTGGAACAGTTAGGAGACTCCTAGTTTCAGTTCTACGTCTGCCTCCCCGGCCTGCTCGCGCCCCGGGTCGTTTATTAATAGGGACCTCGGAGGTGGGGAGCAGAGTTGGGGGAGTGCTCTTGCGACAGCTCCTCTTGGAGAATCGGAATCTTTAGCACCCCGGCCACTGCTCAGTAACCGGGGCGGTCGGCTGATTGAGAATCCCAGAAAGGAGGCTAAGAACTTCTCGGATCGCCTGTGCAAGTATGTATGAAGCGGTATCAACCAAGGGTCAGACTTTCCAGCTCGATTAGACTACGATGCAACGTGGTCATCGACCGGCGAGTACTACCGAGCCGCGAAAATGGTTCTGTGTGCTTGATGACGTCAGGACCCGCAATTCATACCTCAGCTGCAGATCTCATGGAGGAAGTCCTGATACAGACTTTGTTTTTGACTGAACAAAGTGGTCGACAGTTTAGGAGGTATGGTTCCTAGGTGGAATGGTTTGACATAAGAATGGTTTGCTGAACAGGGTGCTTCTTGCTGACTGGGGCTCGTCGGCATTGTTGATCAATGCAGGGCACTTAATCTTACAGGTGTGGACCACATTGTAAAGCGAAAACGGAAGATTTTGTAACGGAAGCTGAAGGATAGTGATCAGAGTCCCTTCCTCTCCAGAGTCATGGTGACCAGCATCTATTCGATCCCCATGGAGCTGGCTGTCAAATTCAGCGGCAATCCATTACAGCGCGCTTCGATCACCCCTGCACAACACAGCGGCATTCAACAGATGCCTTCTCCAAGATGCATAGGCAGTACATCGCCAATTACCCGACCTCTCATCTTCAAAGAGACTCCTTTTCTGAGCTCAGGCACTCCTAAACACCACCACACTCGGTTACTAGTCACAGAATTTGGCTCACCCCTCATCCTTAGAAAGACCCCTTTCTTGCATTCAGGCACTCTTAAACATCACCGCACTCAGCTGCTAGCAGATACACACACTCATCATTCCCCTGCCCTAAGGCGCTCCGCACATTTGTCTGCCTTCTCCCCTCCTTCAGCAAGTTCTGAAAACCTGAGCTCAGCAGCAGCTAATGTGCATCAAAGCCACTCTGCTTTTTGGAGATCAGGCACTCCCCAAAAAAACTACATTCAGCTAGCAAGTCTACAAACACATCCTTCCACTAGCCCCAGGCGATCGACGCGTCTGTCTGCCTTCTCTCCTGCCTCAGCTATTTCTGAAGCCCTGACTAATGTGCATCAAAGCCAGTTTGCACGGGGATTGCTACGCCCGATTGCTGCTATGGCGCTAGTACTGGCTGCAATGCTGATCTCATGGCGCGAGGGCGTCGGCCTAGAGAAGGAGATGCTGGTGGCCGTCGTGCGCTCCTTTGTGCAGCTCATTGGGATTGGATTCGCGCTGCAGTACGTGTTTGCGCAGAAGGGGGCTGCTCTCATTCTGGTCTCCATCAGCGTTATGGTGAGTGTTAGACTTAGTGAGAGGTTTCAAACGGTTTGAGACGTTGAAATTCGAACCAAATCTCTCGAATCTTGGCTGATTGCACTCCTGTGATGAATGTGTACACGTTTCCTTCAGGCTTGCTCTTTCAAGCAAAACATCGTGGGGTTGGGTCTCCATGTGAGTCCATTCTTTGATTGCCTCTTCGACAGTCATTTGGCATATCGGTGTGTGGAAAAAAACCACTTTAGGGAGCTGGGAGAGAGCTTTTGGGTCCCAAGTCACTCCCAATTAACTTGTCTCTTTCGTCCTATTGTACACAAAGACCTCCTTTTCTTCAGAGGCCTTCATGCAAAGCAAGAAGGCTGCCTCTCCGTCCTTCAACTTCTGCCTCATCCTCTGTGTAAGCACCTTCTCAAAACTGTACACTCGACCCCCCTTGACCAGGTTCTGATTGCCGGCTACACCGCAGGCGAGCGCGCTCGCGCCGTCCCCGGCAGTCACGTGGTTGCGACCCTGGCCGTCTTGGTTGCCACCAGCCTTACGACCACAGCTCTGGTTCTACTCCGCGTCTTTCCCTTTGAGCCGCGGTATATTATCCCCATAGCTGGAAACATCACCGGAAACGCAATGAGCGTCACGGGGGTAACTATGAAGCGCCTACGAGAGGACCTCCGCCTACAGCGTCTTGAGGTGAGCTTCTCGGCAGATCACTGCTCGAGGATGATATTGAACGCGGGAGTCTGGTAGCATCAATAATCCGGGTTTGGCAAGAACTTTGGCTGGTCGCCTGGCTCACAAGCCTGGATAAGAGTGTCCCAGACACGTAGGGTCACCATAACAAACATGCTTTTCGGAAGGACATCATACCATGAAGATTCAACGATTCCTTCAGTTTCAGAACAACTCCTCCTACTTGGTTTCAGAATATGACAGGAAGTGTGGATTTTGACAACCTAGGTGCAACTGCAATCGACGACTCCAAAAGAGTTCAATACTTGTAAACCTCATGAGCCGCTCCCTATGATGACGAATAAGTTTGATCGCCAACACCATTCGTCAACACCCGTTTCATCTCATGGCAATCACCGTCGCTTGTCGTCAGCTGGTTTGAAACCTCCATTTGGTTTCCTTTTGGGGGCGAAAACGTTTTAGTCTAAAAGACACCCCCCCACCAAAAGAACTCATCATTTTTTATGCAAGAGTCTTTTGGTACACAGGTCGAAGTTGCGCTGGCCCTAGGGGGCCACCCCCCGCCAAGCGAGCCTCGTACAGCTGCGCCGCGCACTCGGAACCGGGATGAGCCCCATTATCGACACCGCGAAAACAATCGGCCTGGTCTCACTCCCGGGCGCAATGACCGGTCTCATAATGGGCGGGGCGTCGCCGTTAGAAGCAGTCCAATTACAGATGGTCGTATTGTATATGCTCACGGGCGCCGCAACGTTTAGCGGGCTTGCTGCGGCGTATCTGAGTCAGCGCAGATTCTTCACCCCGGCGTATCAGCTGGATCCGTCTTTGATGTCGGACGGGCCGGCGGCAAGCAGGTGGGATGAATGAACTGAGGAGAATCTGTTTTTACTTTTGTTCTTTTGCAGGCCCGTTTTCAGTTCGTTGTAACGCCAGACTGGGTGCGTCAACTGCAATGCTTTCTGACGAAAACCTGTTGTAACATGGGCGTCGGCTTGATCAAACAAAGTCTGTAATGCATGATCCCGTGAACTACTAAATCGAGGGATTGAAAGGCAGGCACTTTCACCTAAGTGCCAACGTACATTCCCTGCAGCGTTTGAAGGGCTCAACGAAGAGATTAATAAGCTTCTCATTGACGAAGTCATTTCTCTTTCTGCTTTTGCCAGCCCCGAAGACACCCCGAAGACGCCCAACGTTCTCAAGCGCGAAGCCACTCAAGCCAACCGCCACAGCACCAGCCCAACAGCACAAACGGAAACGCCTCGGCTGCAGTTACGCAACCTCTCGCTGACGTCATCAAGCCAGGAGCGCATCCTCGATGACGTCAGCCTCGAGGTGCCCCGCGGGCGGATCGTCGGGCTCATCGGGCCGAGCGGAAGCGGAAAGTCCACTCTTCTTAGGGCGATGAATCGGTTGTGGGAGCCTGGGAAAGGGACGGTGCTGCTGGACGGGAATGATATTACTGCGCTAGACGTGGTCAAGCTGCGGCGCCGCGTTGGGGCGCTGTTCCAAACGGCGGCGCTTTTTGACGGTAAGCTTTAGACTTGCCGCTGAGAAGTAACTACCGGGAGGGGTTGAATGTGGTTGATGTCACCCGAGACGTGGCCAAACCTGGCGCCGCGTAGGGGCGCTGTTCCAAACCGCGGCGCTCTTTGACGGTAAGCTCGGCCTGGCCGCTTCATTGGACTTTGCGCTAAGAGTTTACTAGCGAGGGGGGGGTTAGATGTGATGTCATGATGCTGGACGTGGTCAAGTCACGGCGCCACGTAGGGGCGCTGTTTCAAACCGCGGCGCTCTTTGACGGTAAGCTCGGCCGGGCCGCTTCTTTGGACTTTCCTCTAAGAATTAACGAGGGGTTGATTTGGTTGATGTCACCACGCTAGACGTGGTCAAGCTACGGCGCCGCGTTGGGGTGCCGTTCCAAACTGCGGCGCTGTTTGACGGTAAGCTCGGCGTGGCCGGTCCTCAAACCGTTTCGGAATAAGTATGAAGTCTGTTTCGCTTAAAGATAAAGGTTAACCTGGCTGTTTGTTTTTCGGAAAAGCTATCAGCTATCAATTTATGCATGCTCTCACGATGAAACGGATATGAGTGGAGAGAAGACTGCGGGACCCCCTACCGGATTTGTGCAGTCTGACAAGAAGGACGGCTTTGCGCGATTCTGCTGAACATAATAAAAAACGAGGCGCGTACCAAGAGTCTCCGAAGTGAGGTTCAAACCTCGAAGATTGTCGGGGAGTCTTCATCGACGCCATCCTGCTCATTACCCAGCCGTCTTTGAAACAACCTTGCTCGGATCCGTTCGGTTGGTCTTGGCGACTCGCACAAGTGTTGTTCTGGCTCTGACAAAGATTGAGGTCAACTTCTCAAACCTCATTTGTGGAGTGCACGTCTTCCGTACGGGACTTGAAAAGTGGTATGCGTTTCTTCCCCTGATGTCAACAGAACTGCCCATCGCCTTCTGTAGTCCCCTTAGCAACTTTCGAGATGACGCGTCAGTCGTTCCTCGTTTGCAGGTACGGTCGCCGATAACGTGCGATACGGCCCCCGGTTACGGGGCGAACGATCAACAGATAACCAGGTCGAAGACCTGCTTCAGAAAGCGGGTTTAGAGCCCGGTATGGCTTCCGTTCCCGCTTCCCAGCTCTCGGGGGGCCAGGCGCAACGCGTTTCTTTGGCCAGGACGTTAGCCAACCAACCAGAGTGCTTGTTGTTGGATGAGCCGACGTCAGCTTTAGACCCCGGGGCAACTAGACTGGTGGAGGAAACGATTTTGCGGTTACGAGACGAGACCGGGATGACGGTGGTAATGGTGTCACATGACGTGGAGCAGATACGTCGGGTTGCGGACGAGGTGTGTCTGCTGGTGAAGGGGCGGATCGTGGAAAGGGGCACGCCTGAGGAGTTGTTTGCGTCTCAACAAACGCTTTCCCAACAGTTTCTCAAGGGGACTCTTGAGGCAGGGCATGCGGCCTAGTACGGTTTAACTTAACTTATTCTATCGGTTGCAGCAGATTAAGCACGCTGTAGAGAGATTAAATGGCCTATAAGACGCATACCCAATTGTCCAGGTCGGCCCGAAGTGTATATAATTCACAATTACCACCTGACGCGGTATATACTTCCAAAAGTGATGCAACATGACGGTGGACCCACAATTGTGCTGCGCCATGTCGCACTGATGGAGGGCTACATGCGGGGCCGGCCATATCCTCATGGTGTGCAAGAAAGAGTACGTAACAAACACGATCATGGGTAGGTGATATTCACAAGCTGAACCTCGGAGTGCTGCGCCGGCCTCATAACGCAGAAAGGGCCCGGCTGCGTCCGACCTTTCAAATACAACACCTCTCTGGCGATCGTACATGCCAGATTTCGAAGCTTCTGCTTAAGTTGCAGCTAGCGTGCGTGTGCGGAAATGCGCAGCCACGAATCGGGAGCATACTTGCGTATACAGCTATGGACTGATTTGCATATTTATACAGCAAGAGTACACCTGGAAATGTTTATAGGAAAAGTAGGCGGGTCAGCCATCGCGGCCAAACCGCGATTCATTTTTCTGTTGGATGCCCCAGTTCATGCCAGCTGATGGGAGTCAAGATCAATTGTGCGGTGCACATTGCGTAATTCACGCAGCACGCGCTGTGTGCTGTAGCCGCCTTAGTAATCACCTCTGCAGAGCCCCAAGCGCGTGCTGCTTTTACGACAAAGTCGGGCACCTATTAGGATCTGAGACTTTGGAAACCTTATTACAGATCTTACTATTTTGTGAGCCGCACAATCTGCTCTGCATGCGTTTCGTTCTACATTTAACGATGAAGAATCCACATAACGAGCGCGTTTTCCCCCTACAACCAGGATTGAGGTTGCATCCACTGCTCTGGGTCGATACACTCTCCGTTCACGTACAAACCCCTGTAGCAACAGATGCCGTTTCTTGGCAAAACCAGCAACACTTTTTAGTTCCAAGCTTTACGAAGTTTGCCGCAGCGTGCACCAGATGAGAAACTTCGTCTCCTCTTCGTCGCACTACGCGTCCAATTCTCACCGAGACGACAGGGTTGGCGCCGCAAACAAAGGTCTATCTCTTGGTTGTGCCCTTTTTCCAATCTGAAATCTGTCTCAAAAGATTCTCCCTTTCTCCATATTGAGGGTCTTCTTAATCTGCAAAAACTGTCGTCTTCAAAAAGTCGAAATCGGAAACGGATTACTTTTCGTTATGAGAGCTCAGCAGAAAACAAACCTTGTGGCGACCCGCATTAGGATTCACAGATTGGGTAAAGAACCTCCCTAGGAGGACTCAAAAGCACGAGGGAAAAAGGATATGAAAACACGATAGTAGCGACGGAGGGAAGGATCAGGGTCCGGTGTTCGGAGGGACGAAACAGCAGAAAGGGGAAGCCAGAGAGGGCGAAAAAGGGGCAGGACGATGGAGAAAGAAAACCGACGAACGCTTACCTTCGGAACAGCCCCTCGCAGCGTTTTGGAAGAGCTTAACAACTAAAACAGAGAATACGTTTCCTTCCACAACACCTTCTACTTCAAGTAGGATTCCAAGGAGTACTTTTCTGAATGGCTTCGGCCTGTCAGTAGGAGAATCGCTCCCAATCAGTATCCCGCATGGTTCGCAAACCATCATCAAGCAGGATGCTGATAACAGTGTCTAACCAGCCCAGTGCTTCTTACCAGTGCAGATGCGGCCCCGTTGCGATCCCCGTCTCCCCAACCGTCCCGAGGACTTGTCCCGCTTTCACGACGTCCCCTTCTTTCACGTGAACTCTGTCCAAGTGAAGCATCGTGCTAACCACCCCTTGACCGTGGTCTAACCCGAGGCAGTTACCGTGTAACCGAAACCCGTCCTCCTCCCGACCGACGAGAGCCACACGCGCACCGGCCGGAGACACAACTGGGGAGCCCGTCGCGGCGCCGTAGTCGACGCCCCGGTGGTAGTACCTGGGGAAAGATGAAGAACTAGGTTGGGAGGCTTTTCGTGTACTTTGCACCTTCTGAAGTCGAGACAAGCGGCCCAAATCAACATCTGCAGGACAGCAAGAAAGAGATTGGGGCTTCCTTGGATGTTCGTATTAGACGGCTCATCTTGGCGCCGTAGTCAATGGCGCCGAGACGAATCAGTGGAAGGATTTGTCAGGATAGGCAGAGAAACTCGTTCGGCGGCTTTTTCTCCGAAAACGTCTCTGTCGAATCGATTCTTAAGGATTTGGCGAATGGCTTGCGGGGGCTGTGGGATCTGCCTGAAACTTCGACAGCAACTAGACTGGGCCCCTTTTGCTTGCAAGAAACTGATCATCTTTTGAGACCTCGTCCTGCTCTAAAGACGATGGGTGGAAGCTCAAAGAAGCAGTTTCTTCCCGAAAGCTGAGAAGCAGATTTTTGACCTCATGCGAGTTGTTTCAAGCCATTGATGGCCAAGTCAAATAAACGAATGGGTAGATCGTGTCTTCGAAGACCTAGGGGTCTAAGGCCTGAGGATCAAGCGGGTAACGTGTGCAGATCGAGCAGGCTATTGCAGAAGCCCAATAACAGCGAATGCTGCCTTCGGACCTCTTTCACCCCAATCCAACCGCTTTTTATGTATGCAAGCGAGCTCTCAACCATCATTGCAATCCAAGCGGAAGAAGGAAGCTAAAACGCAACGTGCTACAAGGCAACATGGACCTTAGTTTGGAAACGAAGGCTTGGAGATATTTCCTTCAAAATAGGGCTGGTTTTCGATATCTGAAAATGAGACAGACAACGGGTTCGAGAAGGCCAGGAAAGCTTTGACGTTCAGCCGGCTCACCCCTCCGCGAACTGGCCGTTGAAGTACCGCTGCACGCCGTAGTCCGTGGTCACGTGGCCAACGGACGGCCGCAGGAACGGACCGCTCCACAGCTGACGTGGCGTCCGAACCGTCCGGAGGGCGCCCATCGCAGCTAGCTCCTTTGAGGTTGCGCCACCTGGAGGGAAGACGAAGCTGAACTATTCACTTTCGCAAGCTTCGTCTTTTTGTCAATTCGACCTTCACTGCCAAAGCAACAAGCCGAGTAGCGGGCGTTTTGCAGTCACCAACCTGATGATCTGGAAGGTTCGCTGCATCCATTCGTGGCTTACGTAGATAGAGAAGGAGTTGCGTAGACGAATCCGGTAGCAGGGTCGTAAGCACAACGGATGCCACTGCTGAAGCGAGCAAACAGCAATCGCTTGGCTTCCGACTTGGCTGCTCGTTCAGACGCATATGGTTGGTGAAGCACGCTGGTCTTGAAACGAGCCAGGTTTTCATATCCGGAAGTTCCGGTTCGTAAAAACTTTGATGTCATTCTTATATGAAGTCCTCTAGTAATCCCTATCCTAATCGTAATCGTAAGGGCGCACCAACATAGGTGTTGCTCTAGACAGATTCTTTGGTTCTCAGCATATTTCGGAGAAAAAGTAGGAACGGGACAAGGGCCCGGAACCATCCGCCACTGAAGCTGCCACAATGCTCCAAGTTCTCCATGTTCAAGACTCCCCATCCTATCTTGCCATGTGCAAGCAACAACTACGTTAGATCTGAGCTTGAGGGACAATTCACTCACCTATCAGCCCAGACTTGCGCTCCGGCAACCGAATTTTCTCAATGATGTAGTCCCTGTTCTTCAGGTAGATCACCCGGTCGTACAAAGAGTGGCGGCCATCCCGCACAAGCACCTGTCAGGACAAGAGATTCCAATCTTCCATGCATTCTTACGATCTGAAAGTAATGCTGCCAACAGGTTCTTCCAACAAGTTTCTCTTTCAAGAATAGAACACAAGCCAAACAAAGCGCACCTGAACGCGCTTTGCTGCTTTAATGCCAGCTTCTGAAAGCACAGTGTTATTCCCTGAGGAGAGAAAGAAGGCTGCGAACCGCTTGTCCCGCCGCACACTTGGTGTTTGGAATCATGGAGGAGAGCTACAGTTGCTGGACAAAGAAGATAAGGTTGAGCATAGAGGTGCTGTATGACAACCAATTGCATTCCCCCTCTTAAGATCCTCCCAAGCCCTCTCCTGCATCAAAGCAAGCAATGAAAATACTGTGACATCAAGCTTGCAGGTGTGCAAAGCAGATATACACAGCACCAACCATGTCCCTGGTCCTTCCTGGCAAAAGTGCACTACCTGCAATTCCCTCGTTCCCGACTTGTCCAGGGGGGTGGTCGGTATCAACGCCCGCCAGCTGCCGTCATCCCCCCTGGGAAACGCCGGAACATCCTCCTTCTCAACTGCCACCGAAACTAACGGCCCAAGGGCGGGGAATTGTCTTCTCATGGCTAGATGAAAGTGGTCGATCAGCCCCCGGGGTCGGGGCACTGTGACTAAAACCGCCACGGTGTCCCCCTGAAAAGGCTCCCAATGTGACAGCTTCACATCAGGTTCGGGTAAGACCGCAGATCTCTTGAGCAGGGCGGAACTGGCCACTTGTTTGACTCTGTCGATGAGCTGCGCTGCTGGCGGCGCCGCGTGGCGACAGCTGGCGAGGGGATCCCCAAGGAGGTGCGGGTTTAGGATCTTGGGGACATTGATGCTAGCAAAGGGAAGTAACGAGAGGCGGGCGGCCCCAAGTTGCAGTTGCTGCCCATCCTGATTGTCAAGATTGCCCTTTCTTTGATCCCCTCCATTGTGACCACGAATGCCTTTCAAAACGCCCCTTGCCTGACCTTTTCGACCTTTTTCTTCTACTGCTCCCAAAGAAGCGGATCGTTCTTCTCTTCGCCACCGAAGTGAATGATCTGATCGGCCGCTACTTCCGCCCCCTCTCGTCATGCAACAAGGCGAGATCTCGTCCGAGCTTTTCCCCTCCTTGACACGGCTTCCTGGCTCCGCTGAACGTCCAGAGACAGATCGATCAGTGGCGTTCCATGAGGCCCCTGGAGCATCATCGCTGTACTCTAAATTTGCAAATGGATGCTGCCCCGCTTGCCAGCTCTTTTGCCAGGTGCGCATGCTGTTGTGAAGGTTGTGGAGCTGGATCTCGCAGCAAGTGACCAGAGCGTGCAGAGGGTTAGAACTGGCGTTGCGTTCTGCCTGGTGCATTACATCCCAGGGCGCCATGTTGTTGGTCTTTCCGCCTATTACTATTACTACTACTAAGTATTAAAGTGAAATTGTTCCAGCAGGCCAGCAAGCTGCTCAGCACAAGTTCCCATGCTGTCCATGAGAGATTCAAGGCTTTTGGGGTTTCCCCTTCAACCCCGTTCAAACCCATTTCAGCGCTACCCTACTTACAGTCGGAGCGAGGACAAGTTTGTTCAAACCTCAAATTCCTAAACCTCAAAAGCACCAATACTTGAGCACCAGTCTGAAGGAAGGTGAACATAAATTCAAAGCAAAGCGGAATTGCAACGTGTGGGCGCTTTCCAAATTGGATCATGGAGGCCATTGCTTGCACGCAGAAGTCGTTACACACCGTCTTTCTAGGTCGCCTGAAGCAGCGCTGTGGCAATGCAGAACAGGGTCTATCACAAAGCGCGCCTGCATTGGCTGGCAACAGGAAACACCACCACACGCAGGCGCTTTCTGGAGCTTTGAGGGGTCAGAATGCAGCACAGACGGGGCCTGCAGGTGATGATCATTGAGTGCAAAACCACCAAGAGTATCAGAATAAGTGCAGGGAGACTTGAGTCTGCTTCAATTGCATTTGTGTTCACAGTTGTAAGGTGGTGGTAAATCATGCGCATTGCCACCGCATTTTGCCGGCATCTCCTTCTTCTGGTCGAATGTTGAATGAACCCAAGAGTGTTTGCGTCAACAATGTTCGACCATCATCATCCCATTGGTTTTAAGACATTGCAGACTTTCCTCCAGATTGGCACTTTTGAAGTGCACCAAAAGCTAGCTTCTCTTTCATACCAAAACCCTTCCTCAGTAAAAGATTTCACACCACACAGGTCAATGTCACCTGCGCCGGCAAGCTCTAGAAGTACCGGCCAATCGAAGGGGCGGGCAGCAATCAAGCGTAGTTTGTCAAGCCATTCGGGAAACATCGGGCAAGGCGTCTGCAGATGGCCTGAAATTTGCGGTGGTAAGCTTGCAACAGGATTCGATGGCGGTGGTAGCTTTTGCAAATCATTTCGGCGCTTTTCCTCTCAGTTGTTGACCGCAACACAGGTAGAGTGGTGACGACTTCCTGCTTCAATGACCCAGACCTGCTTTGGCTTGGGGGCTCGAGGCCTCGTTGCTGGCACCGATGAAATGAGTGGTGTTGATCACTGCATGCTTGGGGGATGTCCAGATGATTCTCAGATGTTTCGCCGGAATTGACAAACGGAGAAGAAGGAAAAACCATCAGCAATGGACGCGTCAATATGGAACAGAAAAAGAAAAGTCCGTTGGTTGCAGGTGGTGGCTCGATTCAATGACTTTATCACAAAGCTGTTGCTAGAGGGCGCCAAGGAAACGTTCCGGAGGCACGGCGCAGCAGATGAAGACATCGAGGTGAGAGCCCTTGATCCTTGGGGCCAAGATTTGGAGAACGTTATCTTGGGCGTCCTCCAACCGTCACCTTGCGAAGGAGGATGACTTCATCACATTTGTGCAGATTTAGGCACCAGATGTTCCTAGGTCTTGGCATGGAGGAAATGGGTGCCCCTGAAGTAACCTCTCATGGTCCTTTGAGGGTCAACTTTCAGGCTGGTTTTTGATGAGAGAGTGGTACGATTGAATCTGTTGGCAAGGCCAGCCCTTTCAGGAGCCTTGTTGTGGTCAACAAATAGGGGGGTGTGCTTATCAGAGAACCGGTGGTTCTCGTTACTGCTTTGTTGTCGCATGGGCCATTTTTTCCTTACCTTATCTCTAGAAACCTCTTGGAATAAGAGCAAACCTGGTGCAAACCGAGAGTACAAAGGGTCACAAACCCAGTTGAAACGGTAAAAGAGAATGCAGCTGGGCATGAATCACTTGCAAAGCTTTGAACAGAAGCTAAAACGCCCATGCGAAAAAAGAACTTGCCTAGCAGACTCAAAAGACAATTTGCAGACTGATGGTGGTCTTCTTGACCTGAAGTCAGGTTACAGGTCAGCTAAGCAGAACGTCTTTTCACTTGACTATGTACGGATAGGGAGAAAGTTGTAGGGACACCTGAAATCTTTCGAATCGTGTGCAGCTGACCGCAAATGCGCACAAAAACGCTCCGCCTCTCTGATGCGAGGTTTGCATTGTCCTGTAACTCTGCATTGCTGTCCCAGTCGCAAAGTGAGCCATAGCCCAGACTAGTATTATGCATGTGTCTCGAGCTCTCCGACGGGTGAGCTTCACTTACGATTCTGATCTCACCCCCATTTCTCACCGTTTGTGTCGAAGGAGAGTGCTCAGCCAGGGCACAGAACTCTCTGCGGCCTATGAATGCTCCTTCAGTCTCTGACACTTTTCCTTTGTTCGTTTTCTAGATCGTGTGGGTCCCCGGCAGTTTCGAGCTACCGGTGGTCGCGACGGCGATGGCCAAGAGCGGCAAGTTTGACGCGGTTTTGTGCATAGGAGCCGTGGTAAGTGTCGCCGCTGATGTCCTGATTATTAGAGATTATGTTCTGATTTTTGAGAAGTTTATTCTGATTTCTAGAGATTACATAATGATTTTGAGAGATTCTGTTTGGGCCCGTTCCAGAGAATCTGAGAGCATTTCCACCAAGCGAGGACCTTATGGGGGGACCAATCACCTTGGAACCTTGATGATTACCCCAACCTTCCGTTCTGAAGCTCTTCCTTGCTAAAATTGGTCCGAAGATCTTGTTCTAGTTTATGAGCAAGGCTCAGAATGGTCTGACTAGTGATGTGGTTCTTTGTCGACGCCTTTTAAAGAGGGCGGTTCACTGGGGCGGACGTCAACGTCAGCACCGGTGACCATTTCAGCAGTGTCGCCTGGAGACATAAACCGAGACACTTGACTTTCGGCAACGTGAGAGCAGAGCGACCGTCTGGCAGTCGCTCTGTGCCGTCATTCAGATGCGTATGAGTACGCCCTCTTTTACCGATTTGGGACTGTCGTGCAGATCCGTGGGGCGACGACACACTACGAAGCGGTGGTCAACGGAGCGACGAGCGGAATCCTAGGGGCGTCTGCAGCCACAGGTTAGACTACTCACCAGTCCGTCAAGTGGGTCACGACCGCAGCCAATTGTCTTTTATGGTGAGCGTCGTGCAGAGGGGGTTAGCAAGAGAGGGAAGCATGTCAGAGAACGGCCGTTCGTGACCTGATAAAAATGGGCACGTGAGAAAGACGCGATTAGGATCGATCTCTGTTGACGCTGCTGAGACACGCGCACCTTATCTACGAGCGCCAGACGACCACGGGGTATTCTGCTACCTGTTGTTTGGTGTCTGGAGCCGAATTTAAGCGAGCAGGTCAGCCGCCCAGGTGCACGAAGGCCGAAAGCTTTCTTTGTTACGATGCCCACGTAATGGGGGCGAACGATCTGCTTTACGAGCACTGCTCACTACTCTCCAGAAACCTGTCAACAAGACATGAAGGCTTTTCGAGCCAGCAAGCATTCTCTGGACACAGACTGTTCACAGCTTTCCTTCTCGATGCTTCTTTGCAGGAGTACCAGTCATCTTTGGTGTACTCACATGTGACACCATGGAGCAGGTGACGTGCCTCCAACTCCTTCATTCGTTGAATTATTTCTTCGAGACCCGCAGGAGCCACAGTGACTGATGAGACAAGAGAGGCACATTCATTGCTTTTCAGAACTACAGCCAGCGTTGGTCCAAATTAAACATGACGAGGGCCTTTGCTACAATCTTCTAGACCTGCAAGCATGAGCCTGCGCAGGATATACTTGAGCAACTTACGAACGCTTTTTGGCAGCGTACTTGCTTCTTTACAATCCGCTCAAGCTCGCCGTCCTTCCTTTGGTTCTCCCGCTCTGGCCTTTCGTGTTTTGCGCAAGCCCTCACGAAGAGGGCAACTCAATTTGCAGACGTTCGGAGTCTCAGATCTCATGAGAAAGCTTTGAGGTGAAAGTTTCCCGCAAATCAGCGTTAGCTTTCGATGCCGACGTACTTAACAGAAAGCGTCAGAAGGATCCTTGGCTCTCTGCTTGCAGTGTTCACGGTGTAGCAGGTTTACGAGATCACCCTGGATTGTTCAACTGCTTCTAACGACTGACTTGACATGGTTTGCAGGCGATCGATAGGGCGGGTGGCAAGGCCGGAAACAAAGGCGGCGAGTGCGCAGCGACTGCGGTAAATCCATGCACTCCTCTAGTCGTGCTGAGTGTGCTTTGCAGTTCCGTTGATTATTTCTGTGTTCTCACCTGTCACCTAATTCTGCCTCGCTTCTGACTGGTTTCCTCTTGTCGAGATTCTACCTTCTAGAGAGAGTTCTTCAGTGAGATGGGATTTCGAGGGGATGCTTTGTCCCATGTTTCGGTGCACGGAATCAAGGCATTCGCCAACGTTTTCATGAGCGGCACATGCGTTCGTGAGAGGGACGAGAGACGGTTTGCTGTTCGTGAAGCATTCGTACAATTATAGTTTATTACTTCTGAAGCCGACAACCAGGACACTGATTTCAGATAAGCTCTTCAAACGTGCTGTGGGTTGACGCGCCTGCTTGCAGAGGACGGACCCTTTTGCATGCACAATGATCCGGTACCGCGCGTTCTCTCGTTACAAACTGAGGTGAAAGCAAGTCGCAAGTCTTTCTGGTCTCGTTATGTTCTTCTCGCTGCTTCCTACTCAGGTTGAGATGGGCGCGCTCCTCCGAGACCTTCGCGAGAAGAAGCTGGCTGCTCCGGCGTGGCACTGAATCTTCGAGGCTACCTTGCTTACGAGTAAAAGTTACTTTCTTGGAGCTCGATAATATTCATCTCAGTCACCCGTTGCTTGAAGAAGTAACAGGATGTCTGGAAGAATGCTCTTTGAGGGTAACCAAGGTGTACTTGGAGTTCGTTGTACTGCTGCTACAGGAGGTTGTGCAAGTGGCACATCATTCAAAAGGTTACGATTCCGTGCTATGCAAGTCCGTCTAAGCTATTGATGAAACACCTATGTTGCGGTCAAGCATGGCATCATATGAAGGCTCGACCATGGCCTTCTCGACTTGCAAGGCATGCGCCCATGACATCTTATACAGACCGGTTAATCTTACATTCGATCATGCAGGTCATTGTTGCTTGGAGCTACCCATCAGACTGGTGCCGCCGCACCAGCTGTTAGTTACCGGTACGTGACTACAAGCCTATGGTAATGATTGTATGGTCACCTGGCACGACTGCAGATTGATGTATGCCACAACGAGATTGAATTTCCGCATGATAATTGGTGCTTAGGATACGTACATGGCAAAGACGAAAATTCCTGAAAGCGATCGCGGACTTGCATGCACACATGCAACACGTTGGTCCGAACGTACGAGCCGCCTAGAACCGATCGATCGCGATCGCGACAAGCCCTAGGCGCGCTTTGTTGGCCGCCGGTGCATCGGGCCTCGACAATGTGCTTATCAGGATCGCCACATACCGGGCCAGACCTAGCGCAGTGACTTCACATGCATTATAGTACATTAGGTACAGGGTATCAGTCTATACGCGAGACGTCCATACAGGTGCCGTTTACTGATGAGGCGGCCGGCGCAAAGGCTTTTATCAAGAATCTGGTTGATCTAATGCATGGTGGCTGCTTTCCACATGGCCTCCCAGCCCAGATCTGAACCAAACGCAAGCTAGCAATCGCACATGCACACCCGAGCAGCAAAACATTGTGGCAGTCTGCAAAATACTTCAGCTCAAGACGTAGTCTCTCAAGGTTTCCTGTTTGCTGCAAGTTTATTTGTGCTATCTTAGATATACTACAGCATCGTCTTTTATTGTAAGCCCCAGCTTACAGAAGACTGCGATATAACCTGAAGTCTACATGTCTAGTACAGCCCTGGTTGGCGTCAAAAGTACAGTGACATGCGCCGGGAGCATTTCACCTCATTCTAAACTGACAGGAGACTAAGCTAAGCTGCCTAACATCTGCCTGCAACTCGACATGCATACATAACTACACCGTGCCTACCTACCAGTCTAATCGCCCCGGTTCCTCCCCATTTGCATACTGATCTAGCCGCGACGCCTCCGGAACACCGTCTGAGATCCGTGAGCTCCTACGCCGCTCTGTGTTCGTCACCTGCCGCTGCACGCTCACCTGCCGGACTAACCTCAGCCTCTCCTCTAGCAACGCCTTCTTCGCAACAACTAGAGACGCCGCGTTTGTCTCCAAGTCGTCAACGATGTTCGCAACGAACTTTTCATGCCACTGATACAGAGCCAACACTTCCGTGTACGCACCGTCGAACAGTCCCCTCAATTTCCCGGCAGCGGCCGGGCCACCCGATCCGTGCAACACGTTTGGAAGCCCCGCATTTAGGAAGGCGCCGAGCGGTCCCCCGGGGTCTGTTTTCAACCGGGCAGCGCCCGGGGCAAAGGGCGCTGCGGACAGGGCCTTCTGGATCGCTGACGTGGAGCTGGCCAGAAGCGCGGCGGCTTGATGTAGTCGCAGCTGCACAACGGGACGCAAGTGTGAATACGTAGCTCGATAAGTTGGCAACTGTGCCACACATGAAATTGTTGATTGGACGTGTTCAGTAAAAATGGAGCAGACAGTCGGAAGACGTACGCGTAGGCATGCAGAGCCTAAGAAAGCAAACGGACTAATTATAAATGCAGCTCATGAGAAACGACTCGATTACGAACCGACCGGTCAGAAATCCAGCACCCGGGAAAATTGACTCAACCGAAGCAATGGACCAACCACGCGCCTCATCGTAACGGCTCCTTATTGTTGAGACTTTTTGCAAATCCAAAACTGCACGAGATGACTAAAACTCGCAATATACTGGCTTGCTAGTCGAACCCTGAAAAGAAGGAGACTTCAATGCCCACGACAATGAGTGCCCAATGGAGCCTTGTGTTTGGTGGCTTTGCAATATCGAGTGGCCTCAAGAAACACTGCGTTCCGCTGAAAAGTGGGTGCAGAGTGTTCCGGAAAGTGCTGCCTTCAGAGACGAATGCCCCGAGGATTACGAAACACATGCCATCACGCCATCAAGCATAATAAACGGCCCAACGAGCCGGCAAAGCACGACCCAATCCGCACGAACAACTCAAACGCCCGCTCACCTCTTCCGCCAGTCCCCCGGTCCCTTGCCCCCGCAACCGCGCCTGCCCGCCCTCGAAATGCAGGAGCGCCGTGTGCAACAGGCGCAGCGCCTCTTTTTGGGCCGTCAGCGCAGCCTCGATCTGCGCTCCCGTTTGCAGCAGCCGGGCGACTTGGTCCTCCGCGACTTGCTCTGCCGCGTCCGAAGTGTCCGTGAACAGGCTGTCCAAAATCTCCATCTGGTCTGAAGCCCGCGCTGCGGCGCTCTTGCGTTGTTCCTGTGAGCAGAGGAAGAAATCGACGAGAAATGTTTGACGAACCGTTCATCTTGGAGTCCTCAGTTGCGAGGGGCATGGGAGGCTTTGAGGTTTTTAAGTGTACCTTTCGACCTGAAGCGCAATCTGGCCAGAGCACGGGCAGCGGCGCTCTTGCGTTGTCCCTGTGAGCAGGGCAGATACTGCATTACGGAGTTTGAATGTGAAGAACGGGGATTCTGCAGTCTGACGTGGTTCTAATGTCCGTAAACTGGCTGTCCAATATCTCCATCGGATCTGACGGCCCGCGCAGCAGCGCTCTTAGGTCGTTCCTGTGAGTGGAGGAGGAGAGAAGAAAAGGTTCATGTCGGAGGCTTCAGATACGAGGGGAATACGTGCCTTCGAGGTGTTCGTGAACAGGCTGTGCAAGAATTCACCCCGGCCCAAAGCGCGTGGCGGCGCTTATCCGCTCCTTCTCAAAAACAGGCACAAGGAATCTGGAGGTAAGAGTTCAAGTCAGATAGACTGTTTGAAGACCAAGGTTTTCCCTAGAAAGGCCAAACATAGGGAATTACTGATAGAAGAGTAAAGAGGGTATCTAAAGCCCGCACCTGCCCCGAAGCTTAGGCAACCGCGCTCTAGCATTATTCCCAAACGCGAGGCATGACAGGAAGAAAACATACGGTCTGAACAAAACGTGGGGAGCACAAAACAGAGGCCCGATACCAAGTCGAAGGACTAGTCCTGGTCAGTTCCTCGCATGTGGAGGACCTGGATAGAGGGCTGCGAGGTAAACGCAAATCATCTGGCCACGGAATTCGTCAGGATCGACCATCTGCATGAGTGAGTCGACTGGCTAAGCAAGCTGATTCTCTTCAAAGACGCCCTGGCCAAACACCTTCGAAAACGGCTTTAACCTTCTGAGGTTTACAACGAATTCATACTAGGGAGGACAAAACGCACCCGCGAGGCAGAAACAAGTAAGTTTGCCAATCAAACTTGTCGTCTAGGTCAAAGAGAGTGGCCCTCTTCCACTGGGTTGGACGATGCACGAAGAACGCTTGGTCAGAATCATTGGTTCAACACAGTGGTTAAGGCACTTTGAGAGCGTCATTGAAGTGGCTTGATCAAAAGCCCTGCTTCAGAAGATGTTAAGCTCATGGCGGGCCCTAACTTTCTTTAAGCCAACAATCTTCTTCACTCCGACCAGAAAGTCCTCTGCTAACAAGTGCAGAGAACAGGACAAAAATCAATGACAAGGGAAGGTACATCCTGTGCTCTAGTAACATTGAGCGGGGAAGTCCCCATTTTCTACTCGTGGACCTTTGCAAAGCTGGAACATGCTGCATCTGAACGTAATATAATATAAGATATCCTATTCCAATCTTGAAGGAACCAACCTGCAAGCGATGAAGCTCTTCAAGCGGCCTTTCCAGCTTCGCTTGAGCGGAGCGCTCCTCCTTTTCAGCAGCGTCAAGGGCTCCGCGAGCGATCCTCAGCTCCTCTTCTGCGGCTGCCCGTTTCTCTTCTAATCCACCGCTGCTGAAGCAGAAGCAAGATGTGCTGCCTGCCTTCGCCGCAGCTTTCTCAGCTCGGGTCACAAAAGTGTGAGCCACTCCAATTTCTATTTGCCACTTAGTTAGAACTGCGGTGAGCTCCCCGCTACTGACCTGCAGATAGTGGTAGCTCCTTTGACGAAAGCAGAACTGTACTTTGAACTGAGAAAAAGTGGACTTTGACCAGGCTTGACCAGAATCTTGAGAAAGCTAGCAGAAGTGATCAGATTCTGACTAGCTAAAGAGGGGCAAGAAAAGGTCCTTCTGAATTCACAGACCTTCTTTACGAGATTCGGGACCAGGAGAGTAAGATGAAGCTTTTTGAGAGCAAGCAAATGTGTGAGTGCAAAAGAGTTCTCAATTTTTCTTCGAAACTTTCTGACTTTGTATCCTGTGAAGTGGTTGTAAGGCTTGAACAAGACCTCAAAGACATACCATGTGCTTACAGGTAAGAAGAGAGCTGACAGTAGAGAGAATTGAGCAGCTCCAGCGGCCAGGCAATATCCCCCAGTCATACATATGCACCACCACAAGACGAGCTTAAGAATCAGGGGAGTGGAGGCATAGGGGTTGTATATAGAAATTCCATATGTTTTCAGTAGCTCATTGTATGGAGGAGTGCACAAAGAAAGAGATGCTGGATACCAGCTGCATTGATTCCACCGCACCTCCAATTCTCTCAACTTCTCATCTACCCCCTCGAACTCTCGGAGGTTGCTGTCCAGTTCGACATACTCCTGTTTCTGCCTTCTGCAGAACGCATCCCAGTTGTCATGAGGTTGGAACGGGTCTTGTTTACTTGGAGGCCAGCCAGCTGAGATCGGATACAAGGCGTCATATTTTAAGGCGTCTGAGCCAGACAAGCGGGCAGAATCAGTTTGGACTGCATCCAGCACAGGCCTCAAAGGATCCGCCCCTTGGTAAGTCCCTTCTTTGGCCGCCATTGCTACGCTTCTGCTCTTCAAGTTCAAGTTCCAATCATCTCTCACAAGAATCAGCCCAATTGCCTTCACTGTCAGCAAATTTAGGTTAGCAGGTAAACTATGTACAAGTTTAGTAATTATAATAGGCTGCAGGGTGGTTAGCCAGTTCATTTTGGGGATTTAGCCTTCACAAACTTTCTCTTCAAGCAAGGCCGGAGAACCGTCCGATGGCACTCATTCAACCTCAAAGCAACTTTGGACAGCTCAAAAATACGGAGAGTGGGGCAATCCGAATTCAAAGCCTGGTTATCAAATTAAACCATCGGTTTTCCAGTGAACCTGCTGGGCCCAGCTGGGCCTCTGACTCTAATATGCATGACTCATGAGTCTAGCTGGCCATGGCCTGCAGAAGTTTGCAGTTGGTGCAGGTGGCCAGGCTGCAGGCTTCAGGTGCGAAGTGGCGCAAGGTTTTCTTGATCAGCGTCATGGAGTGCCGATTGCCATGAGTTACGTTGAAATGGGGCTTTCACTGGTTACTGTTTAGCATAGGAAGCAGGAAGCCGTTCTTCTTCATCTTCTCCCCCCAATGCAGCATTGCTTGTTGCAGAAAAGCGGCCATCAGGGGCAGACGGTTAGTTGGACAAAGAATTGTGCAGAGCATCAGTGCGTGAAGAGTCCATAATCATAGATTACCTGTTTCTAGTTCTGAGCAACTGGCATTTGTGCCTTTGAGGACCTCACTGGCGTTTGGTACTCACTTAGCATTGATTGGCATTAACAAAGGGCTGGTAGCTGCATTGTATAATGGAGATTGCAGGCGACACTGCCGGGGCTGGGGCTTTTCACGCTACTCTCACACAGCTTCTCCAGCTCCATGAAACAGAGGTAATTCGCATCTCCTCAGTTCCTTCTGAAGCAGGCATGACCACAAATGGAAAGTCAACATGCCGCAGAATGGTTGCTTATCAACGAAACTGGACTTCAGATATTCTCCCCTGTGTCACTACTTGCGCCGAAGTATTTGGTTGAAAGGAAGGACAATGCTGGGGGATGCTTCGTCCAAGAGGGCAGATCTAATAGATATTCCTTACTTTTAAGCCCTTTCGAGTGAGTGCACTTCATGTGGGAACTTCTGCCACTTTCCACTTTCATGAAACGTGCTTCATTCCCTGTGCCAATGCTGGCAAGGACCCAATGCCAGGGAGACCTTTCGGAAAAAAACGTGGTAATTGGCAGCTGGTCCAAGTACAACAGCCTAGTTTGCAGTTCAGGACCTGTCCAACTCAGGTCTACTTGGATGGATGCAGGCAAACGTATAGACAGCATCTGAGTTGGGCAGTTGTGTGCCTCCGTCAGGAGAAAGAGCCTTGATTGACACTGCTTGGTAGTCTTTGTGCAACCGCGTTCATCGGTCATGCTTCACATGGTGCGAAGGCATTGAGCTGCATTGAGCTGGGCCTTGAACGGGGGATGCCGGGTTTGCTTCTAAACCAATGCAACCACTGCAAGATTCAAGAGGCAATGCCACTGATAGCAAGAGCCTTTACACTCGCTGAAGATTAGACCGAAAGTTCTTGGGTCCGCGCATCAACGCTTGTGTCGTGTGTTGAATCAACACTTAGCTCTACAGCCCCTGTCCATAGGATATTGGATATTCTGACCATAACCTATCCCTCACTCTCGTGCAGAAAACGGCGCAGCAGCGAGCCCTCGAGGCCGCCGCTGCCAAGCACGCCAACGAATTAGCGCTTGCCAAACAGGCCCACGAGAGCGAGGCAGAGCGTCTGAGAACCCAGCACAGAGAGGCGCAAGAAGCCCTGAAAAAAGAGCATTTGGGGACGCTCGCTGATGTCAGCGAGCGGCACGCCAGCACGCTCGTGTCTGTCAAGTCCAACCACGCTCAGGAGGTTGCCACGTTGAAGAGCCAGCACGCGGGCGAGCTCTCTGCGCTGACGGACAGTCATAAGAATGAGGTTGAAACACTGACTGCCGAGCATGAAAGTCTGTTGGGAGAGGCAAGGGGAGAATTGGCTCAAGTTCAAGAGGAGCTTCGTGTTACAGAGCAGCATCTGGCGACGGAGCGGGAAACCGCGAAACAGCTCAAGGGGAAACTAGAGGCAGCGGAAAAGAGGATCATTGACCTGGGGAGGCAGGTTGCGCACGAGAAGGAGTTGGTTGAGGGGCTGCATGGGAGTCTGGAGGACACAGAGAAACATCTGGCGGGGGTGGAGGAAGCGCTTGCAAAGGAGAAAGCCCGGGGCGAGGCACTGGAAAAAGCGCTGGAGGAAGAGAAGGCCGGAAAGAAGGGGTCGGAGGAGCAGGCACGGCAACTGAAGGAGAAGCTGGATGCAGGTGAGCGATTTGAGTTGTCCGCAAGTCAGGTCCAAAACGGGGAACTAAGCTGTTCGCGAGTCAGGCCCGATTCGCAGAGTAAGCTATTTGCGAGTCAGGCCCGATTCGAATCCACCCAACAGGTTCGCTTGACGTAAGGGGCCTAGGTCCTGGTGTGAAGATTTCGAGCGATATTGGGCTCGTTCTGAGTATGTGTTTCCTCGCGCCTTGTATCTGTCAAAGCCCCGCAGCTCTGAACTCTTTCTGAACGAGTATTCTGGCACCTGCACCTCTGGCAGTACTCTCCCAAGAATACAGCTGGCTGAAGGATTCCTTTTTGAAGAGAGAATACAAGAAAAGAACGGCTTACAACAAGCCACTCCCTTGCACCATTTCGGAAGGAACTGCATCCAACTTGATACCATAAGGATACATGGAACGAGCATTTTGGCTGACAATTCTGTCCTGGCCTCTAGTTTCACTTTTAGCAGCTGACACAAATCTCATTCGTCCAGAGAAACAAGCCCGATTGGAGCTCGCCACCGCATTCCAAGACACCACCAACGCAAAGCACGCTTTGGAAGCCACCCTGAGCGAGGTCAAGGCGGCCAGGCAGAAGTTACAAGAGGACCACGATTCTTTGGCAGACAGACTAGCAAGCGAGGAGAAAGAACGAAAAGAAACCCAAGAACGCCTAGAGAAAGAAACAGCGGCGCTCAAGGAGATAAGCGAGGCCCACAAAGCAGTAAAAGCGAAGCTAGAGGAAGAGAAGGGCGCTAGAAAGGGGCTTCAAGCAGAGCACGATGCGCTGGGTGAGAAGTTCAGCCAAGAGGAGAGTGTGCGGAAAGAAACGGAGGGACTTTTCTCGAAGGAGAAAGCGGCGCGAAGCGAGCTGCAGGCGCGTTTGGACGGCGTTCGGACGGAGCTGAAAGCGGAGACGGCGTCCAAAAAGGCGCTCGAGACGTGGTCCGAAGAGCTCGCGGCGCGGCTGGCGAGCGAAGAGGCCGTCCGGAAAACGACGCAGGAGGAACTAGGGGCGGAGAGGAAAAGCGCCGCGGAGCTGCGGAAGAAACTGAGCGAGGAGACGAGCGTGCGGGCCGCGGTCGAGAAGAAGCTCGCGGAGACCGAGAACGAGCTCGACAGTGAGAAAGAGTTGCGGGGGTCGGTGGAGGGGAAACTGGCGGACGAGACGGAGTTGAGAAAGAGTGCAGAGAACGACGTCAGAGATCTGAAGAAGGATTTAGAGGTGGCGCGAAACGAGAGCGCGCAGCGGGGGAGCAAGTTCGAGGCGGAAGCGGCGAAGGCGGCGGAGCTGGCGGGGGCACTGCAAGAGGAGCAGAAAGCGAGGTGCGTTGGTGCCGCTCGCTCCTCTGAGCCTGTTCGTAATTGTAGCTTCTTTTGGAGTATCTGCTTTACCTACATACCGTGTCTCGGCGGCCTCATGGGTTTCAATGTCCTGCTTACGCCCAGGGAGGCGCGTCTGAGAAGAGTGGCTTTAACAACCAGGTGCTGGTCTGCTTGAGCCTTTTGGAAAGCTTCCCGGCGATCGTAATTTCCCTTCGAAACGTTTCAGAGCTGGAAGGACGTCTCTTGGGAAGGTCAAAGGAACAACTCCCCCAAAAAATGTGTTCTCCTATTTCGACGTGTAACCGCCGCTCCTTGCTTGCGATTGGGCCTCCATTTTTGGACTAGTTTCGATGTATCAAGCTCTCAAGGTTGACCGGAATCTAGAGAGCTGTGTACCTCTTCACAAGCTACTCATTCCGTTCAAAAGCAGGGATGGCAAGTTCTCCCGCTCGTGTAGACTGTCGGACTTTATTCGTCAGGGGAACATTCCAGAAGGCCTCACGTAGAGTGCTGACCATCCTTATCCATTTCGAGACTTACAGAATTTTTTAAGTTTCTTGTGAAGTCTGTGGAAGAGACCGAAGAGCACCGCAAACGCTTGTTATCGATTTTTGTGGCCCATCCACAGCCGGACGGATGTCTCCGTGAAATTGAAGCAAGAGCGCAACGCGAAGGCGAAGCCGCTTTCAGTCCGAAAACTGCTAGATCATTGCTATGTCTGTGTAACCCTTCCTAAAGTTGTCCGTGACACGTTTGGCCCAGCTCCGACTCATCACTCGCCTGAGCCACGAGCACAAAGAAAAGTTGCTAAGGAAATCGACAGTCCCCACAGTTCATCCTGAATTTGCCTGTACATGTCGCGTGCAGGTCTGAGGGTCACAGTCCAACTAACTCAGGAGCGGAAAAAGGCGAAGGCCATTGTTGAGCTCCATTCCGAAGTCGCCAACAAACTGATATTCTCACGAGTTCGTTGTTGAGTTCATACTAATGTCTGCTCTGCAGGTCTGAGGTCACCGCTCAACTATCCCAGGAGCGCGAATGGAAGGCGAAGGCGATTGCTGAGCTGCAAAAGGAGCGCGCGACTCTCGCCGATACGGAGAAGCGGCTACAGGCCGAAACGGAAGTGAAGGACCGAACGCAGGCGAGCTTCGAAAAGGAAAAGGAGAGGTCGGAGAAGCTGGGGCGGGAACTAGAGGTGGAGAGGATAGCGTGGGAAGCGGCAGAGGAGACGATCAAGAAGGAGAAGGCGCTCAGGTTAGAACTCGCAGCTTTAGTCAAGATACAAGACGTTTTCCTGAGAAATTTCGAAATGATGGGAGCATTCTTGCCTGCTGACGCCCTTCTTCCTGATCTTGAGACATTTACTGTCATCGAAGCGCCGGGTCTTTTGGAGCGGCAATATGATTACGAAAGGGAACCTGGTTCAGGTGTGGATCCCATTAAGCATTGCCTGATTCTGAAAGCAGAGCTGGGGTGTCCGAGACGGTTTTGGTTCGGCGCTTTCGTTAGCAGACCGTTAAGAGCAGAGCAACGAGGGAAGGCACTTTGCAAAGCCTTCTTCTGTGTAAAAGTCTCCTCATGGAAGTCTGGTCGACTGAGAGCTGCTTTGCTTTTGGCCGTGTCGGTGCTGTAGGCGAGTTTGAAGAGATTGGTGCTACAGCAGCGTCCGAAAGTCCCGGATCGTTGAGTGCGTCTGAGCCGCAAGGGGATTCGGTTCTTGCAAGGGCTTGTGACGAACCACCAAAAGTCTGCGCGAATATTTTCTCGAAAGGCATTCAAAGGAAGTTGAAGCGGATCTTGGGCCACACGCTTTTGAACGACTGTTCTTTCTCACCGGGATCTGGAGTTAACTGTCTAGCAACCACGACCAGGCCTCGAAACGCTCGAAGCAAGACGCGCATTTCCCTGCAGGGCCGCGGAGCTACAAGAAGAGATCCAGCTGGTGCAAGGGCTCGAGTCGGAGCTGCAAAAGGAGAAGGACCTGAGCGCGCAGGTCTTCAAGGAGTTGCACGAGGAGATTGAGCGGAGTCAGGCGCTCCAAGAGAGCGTCAAAAAGGAGAAGGAGCTCAACCGGCAGATCCGCGCAGAGTGGGCGCGCGAGAAGGAGATGAAGGCCAAGGAAAAGAAGTGGCGGTAACAGGGGGCGGAGTCGGGGACTTCGGTGGGAGCCCATGAAGTTGATAGCTTTTTGAGTTGAAAATTCGTTGGATCATGCCGGCGTAGGGAGTGTGCGCACTTGCCGCGCCATGTCTTGAAGTATGATAAGCATGTTGTTAGGCGTTGCAAGAGATCAGGAATACTAGTACGTAATGGATCTGTTTGGTCGTAAACGCTTTTGAAAGATTCAGATACAGGGTGTCAAGTGATACAAGGTCTTGGTTAGTTGCTGATTCCGGCTCTAGAATGGAGAAAACGGCACAATAAGTCAGTAGCCTGGTCGATGCGCATAGGCAACCAAAGTTGCCCATGCAGTTTTCTTGTACGACCTGATTATCGTCCAGATTGGGAAGTCAACTTTTCCTGCAATACAATTACAGTCTTGCAGGAGTCGGCCCGGCGCCAGGTCCTGCCTAGATCGATAAACGCTTATCTCAATGGGCTGCCTGGACTGGGCATGTTCACCGCTCATTGAAAATGAGAAATGATGATATAGAGTTAATGACGTCATTCCAAAAGCTAGTTGGCATCCGTCATGCATAACCTAGGACAGCCCGCATGCAGGCCATGAGCTGGCACAAATATATGTACGCAGAGCTTGAGCCTCGAAGTGTTGCAAGTTGCACAGGTGGGTTGCAATAATTGTTGAAAATTGAGCGACTCCCGCTTTGCCTTGCTTGCGACCCGTACGCAAGAAAGGCAGATCCATCATGACCGCTCATATATAGAGAAGCTAAAGTGATCGAAGCGGGTCCCTGAGTATGGACGCTGTCCTAGCTGGAGCCGCAAGGAAATAATCCCTGTAGGGTCGAATGTTTCTTCAGAGGGTGCAGATTCGATGTAAGTGTTTGCCAAAAATGGAGAGACTGCGGCCTCCACATAACCATTTCTAACGGAGACAGACTGTGCATGCATGTCGCCGAGATCCAGACTTCATCTGAATCCTGTCACTGTATCTTGATTGTGGGAATGATATGACAGAGTTCAGAAAGCTGGGAGGCAGGGTTTTCTGACTTTCATCGAACAGTAACCAGCTTTTGTTGGAGGGCCGCAATGGTACTCTGCAGACTGCAACCAATAAGAAACGTAGCATTCAGCTGTGCAGACAATGTCACTCATATCCCTTCAACAATCGCTTGTATAGCTAAGCTCGATCAGAGTTAGTGCTGGCATCTGGCGCACCAACATTCAGGACTTGAGTCACTTCTTGCCCCCGCCACTTATCTGCCGCCAAAACCTCCCCACATTCTCCCCTACGTTCCGTATTAGCTTCTCTACCGGGTTAACTTCCTGTTTTGATTCCACCCCCGCCTTTGCCGCTGCCTCCGCTTCCCTCCGCCGATCTTCTTCCTCTCTATAAGCCATCCCCTCTTTTTGCAAGCCCCCCATGGCGGCAATTTTCTGAGCGGCCACAGCATCTGCTTCTTCTCGGTAGGCCATCCCCTCTTTCTGGGGGGCAGCACTCCCCCCCGCTGCTCGAGGCTCACTCGAGATGCTCTGAGAACCCCCAGGACCAGAACTAGGGGTGGCTCCACTTCCTAATATCGTTATTGTGTTAATTCACTCTGAGCGCCCAGCCACAGCTTGGTTCAAAACTGTATCAGAATTCGATATCTGCAGTGCAATCAAATTGAACCAAAGATGGGTGCAAAATCTGCCTTGAGTGTTGCCCGCTCAATCAAAATCAGAGCCCACTCAATCAGCGCACAGTCAACCAATCCCCAGATTTGCTGAAGCTTTCCGCTTTAATTTAAAATTCTTGTTTCCTCCCTGGAGTGAGATTATAGCCAGATATGATCAGAAGCTGACAACTATGTGAGGCCAGCTTGAGCTAAGCAACTGATTGTGTGAAAAATATTTATTTCCCTTGCTTTCCATTTCTTCGAATTCCCCCTTCACTGCTGCCCTGGCCCAAGTGAAGCTCCGGTTGCTACAGACTGAGCACTGCAATCTCAACCAAAGCTGATCTGCTCGCTCGAGACGAGCGTTTGTAAGAGCCTGCCGTGGGCGGATATTGCAAAGGCACTGGACTCCAGAATTTTGCAGCCGCCAGGCTGGGCAAGAAAACGTTGGGCGCAGTCTGCTTCGCGCACAAGTGTTGTAAGGCAAAATGCTCCAGACGCTCTTCACCTCTAGAGAGTGCGTTCCTTCTAGGGATGCCTCGGCCTGTATGGCTTGACCCATTTTCATCCCGATTTCCATCCTACTTGGCATCCTTTTCCACATGGCAGCCGGTGGTTGAAACATATTTGGCCCACAGGGGATCCCTGTAGATGCCGAGATTCTAGCATCTGAGATATGCCAAGCTGAAGGAGAATGCAATCATGGCGCCTAGCAAATGTGCACATCAAAGTCCGTCACGCTTGTGAAAGCATCAGAAAGATACTCCGAGAAAATCACGCTTATAATTGGCAAAAGTGTTCTGGGTTTGGCTCTTAACCTGATAGCTCGGTTCTAGAAGCAGCCGATCCTTGGCGCAACCCAAAAAGCCTGAGCTAACCCTTGACACATTTTTAACAGGCGGTTAGCCATTTAACCAGTCGTCTCAATGACGCATCAAGTCGGCGAAACGGCGGACGTTGACGTCACTTGGTCATTACGTCTGCTTAATCATTCGTCAAGTCCAGTTGGCAGCTTGCCAGCCTTCAACACAGCTGCCGTGGTAGTGCAGTGTGCACAACACGCTATATATCTGCTCTGAGCAGTTGTGCATGTGCGGCGGCTGCACATTACTCACATTGCACAGAGCACATGGGCTGCTTGAATGATGGCTCTCTTCAAAGATGCCCAAATACTGGAAGTATATCCGAGGCATCAGCACCTTGAATATGCCCCTCTTCGGCGCACGCAGGAAGTTGAATAAGCAGACTTCTGAGATGGTCTTTGCAAGCAGATTTATGGTATATCCTCAAAGCACCTCAGCTGCCTGGCTTTCTGCGCTGGCCTGTCCAGAATCCAGTTCCAGTGAAGAAACGCGGTTCTAGTGAAGAAACGCCGAATTGCAGCTAGTCACTCTGCTACCAACATCCGAAAAAGGCGGTGCTATTAAGCAGATCGAGCTCCATCAGCATTCATTCTCACCAAACACTCTCACCTCTCCTTAGCTGACAATCCAAGCGCAACAATGGCTGCCTCCAGCTTCTTCTTGGTGGCTGCCCTCCTGGCCGTCTGCATTCCTAGCGCTGTCGCCGGCCTCGGTCTCGATGTGTCCTCGGTGAGACGATCACGGAATCTGCTTTTGGTTCTTGACATTCACAGCTGCGCTGTAATCAAAACTCCATGTTGAGGATAGAAGCACAATGGGCACACGTTGTTGGCGTCCTTTAGCTTTGGATGTGCGTGATCTTCTCGTGTAGCTTTTCCCCAGAGAAGCTGATTGCTTGCTTCCAACCCATGACCCTGCGAGAAGAATCCAGTGTGTCTTCGAGTGTGAACAAACAAACAAAGGAGAGTCGCCCCCAATTTGGTCCTACCCCTAACTTCTCAGCTCACTTAAGGCTGCTTACGATTTGCGACTGACTCGTAAACTTCAGCTCCAACACGTGTCCATGCTCTGGCTATGATCCACTTACGATAAGACTTCATATTCTCCTCAAACACTTCCTTATCATCAGTTAAAATCTCCTACCAGAAATCGTTTCTTCTTCCACTCACAATACTGCCTGAAGTTCCCCAAAGTGTGGCAACTCTATCACTTTCTTCCCCGCTCAATTCATTTCAGAGTCCACATCCTTCCTCCATCCTATCCTTAACCATTTCACTTGGTCAGCTCCCTATTTTATCAAACTCTCTCTTGCCCTGCTACTGGACCTTCTGTCATTTTCCCCCTGTTCAGAATCTTCTCATAGTCCAGTACTTCCTCTCTCCAATCCTTAACCATTTCACTTTGTCAGCTTCCTCCGATCAATCTTTTCTCTTTTGCCCCCAGTCCTACTCGACCTCGTCGTGGAGCTGCTGGCGCAATGTGAACTCCGGTTTCAACGTCGCCATCGTGCGTGCTGGCCGGTCCTCCGGCACTGTTGACCCTAACGCCGCACAGTCCCTCAAGAATGCTCAGGCTGCCGGCTATGCTTACAGGGTGAGCCTGCATTCTGAGATTTGCCTCAACCATGGGCAGGTTTGATCCTGATAGGCTGCTCAACCTGGCGCTCTCGCCTTCCTTTTACATGCTCAAGCTCGTTGAAAGTGTAAGCGTCCTGCTACGCCTACAGGGTAAGTCTGAGCTTTGAGAGGCGTCTCTTTCATGGGCTGCACTTGACTACTTTCGTGATTTGAATTGAAGACCACTGCATGTATAGAAGCTCACAAACGTTTAAAGCCCACAGAACGTTTACGCGCGTGCAACATAAAATGCCAAGTGAACATTGAGCCATCGGAGGATAAATACAAGCACACTAATGTGTAGAGCCAAATGAACGAATACAAGCCCTCTGAATGAATAAAGGCAGGTCAATTGTCGAAAGCCTATTATTGCAGAAAGTCAATTAAAGTGAAGTGATAACATAGAAGGCACTGATCGTACAAAGCCAAGTGAAAGGTTATAAAGCAGCTGATTGTAGGTCCTCTTGTTCACTGTTGTACGTTCTGATTGAGTTTGTGCCAACGAATTTCTGTCTTGCCCTCACTTCGTTTGCCAACTCCCATCCAATTCTCTCTAAGAGCTCGCACCAACTGTCGCCAACCCTTACTGACCCTCACTAACCCTTTCTGACCGTTCTCAAATCCCTCATATTGTCTCTCCTCCTTGCAGCACGTGTCCATTCCCCTCAATAACTAATGGAGTTTCCCTCACTAACTCGCGCAAAGTCCCTCAAGAACTCTTTTCTCCCGCAGCACGTGTACATCTTCCCGTGCGCCCATTCCGGGTGCCCCTCCGCCGCGTCCCAGGCCAACAACGTGATCGACAACTTGCGCGGCGCGGGTGCGCCCTTCTCCAAGGTGTGGATCGACGTCGAAGGCCCCGTCGGCACCTACTGGACCTCCAGCACCTCAACCAACCAGCAGTTCCTGATCAACATGATCGGCGCACTCAAGGGCAAGGTGAGCCAGCGCAACTGCAGATTTCGTGCTCTTCTCGGTCGACATTCTGGGGATCGTTTGAGGGGATCCCTTTGTAAACGTTTCGGCGCAACTGAACAGCAGGTTCGAAAAGCACGTACATAATGCAGGTCGTTCGGGCAACTCCGGTTCAACCTCGAGTCGGCTTACGTCTCAGAGCAGGCTTTCGCTTACGTGAGGGCGCAGTCCAAGCTTGCTAGCACTTAATCTCTGCTTCAAACGGGTACCTGACCATTTGCCAACCTTTCAATCACTCTAACAAAAAAAAATCGAGACTTCAATTGAACGGCGAGTCGAGGACCGAGTTCAAGTAACTCAAAAGCGGAGTGCGGCTGGAGGTAGCACATGGCTGACGTCACTTCCGCCAGATCCTCTTCGAAACCCCATCCCAACCCTTGCCAGGGCCTGACGACTGATGCGGCATCGAGTCCTAGTGGGCGTCATCATGGGCATCTACCGTTAGAGATGACGCGTTGCTGACGTCACTTTTCCCCATTTTCCCAGGGCCTGACGACCGCCCAGATCGGCATCTACACGTCCAAGTCGCAGTGGCCGTCCATCATGGGCTCCGCCGACTTCCACTCGTACGCGCTCTGGTACGCGCACTACGACGGAGTTTTCGACTTCAGCGACTTTTCTTCGTTCAACGGCTGGACGACTCCGTGCATGAAGCAATATGCCGGCAACCAGGCGCTCGGGTGCAACGGCGGCTCCACCCCCGCCGCCGACAAGAACTACTATTCCTCCACGTCGTGCTTCTAGGCGCGTGCCACGTGGCGGCGGTCTGACAGGTGGCAGTGTTGAAGAAGGTGTGAGGATAAGGTAGCTCGAAAATGATTGTGTTGCTCGCAAGTCGCGTGTTCGAAAGGTTTTTGAGAAAGGTGGAGGTATTTGGTAGATGCGTCGAGAGACCTTGCCAAGTTTTGTACTGTGTTCAGCGCGCGCCAGTGGTGAAGCCCAGCGTTTTTGGAGCAGGTAAAGTTGAGATGCTGGACATTTAGACGGAATTCCATTTTGAGCCAATTAACGCGCGCTTTCCAGACTACGAATTCCAAGAGCAGTTTTGTAAAGAACTTGATGTCGATTCTTCTAATTGACTTCTGCGACTTTGTCCCCCGTTCATTGGAAGACTCCTCTTTCCATTTGCAGCTTGTTGAATGCCACTTCGGCGCTTCAAGAATGTGCTATTTCAATTGAAGCTGCTCGACCAAATCTCGAGTGCGTTTGCAATCGACGGGCGGAAAACAACATTTGATCGCGCGAGCATCACTAGATGACGTGCACGCTTGTGGCAAGCGCTCAATCTTTGATCAAATATCATAATGTGTACGTTGCTGAGAGAGTGGAATCCGCAGTTCTCCCATATTGCTCAAAACCCAAGCGTCCAAATGTGTGGAGAATCCACGATTCCGTGACTTTGCCCAACTAAGCCCACATTTCGACTAATTGTTGCTTGTAACATTCGATTGGACAGAGTAGCCTGGCTTTCCTCCCCTATATGAGTATATGAGGATGCACTCGGATGCTCATCATTCTCGTGGTCATTGAATAATGCTGCATGTGTGGGCCCAATAATAGCTATCACTCAGTCTGAAGCGCTCAGTTGTATAAACCCACACTCTGATACCTGTTAGCTAGATATGGCTGTGACCAGATTCTGGGATTCGACTCCGCATTTCCAGAGAAACGATCTTCAATTCTCGTCACTCCGCCATGCAATGTTAATATACCGGACAAGGTCCGAGTCGATCACGGGTTCACCCGGCTTTCTAAATAACTTAGTATCTGATACACAGCGGCATGTATCAAGGATTCAAATCAAAGAACAACGCGAGTCGATGAACGTGTGAAATCAGGACGCGAATCCATCTAGGAAAACTCGACGTTGCAGACTACAGGAACGTTCAACTTGAATCTACAATACGGTAACTGGATACCCAAAAGGAGAACCAGTCCCGATTCACCGGCCTCAATCTGACAGCCCCTATGGTGGTGTTTTTTGTGTTTACATGTAAGTTTTACCGCCATCCCGAAACATTCCATGCATCTAGTAGGAGTGCATGCTTTTCAAATCAATGTCATTGTCACCATCATGGCATGACTGGTATTCGGGTCGGGGATCTCGAGGCAATCATCTTTCCCAAAGGAAGTCGTCTTAAGTGATTCTTGAGTCTTGGGGTCTGTTTTCAGTACGCCGTACTAGCCAAGTTTCTTAGAGCAAACGTACGTGTTTTAAGACCTTTCTTGACCTGGAGTGATCACAAGCGCGTCACCAGTCTACGTATACCGTTCTGGTCCAGCACCCAAGTTGAAAACCGCATGACCACAAACTCTCGAACCTCTTCCCTGAATTCGCAACTCTCGGCTTCTGAATTTTCCCGCCAAGTTCTTACAGCAACTTGTTGACGTGCGCTTTTCCTTGTTGGCTATCAACTCGTTCCGTTTCGAAAGTTCTGGCGACCTGTGAACTGCTCGACGGACTCACCCTTTCAAGGATTACATTGGAGGTTTGTCGGTCCTGTCAAGTTGCAACACGCAGACAAGGAGCCCAACTTCACTACGGGTATAACTTAGACACAGTGCTTGAATCCATAAATCTACCATTGTATGCGAATGCCTGTTAACCAGACCCGTCCGTTATGCGTCGTACCCAGAAATGCCCGCGATGAGCGCGGTGAGAACCTTGTAAGCGTTTCCGGAGGCGAGGCCGAAGAAGTTCCCAGCCTGCATGTGCGGAGAAATTTTCAGGACATTGTTCAACCACTTTGAACCCTCTGCAACCTTCTAGGCTATCTATTGCATGTGTAATCGTTAAGGAAATCTGGTAAGCTTGTGGGCTAGGGCAGAGAGAAGTTTCATTCAATGAATGATACAGCAGCGGTGCCTGCTGACGACTGCTTCGCGTCACTTTCCTCGTTGCTCAAAACAGAGCCATTTGACGAGACTTGAAACAATTCGTAAGTCATCCTGGCAGCACCAATCAAGGATCACCGCAGGTCAGAATCTTGACCCCAACCCTGAGCGCGCGCCGCCTGTAAAACACAGCGTGCCCTTGGTGCACGTTCCGCGTGCCAGGTGTCATAGTAAAATTCTGCCCACGTGGCACCACTCCAGTAGCTGCTACAACTCTGAGCAAGATTGGAGTTGCAATTCGAAGGCTCGAGTCGGCCCACCTCGTTTTCCTGCGCTCCGCCACCAGCCAGATCGGACACGGAACGGAAGATGATGAACGGAATTCCGTTCGAAGTTGCGACCTGCAGGTATTAAGTGCGAGCAATTTCAATTTTGACAACCGGCGGCTATGGTAGGAGGATGGATAAATCCTTTGCAAGCTGCGACGGGTCCTTGCACGGTGGCATCCTCTCAAAATAGCCGAACCAACAATTCGTGATCCAAACTCTGTCTGCTTTGGTCTGCCTGCAAGGCTTTCTGCATCCGACTGTCGGCTCCTTCCATGATGTGCTGAGGCCTCTCTTTCATCACCCGAACGAATCAAACGGCGGAAGCGAGAAACGTTCCGGAACAGGAAGCCAGCAGCTACCGACGAGCCAAACGTGACGCCTTGTGAGTCAGCAAGGGTCGGGACGAAACTCAGATTGACAAGACGAGTACTTCCTTCGGAAACTTTTTTGTGGGATCTCGGCTTACGTCCTCTTTGGGCGTCTCAAAATCCAGCCCGAATAACCGAGGTTTCAATCAGTCAGTACAGAGAGCATTATTGCTCTATTGGCGATGACATTTATGGCGATGGTCCAAGCTGGCCTTTTTTAAGCGTCTCAAAATGGTGCTCCTCAAAAACCAACAAGATGAGCAAACCTGGTTTTCCTAAAACCTTACGGCGATGCGCTGAACGGTTTTCAGCGACCTTCGGACTGAACCATCCAATTTTAGGTACTATTAGGCTCTCGTAAGCCACTTTGAGTTAGACGCTTGGAGTCAACTCCAGGATCCCAAACCCGAACGTTTTGATTCCCAAAACCCTGAAAGCCTGAGCCTTCGAACACCTTCGCGACCGTAAGCCAGTTTGAGTAGGGACCTCGTAAGTAATGACAAGATCCTTAACCCAAGAATGTAGAACCCCAAGCTCTAAAGCCCGAGGCCTTCAACCCACCATGGCAACCGTAATCCAATTTAATTGGGGCAAAGCATCTCCAAGATCCCTAACCCAAGAATGTTAACCTTTTCCCGCAAACTTTGAAAGCCTGAGGCCTCCAGCCCACCATGGCGACCGTAACCCACCCCGGGTGGGGCCCTCAAACTCAACTCCAAGAAGCCCAACCCAAGAATTTATACGTTAACCCCCAAAACCGAACCCTCAAACCCTCGAACCCACCATGGCGACCGCGGACGACTCCATGTCGATGGTGAGCACGGGCTTCCCGGGCGCCCCGAGGGTCGCCCCGATGAAGTCACGAATTGCCGCGTTATCCACGAAAATCTCGGCGTCCACGCCCCGCGCACCGATGACGATCTTGGGCTGCTTGGAGAGGCACCCAGTGCGGGCGGTCATGTTGCTGCAGTCATCTAGTTGTAGATTCTGCAAACACGAACAGAGAATCCGGTTTGGATGACCTTGCTTCGGAGGCATGTAAGAGCCAGGATTGCTTAGGAAAGTACAACGGGACTTTTCAGAAATTCTTTTTGAGGTTGGCGGTTTAGAGGCACCCAGTGCGGGCGGTCATGTTGGTGCATTCGTCGAGTTGCAGGTTCTGCGCACAGAGCGAGGTGAGATTCAGTATAAAAGCACGATCATTTTCGCAATCAGAACATTGATATTTGATCTGGTAAGAATAATTGGAGAATGAGGTGGATGAGCTGTGGACGGCAGTCGCAGATTATTCGCGTCGTTCTTGCTGCAACGAGGAAGGGCTCGGTGCCTTCAGCTTCGATAACGGAGCCGTGAAGTGAGACTTTCGCGGTCTTGTCGTCTCGCTTACGAAAGCACGCAATCTCCTCCAATTCAACCAGGAACAGTGATCCTTTACAACAGATGCCTCTCGTTTCCCAACCAGATACAGGGGTCGATCAAAAGCAAGAACTCTTTGCGCGACGTTGCAAGTCCCCAACTGTCAGCCCTTCCCGAGTACTTTTCGGAACACGCTTTACGGAAAACCTAAACGTCATCCTGACGTCATGCTTACCGCCAGGCTGCCCGCAATCGACAGGAGCCCCGCATCCGCCGGGAAGAACAGCGTTTGAACACGTGTCTCCGCGTCGGGCAGTTTGAACAGCTCTTGCCTTTGGAGCCAGACCGAGTTGAGCGAGTTCGGGGTCATCGGTCCCGTTGCGCTGTAGTTGCCGAACGCGAGCCGTCCGATCTCGCGGGTGTAATCGCCGAAGGCCTCGAGAGGAAGAGGGTCGTCCGGGGTGAGGCCGTCTCTCTATTGGGAAAAAAGAGGGTTAAGGACGGGTTAGTAAGAGAGAAAGCAGAAGGAGGTCGCTTGGGGCGAGGCCGTTTTCCTAGGGAAGACGAAAGAGTTACGGGAGGTTTTGGATGAGAGAACAACGTGCAAACCTTGGCATCCAATGGAGTGCTTGAAAAAGAGGGAGCGTGCTTTGTGGGCAGATCAGAAGACAGATCGGGGACAAAGGGAAAAGAGGAGAGAGTAAAGACGAATGTTGACTGACGGTGTTTTGAGCTCGAACGGTGGTGATTGGGCTGAATAAAAGGCTGACCGGTTGTGGAAGATCGTAACAAATGCACGTCCGGATCTTGGAAAGTTGTTGAGTCACTCGAGGAATAGAGTAGGATACTGTCTGGGATTTTTGAAACTTGAAGGAGATCCAGCCGTCTAGGACATCTGTCGTGAATGGTTCTGGGCCGTCGATCGTTTGGGCTTGAAGGAGCTGCGGCGATCTGGATCGGTTTACCCACAGGAATTGCTCGCATGAAACAGATGGGGGTCTTCCTGCAGGAAACTAAATGCCTTGATCTCATCTCCCGTGAGCTCAACGGCCTCCTCTTGAGAACTGGCCCCTCCGAGCAGAAATCAAAATCGTCATCCATCTCTCTGAGCAGACGCCATCCCACCTGCCAGCTCCACAAGCCCCACGTGGCCCACTCCGACGCGATGCTGACGTCACCCAGGTTCGAGGACTCGTCCGCACCGCCTGCAATCCCGTAGTGCAGAATCTTGTCGACGTAGAAATAGTCGATGAGCAGCTGCGTGGTGAGTGCCGCGTTCACCTGTGAAGAAAAATGAATGCATCAAACGATGTCGCAGCCGTGCATAGCTTATAAAGTCTTGGGAGCGTTGGACTCTGATGGAGAATGATTGTGACGAGGGGTGGGGCTTGAAACAGGTCTCGAGGTTTCTCGGGTTCACGGTTTCCCGTTTCTAAGTTAAAAGACGGACGAGGAGAAACGGAAGTGGCCAGGTAAAGGACTGATAAGAAAGAACTTTAAACTTTTAAGTGATAGTTTGGCACCTACCTGGAGGGTGGAAAGATATGCGTCCAAGAACATGAAAGTTCGGCTAACATCTTTTTCCAGCGAATGCGATCCGTCGCATTGCTGGTCCTTGTCCATTTCTTGATGGACAAGAATTGGATTTCATCTTTGCGCCTCTGAAATCTCATACTGCCTGGCTTAGTGAACCTTCTGTAGAAACAGACCCTCAATCCGAGCCTGCTTATGCAAACGCTCGAGCGCACTACGTCCCTTTGCTTACGTCACGGCTCGACTCTGCTTACGTGGGTCAGGCCGCACTGCACGACGACCACCTTCTTGCCGTCGATGGAGCCCACGTGGAAGATGCGCGCGTTGACGCTGATCTCCTGGGTCTCCGTGAACGTCGATGACGTCAGCAGCGACTGCAGGGTCCGCAATCATAGGACGGTCAGGATTCATCAAGAACGGTCCGACTATGCAACCCAAAGGCAGTTCTCTGCGAGCTTTGCTTCGCATGTTTGACTGCCCAGCATTGGAGCTAGAAGGTTTGCATGTCATCAAAAGTAGCGCCCAACGTTGGAGGTTCTGAAATAGCTCTTGTTCCTAAAACGAGGTCGATCGAACGAGCTGTTAGAACGGTTGAAATGCCAGAATGCGGGCCCAAAGAAACAAAGATCAAAGAAAAATCTCCAGAGTCTTGTTCAGGTGACTTAAGTTCGCCAGGAGGAAAAATTAGCCGTCCCCCTTACCGTTTGCGAAAATGAGAGTCCAAAGAGCGTTCCTTTCAGCTTGAGCAAGTGAAAGCTAGTTCCAACATCGTCAGAATGAGATATGATCACTTCAAGCTGCCCTCATGCTCTACACATCTCAAGACAAGCTCACATACAGCACCTCCGCACGAACCTGCAGTAACTGCAGTATAAACAAAATCGACATCAGAAATCAAAATCGAACGCGCTCTGACTTACCACAATCTCAAACGGGTTTGGCACCACAATTCCAATGTACGGCCCGTTCCTGTTCACTGCATTGATGCCCAAAGCCTCAAGCTTTGCCTCGGGGGAAAGCCCCGGGGGGCCCCCAGCGCAGTAAGGGTCCTGGCCAGGGATTGAAGGGCAACTCCCAGCGCAGCATATGTACTTGCTGCCATCGGCGTTGTAGCAGGGGTTGGGAGAGCCGGGGCTTGGGCACACTGAGGAAGATGGAGACCAAAAAAGGTATAAGAATACGATGAGAATGACGTTCATCATGTGTTTGAAAATGTTCACGATTTGGTACAAAGATGACGCTCACGACGCTCATGTTCAGTAAAGGGATTGCTGTCCATCTTAATAGAATCAGAGGAAAGAGAGACTCGCTATTGAAGAAGGGAACCGTAACGCAGAGGCTTTCGGTCTTCTGTGAGATGTTTTGTGTGGCATTGACGAAAGGTTTCAGAGTCTAGGGGTTTAGAGTAAGAAGGATGAAAACGTGCCGAGACAGGAGGATACGTGTGACTGTGGACCTGGTTGAAAAACGTGATTCCGCTCAGAAGGTGAAGGCAAGAGCAAATGAAAGGGCCGAAATATTGACACCCGTGAGCGCTCAATAGCGGCACGCTAAACCATATGTACAAGCATGCTGATTGTGCTAAGGACCCTTCTTTGTGCCTGATTCAGGTTTGAAAAGAAAGATAGGTGCATTCTGTTCAAAAGACGTGTGCTATGTCAGCTTGCAGTGGCATTGTTTGAGTCTGCCTTTGCCTGGAGTGGTCATGAGAGCAGCTTCAACTCCGCAATCAAACCAACTCTACCTGCAAAGTCAAGGCTTGGTATCTGTCGCATACTCTAACTAACTACAGAATCAACGGGTCTTTCACATTCTATGGTTTGTGGTTTTACCTGACTGTAGAAACCGCTTACGATATACTTTTTGAGGCCTTACCTGACTAAAAAAGGGCTTAAATGATAATTCCTTTGTTTCTGGTGGCCTTACCTGACTGTAAAAGCGCCCGGGGTCCCTTGCCGTGTGAGCTGGCTGCATTGAAGAATAAGGGGGTTCAGCCTTCGACATGATTACTTCTTTTTGGTCAAAAAGGCGGGAAAAGCTATCATTAAAAATCTGTTCTTGGCTTCGAATGCACTGCATCTCTGCATTGCGACCATGGAGCAAGGAACTAGTCTTAGCTTAGAAGCCAACAACCTCCTGATCTCTCTGAGAGTGTCCGTGAAATGCCGCTGTTGCCACCGTAAGGCTTTGTAGCGCCCGCCAAGCAGTACGCAGCCAGGCTCGAGTAAAGCATTTGGAGATTACATAATCAGGGTTTGAAAGATACAAATTGCTAAGATGCAATCTTCTCATGTTTGAGCAGCTGGGAAGTTTAGCTCAGAAGAGAGTCCTTAAGTGACCTCTCCAAAAGGCCAGCCGCAGAGAGGAACGCACTGGCTACAATGCTGTGTAAGATCTCACAGCAGCTGATTGAATTTCTGCACAAGTTTTTGTGGCTTGAGGTCACGTCACGACCTGATTTAGGCTCAATATTTTGATCTGAACTTAAGATCGCTCAGTCCAGGTCGGTCAAATCTCAGCTCCCTAACGTCAAGAATCAACCTCTGAAAGGTGATCAACAGGAAAAGCCAGCCTGTGTTGAGGAGTGTTCAATCTTTATTCAGAGCGGTGCAGTTGAAAAGATTCCTTGCTTTCTCAAGTCAATTGTTGTTTTGAGAAAAGAGCTCAGGAGAATAGGAAAAGATTGCTCAGAGTAGCGGCGACGAGTGGCTGAACTTTAACAAGAACAAAAAGAAATTCCTTTTGATAAGTCTCATGTGTATCCTGACAGGTAGTAACAGGTTGCAGCTTTCTAGAAGGGCACTCCCTGAACAACTGAGCTTGATATGTTTGCCATTGGCAGCTGGCAGCATTGCAAGAATCCGAAGTAGTCAGCATTGTGATTAGAACCAACACCAAATTGGCTTTCCCTAAATGTATGTCTGAAGGCTTGATGTTCCGGACAAAAGCATCAACGAGCACCGCAGCTTCTTTGCGGCGAAACATAGACAGAGAGACAAGTCCAGCCAAAGCTTAAGAAACTCATATCACAATCTCTTGCAACCGGCCATGATGCCAATGCCACAAGCTCCGGGCTGATCTCCAGCTGAATTTCAGCAACTTAATGTGAAACCATAATTGTCCATGTGAGCTTGAGCCATCACCTGATGATGATCTGCATTTGATTGTGCAGTGACAGGGGCTTCTTTTGAGCTGCGGCTAGCCTGAGCTCAAATCAGATCTCGTATCATCCATGCATGCTGACGAAAAGCACGTACCTGAAGAGGCGCCGCAGAACAGAACGACAAGAACAAAGCTCGCCACCAGCTGCGAGTGCGCCATCTCTGCGGACTAGGAAGCGGCCGCTAGACGATGGGAGGTAGCTAGCTGCCCCTTTTCTTGTTTTGATCCCAGGCCTTCAGATTGCTCACAGGGCTGCTAGCCTCCTAGCTGATCGATCGTGCTTGGATGACATTGAAGTGATCACACTAGCTATAGAGTATACTGATTTGCTGAGGTCGTCGCCAGCACATTCTCGAGTCGAATCTTGATGAAAGCTCTGGACAATTTTAGGAAGACAGAATGCTACCTACTGTAGCTATCATGACCTACCTGGGTACGGTAACTACGGTACCTACCACTGCTGCAGGGACAGTCTACAAAGCTACTGTAGGCACATCTAGTACAGGCACGTAATACGGTACACTCGTTGGGCGGGACTCGGTAGACCCAGCAGGCCGGCCGCAGACTACCAGTAGTAAGTACCTGTAAACTATGGTGCCCGGGGCGGTGCTCATCATTGCAGAATTGGTCGTCACCACCATGTCAGACTGTACGGATCACGTGGGACGCGGTGCCCGTGTCGACCAATCCTCGAGTTGCATGCTTCGTGCGACGCGTCGGAAGCATCTTCCAACACCTGTCGAACTCCGGAGCATCTTTTCCGCCCAGTGCAGCGGATTTTTCCGTCCTCCATCATATGGGGAGAGTGGGGAGATACCGGTATCTAGTTATTAGTATCCCTAGCTGACTCAGCGCTGAAGATGGGAAGAATGCAAATGCCGTCTCAAGTTGGATGGCATATAGATAATAGGTAGCTTATGTAATGAAGTCCGGGACATTCAAACTCACGAACTGAGATGGTTTCATTTCACAACTGAGATTCGATTTGTTTTCTTGGAACGTACACACAGGATGCGCGGGACATACGTACTACCTAGGTCCCACCTAGGTAGAATGATTGTTTCTTTGCACTAGAGATCTCGACCTTTGATGGGCGTTTGTACATATCTGCATTGAAATGCTTGGTGTGACGTGTGTATGTTACAATAGAGTAACTTGAATGTTTAAGTCTATCACCTTGCATCGTCATGTGCCCACCTGCAGCACTGGGGTCGGATCATTGAGTTCGATCGAGTTTGGGTTCCGCGTAATGCCAATATCTGATCTCGGCTTCGATATTGTAGACGGGTTGTAGACTTTTGTTCTTCTTGAGATGTATCCTAGCGACGTTTGAATTAATGAACCCTCAAACAACCGCTTAACCGGCAGACTCATATTCCATGGTGCATGGAGCTAAAAGGGGATAAGGATTATTGGAACAGTTAAGTTTCGTGTCAGCGGCTTCGTGAAAAAGCTCTCAGAGTCAAAGCAAGACCGAATCTGATTCGCAAGTCTGGTGGTCTGGGGACCAGCTTGCTACGATTAGCAAGACTCTACAGACTTTAGCGTCTGACCATTATGTTGTGACGTTATCTGCAACTGTTGGTGATGATTTCGACAAAGTGGGCAGACGTGCTTCTGTTCAGACTCATGCGTCTTGGCCCTTCAGTGAACTTCGAGAGACCGCAACAGCTTTACCAGTGCCGAAGTGTAGACCTCCATTCAGTTTCGGTTTCATAATCCCTCAGGAAAGGGAGAGTCCCCTATGAACAACTGACAACGGACGGTAAACTAGACCATTTCTTACGATTGGCTCTCTGGCATGCGCTTAGAGAGAAGGTCAATCCGTAAGGCTACTTTCGTTCAGTACGGATATCCAACGTGCTGCCCAAGAACCACATCAAGCGCGTTCTGCCTTTGATCAGTCGGAACACACATTCACTCGACGACGAGTCCGAGAAAGGCTCAGCCAGCGTCGAAAGCGGCAAGCGTCAAACCGCGCAGATGTGCCGAGGTCCGCAAAAGTCCATCCGCTGGAATCTCGCCGTTCACGTTGCATCAGAAGACTGATTCTCTAGGTAGCCCGAATAACGGATCGTGTCCATGTCATTAAGACAGCGAAGTAAGTGTTCGATTTCAATATCAGCAGCCGTCAGTACGGTGAATACTAGAGCTTCACTATAGGGGTCTGGTTCTGTCGACCATACTAATTTGTTTGACACGAAAGATAACTTTGGCAGTGATTGCTTAATTGAAGCGTAAGCGTAAATCACCTTCTTTGTAAATCCTCGAAGTCTGGGGCCTGGAGTGTACGTCACTCAAGAACCCTGCTAGTGATCGTCGAAATAAGCATTATCGTGATGCCAAGTGCGCTAAGCATGGTATCTGTCAATTTTCAAGAGATACAGTAAAACCTCCCTCGTCAAGCAATGAAAACTAGGGTTGATGAGCTTTCTTACAGTGTCTTCGAAGGTGGCGGAGTCAGTTCGAGAATTCACTAGGTCGTTGCAAATACAAAAGGGGCACTTAAGAAGATAGTAAATCTCCTGAACACGTCATATGACCGGGGCGGCTTGGCTTGGTTCGACGTTCCTACATGCCGGACCTATATCGCGCGACCTTGGGAAAAGCACAGGGTTGAAGGGGAAGGACTGACGAGAATGGATAAAGTAAAAATGGAAAACTTCAGACTAGTATTTGAACACGTCACGCAAGGGCTCAGGAATGCCGTTGAGACTGTCGACTACTGACTTTTCGTTACAGAATAGATATAGGTATACATCAGGGTCTATAATCCATCTAGTAGCTCTGATGATTGGCACCGACGAAGACTAAAATGACTAGTACGGAAAGTTCGCGTGTCAGAAAGTTCGTATCCAACAGGAGCCTACACACGCAGACTGCTCAGTCTGCTAAATCGACGACACTGAGTGCAGCCCTCACAGCCCAATGCCCAGCGGCGCAGCAAAAGCAGAGGTATAAAAGGAGGAGTAGCAGGATTGTTCTGGCCACCTGCATTCTCTCAACGTCAACCTTGGACTTCGACTCATTGCAATCTGCAAGCAAGCGGAAAGACCCGGGTACTGCAGTTTGAACATTCCTCTTCTCGTCTTCTGAAGCCACCAAGTTAAAATCTGCCTGGAGACATGGCGCTCACTCGTCTTATGGTGAGTTTTTACTTCCCGTGACCTTCAGTACTTCGGTTTGTCTGCTAGCTTCCTGACAACGCTTTTCTGATGTCGTTCCTTGAAGCGCTTAACATTCTTGCCTTTCAGTCTTTGACTCTTCTTTGGTGCAAGGGTCAGGAAGTTGGAGACCCAGTCTAAGTTCGCTGAGGCAACCGTAAGCACATCCTTTGAGCTTTCACTTTGCGTACATGACCCAATCTTCCGTCTCATTGTAGATGCTCGCGCTGATTCCCCTTCTGCTCGCGAGCGTGTGCGGACGGCTTCAAGGAGAAGCTGGAGTATAAGGAGTTCAGACTGCAGCTCAGGGAGTTCGCCACCCCTGAGACGCAGCAGACCAACGGCACCAACTTCGGAGACATCCAGTGAGCCCGCTTTGATCTCGTTTTTGGTTTTGGGGTTAGCTTAGTGGTTAGCGTTGTTTTGGGTGTGGAGAGCGTCCTGTTATCCGACGTGGTTAGGGTCTCAGTTAAGCCCAGTATACCGAGTCCCTTTATCAGGTAATGAAATCGACAACTAGCAAAGTGTCATGTTTGAACTACTTGCACAAGCAGGAAAAGTGTGTTAAAAATCCTTCTTGGAGAGCAGATCTGCTCTTAAAGACTTGTGCCAATATCCCAGCATCTGCAACTGACTAATTCCTGCACTTCTTCCAATCTGACAGTGATCGGGTGGAGGACTTTAACACCGGAGAGCGGTTCGGATTCGTCCAGGGCATCTGCACCTACACGCAGACTCTCAACCCCGTGACAGGCAGTTACACGCAAGAGTGTGAATTCTCCTTCATCCACAAGGAAGGCTCCTTCACGGTCACGGTAAGCCTGATCGGGTTAGCTCAATCTGACATGCTTTACATAAATACTAGTTCCAATCACAAAAGTCGGCACGGTTGACTTTGGTCAATATGATTCGGTTAATTCTTGGACGTGGTTCTCAGTGGACGGATAATCAATGGGCGTCTGCTGGCGTGCCATGTTTGGATTCTCGCCCTCTTCCTCTTTAATGAACGTTCCAATAAAAATCTGAAGACCGTCAACTGCTGATTACAATTAATATCTCCGATGTTGATTGATCCTGGTCGACCGCGACACTTCTGAGCCATCTTTGAAAGGTAGGCAGCACCGGCCGGCCACGTGGTTCCTGAAAAGTTTTCGCGTTTCGTATCAGTCATGTACTGACACGTGGCATCCCCTCATAGGGCCTCTTTGCGGACACGCCGACCGACCTGGCCGTCGTGGGCGGCACCGGCATCTACACGGGCGCAACAGGTGTCGCGCGTCAGAGCACCCTGACTGACAACGGCCAGGGTTTTGTGACGTATGGCTACAACGTCAAGTTCTTCGCCATCCGTGAGATCCGTCTAGAGGCGCTCAAGCCTAAGGCGTAGCATCAACAGTTTCTTGCCCGAGCAAGTCTTTATACGCTGTAAATACTTGGAGTTGCAGCCGTTGTGATTGGAGATCTAGGAAAGAGTCCGAGTTGGATTGGATTGAGCTTTTGACAGAGTTTTGATCACAAACGAACACGAGTAGTTGGCTCTTAGATCCCAGCTAGTGACACCCGAAATCTATGCGAACAAACGTACGCAGCCGTCCATCCGATCCGAGATTGCGTTCAGCTTCCATTTGATTTCCTCTCTTAGAAGAAAACAACTTTTGGTTCAAAAGTAGTCTATCTTCGTTGAGAACGAATGCGTTTCAAATAACGTCAGAGCCGGTGCTGATACATGCACAGCTCGATCCGACATGGGCCGCGCTTCGCATGAAACCTAGCTAGTGACTGCAACGTCGCATGCATAGAGAATCCATGCAGTTGGCGCGGCGAGTTGACAGTGCATATAGAATTCAGATGACCAACGGTCATGGCCAAATCAATCATTGAGTGGCGACCCTCATGACAAGCCCCTCGACTCGCATCGCGACAGTCTTGTGGTCGCGTGTAATACCGTATGGCAAAGGATATTATGCAACATGTACATGGCCACATGTCGAAGGGCGGGCCCAGCCGGCCGGTTTTATCACAACAATGCGCGGCCTATGGCCGCGAACCAATACGAACTCCACTTGACTCTGTGTAGACGGTTGCAAAAAGCTAGGCACTATGTCTCAGAGCATACAAATGACTACTTGCGGATGCGCACTCGGCATACATCACCGCAGAATATCGCAAGTCTGCAATTCTTTCATGGTAAGCCACAGTTGACCGTCGACACGCGCGACGAGACGTCCATCAAAAAGGCGACAGAGCTCTATACACCACCGCTTTAAAGGCCCAAATTGCTGCCTTTGGGCGCATAGCAGCATGTGTAAGTCTCACTTCAGTGCGCAAGAGATGACCTAATGCGCAAGACACGACTTTGCAACAGACTGGGCGTCATTTGTGCGTCCGTTTATGCTGCAAGACCTGCGGCGGGGTAAACAGATACACCTTGCTGTCGCATTGCTCGCAAACATACCGCTTCCGTTGCACCGCGCTGACTGTCTCTCTTTTCTCTGGCTCTGCGCTACCCGCTTGCATTCCTACATCGTCTCCCATCGTTTTCCGGTTCTCAACTTCCCCACTCGTTTCACCTGCTTGCTGCACTGGAACCCGTACTCCCTCCCCTTCCAACGACTCAGATTCTTCACCCCCGTTGAACGCTTGCTTCGCCAGACCCCGAACTCCGTCCGGTCCGCCCTTCCCGTGGTCCGCGCGTTCTGCGGCTCGCTCGAACATTTCCTTCTTACTCTCCCCCTCGTGCGCTTCCAAATGCTCCTCGATCTCGTTCAGATTCATCAGCAGCTTCTCCCCGCACACCGGACACTGCCAGTGCTTCCGCATATGCACAGAATGCCCGACAAATGGCGACTCGAACGGCTCCAAGCTTCCCCACCGCAGAAACGGGGCGACCTGCACCCCCTCCTCAGGCGCGCTTTGGTCGCCCTCCGAGAGCGCAGCACGCGCCGCCCGGAGGAGGGGCGCGGCCGCGGAGTCGCGGTCGGGGTTTGGGGGTTTAGAGCGCGCGAACTGGCCGGGCACGTGCTGCGGCTGGATGCGCTCGCACGTGTAAGAAACGGTCGTGTCGAGCAACTGGGCGAGGCGGTCTGCAGGGGTTAAGGTATGGCTTAGTGGGCTTCAGAGACGAGGTTAACGGCCGTTTAGAGCGGGTTATGAGGCCGTTTGGAGCGTGAATGAACGGCGAAAAAAGCGTTTTTGAGTAAGCTGACAGAAACACGAAGTATGCACCTTCGCAACGTGAGACTAATACACCTTCTGCACCGGACAAATCCAGGAGCTGTTTGGTCTGCCCTGATTGACAGTCACAGAGTTCCTGTCGGAAAGAGTAATCACAGTACCAATGTTCCTACACGGCCGCTCTTTGTCTACTCTTAGACCAATCTCTCTTACGCCGACGCTCTTACCCCGGCTCTCTTACCTGCCAGGTCATCCGAGTAGACTTCCTCGTCCGACCGGACGCTCTCCACCAGTTCTTGAACCCAGTCGGGAGCGTCCGCAGCCGCGGCCGCGGCCGCGCTCTCCTTCGCGGCCGGCCCGTGCGACCGAAGACGAATCCTTAAAAGCTTCGAAACGGACGCCCGTAGCTCGCAGGCCGTCTGCGGACAAAGGTAGCGTCGTTTGATTTGGTGATATCCATTTGCTGGCTATACCAGTCTGCCTAAGCAACTGACTCTTATTTTTCACAATTGAGGTGGAGCAACTTAAATGCAAACAATCAAGAAAGGTCGCGTTCATCAGCAGGCTAAGAACTATTTACGGTGCGGTCTTTCAAATGCTAAACAATTTGTGTGATTGAAAGAGGGGTTGCTCATACTCTGCGCCACGTCAGGCGAAGGCGCTATCTGCCGTCATGTCAGATCCGAATGGGCGCCCTCTGGTACTCTTCTCAACTCGCTGCAAGGCCCGTCTAAGAAGCACCTGCCTCACGTTAGCGCCCTTCTCCGCGGATTGATCAGCAATCTTCATCGGCCACAGCTTGGATGAAAGGCCAGAAAGAAAGCAAGGGAAGCTGATGGGACTTGCTCTTGATGGAAAAAAGAGGAGGTTCGCTTGCCTTGACGACATGCTGTGCCACGTCGGGAGCTTCTTTGATTCTCAGCAGCAGCCAATCGTCGACCAGGAGTCTCCGACAGTCGGGCGTGGTGTGGATTCGCTGTCCGGTAAGCAGCAAGGCCGGAAGCGCTGGCAAACGGACCTGATTGAGGATTGAGGAGCTCGTCAATAAATAGCGCAGTGAAAACGCAATCAAGCAAGCGGGACCATGGTGACTGTACCTCTCTGATTTCGGACGGAAGGAGTGTGGTCGATAACCTGCAAATGAGTGAGCACTTCGACACTGGGCGACGCCAGCAGTAGAAGAAGTAGCTGCGATCTAACAAGCGACAGGTGAAAGCGTCCGGATCCACTCGGCACTGCTACAACAACGAAAACACGAGAACACGAGAAGGCAGAAGGGATCCAGGAATGGCTCAGTTTGAGGCCGTTGGAACCCCCTCCTCCCAGAAAAGGACAAGGAGGGACTTGCAGGTTTCTGTTCAACCTTATAATATATAGTTTCTGGTCTGCTGAGAAAGGTCTCGCAGCTAAGTTATCAAGGCTCCAAGTTTACGTTGCTCGATTGTCCTCAAAAGGAAAGGAAAAAAGAGAAGGAAAGACGAACAGAACAATGAAGGAACAGGCAAAAGGACCAATTCCGCAGCCCAGAAGAAACCACATTGAAGATCAAGACACGATAAGGAGCTCCCGAGCTCGAGCGCCCTCACCAGGTTCGTTACGTATAGCTTATGCGTCTCCAGCAGCGTCGTATATACGAGCACCTCCCGCGCGGTGGGCGGCACCTCCGCGCCCACGAGCACGCTCGCGGGGTGCAGCCGCGCGTCCGCCACGTGTCTGGTGTGAAAAAGCGCCTCGGACTCCCGTCGCTGACTGTTGTTCGGGTCAGGTACCGCCACGTTTGGGTACAGACCGCTCGCAATGATCACCTTGAGCAAGTTGACGTCATTTCGGCCGAGGGTTCTACCGGTCGCTTCCGCTAATGCTTCCAGGTCCACGGTCAGTTTCAGCTCGAGGCTGCGGATGTCTAGGGGTTCCGGCGGGGCGCCGTCGTCGGGGTCCGGTTCCGGTTCCGGTTCCGGTTCCGTTTCGAGGGGTTCCGAGAGCTTGAGCACTTTCCGGCCGCGGTCGCGGTCGCGCTTTCGTTGAAGCTCGTGCAGGTGCGCCTGCGCGTCGCGCCGCTGCTGCTGCTCGCGCTTTCTGCACCGGGGATTTGCAAAAAAGGCTCGCCTCTAGTTATGGCATTGAATTTGAGAAAAGTGCTCCAGAAGGTCTGCTCGCGCTTTTTGGACCAGGGGATGGCAGAAAAGTCACGCCCCTAGTTTGAAGACTTTGATCGAGCAGACAGCTCAGAGTGGATTTAGCATATTCAGCGTCGCCGCTGCTGCTGCTCGCGCTTTCTCCAAGGTGGGAGTGGCAGAAAAGTCTCGCTTTAGTTTCGAGACCAGATTGAAGCAAATGCTCCAGAAGATAGAGCATCGATACGCCACCGCTGCTTGCGCTTTCTGCACCGTCAGACTGGCAAAAAAGGTCTCTCCCACTTTTGAGCGAACGAACTGGCCGAAATAGGCGTGGCGTAGTCCAGCGTCGCGCCCCTGCTGCTGGTCGCATCTTCTGCACAACTAGAGTGGGGAAAAAGGTTTGCAATGAGCGTATTGTACGGCGCTTTCCCAATGCACCGTCAGATTGGGGGCAGAGTCCGGAAATGAGCATAACGAACGGACATGCATAGTCAGTTGGGGGAAGAATTTGGAAATGAGCATAGCACACGGGGCTTTGCAGACGTCAGCTGGACGGGCGCTTTGTCTTTGTGCCGACCTCCATGGGTCTCATGTGAAGGCTCAGACAGGAGGACAGTTTGAGAAGGAGCATACCGTCGTGCACTTGTTAATAAACCCCAAGAGATTGTCGAGCCCTCAGCCAATTGCTATGGGCACGACGTGGGTCGAGCCCTCAGCCAATTGCTATGGGCACGACGTGGCTCGGCGACTCGTTTCCGTGCGCCGAGGACTGCCAAAAGTCCCTTCGTGCAACTCTTACGAGCATTCAACCTGGTTTTCTAAAGCCAAACCAAGCCGCACCCAAGATTTGACAAAACCGTCGGGCAGAAAGAATCAAATCTGCACGATGAAGACCGATCAAGGGAGAGTGAAGGGAAAATGGGGAAGAGAATGAGGGAATCCCACCTTTTCAAGGGATCCCTTCGGAGCTCCCCGCCTCCCATGCCTCCGCCCCTCGCCTTTTTCAGCAGCCCGCTCTCCGTCAGAAGGTCCTGGAACTGCCGCTGCAGCTTGGCCATCTCGTACAAGCGCTGCTCCTCTAACCCATGCCTGAAAGTCGGGTTAGGATCACGGTTAGGGCCGGGTGGACACCGGTTAGGGCCGGGTGAACGCCGGTTAGGGCCGGGTGAACGCCGGTTAGGGGCTGAGGTGGCATTTGCTTGAGGGCCGAGTGAACGATCACTGGGCGCCAAGTTAAGCACGGCTAGCGGCCGGGTTAAGCATTTATGAGGGCCAAGTAAAGCTGCAGTAAGGGCGCGATCATGCGCAGGAAGAGGAGGGTTTCGCATGGGTTAAGGGCAAGACGGACCATGGTTAAGGGGCCGTTAGGGCAGCCGGTCTCTCCGTGTCACAGGGAATTCTATCTGCAGAAAGCTTGCGGCGGCGCTAATTCATGGTTTCGTTCAACGGATGTCGAGAGACCCCATGATTGAATGGGGGCCCTGGAAACTGCGAAGTGTGAAAACAACTGCTTCGAGCGCCGAGTGGAGAACACGGACGTCAAGCGGGTCTTGCTTGAGCAAACGCCGACAGATAACGACGAGGGGAAAAAGTCACTCGCTTCAAACGCTGTTGCAAATGAAGAAGCGGGAACCTGATCAAAGGCACAGTTTGTGACTTTGGTACGTTGGCCGCCCACCTTTTGCACCACTTGCCTGACGCCTTGCTGTCGTCACCCCCGCGGCCGCGTTTGATGGCGATCCAGCGGCCGAATGTGGCGGCCAGTGTGAATGCGTCCCCGTGCTCCGACCGCAGCGACTGGCGTGCGACACGTGCCTCATCGCCTTCCTGAAAGGAAGAAGGGAAAACGTTTCGATGCGGCTGTACTAAAACAGGGGTAAGTCTGTCTGTTTTGATAACCTCTAAAACAATTCTAAGAAGCTCAATCCTAGTGAGAACGACGCTCACACCGAGGAATCCAAACACGTACTACTCCGCACCTGTGCCTACCTCAAAAACCCCTACTAACCCCACCCGTCCGAGTTTGATACGTTGAGCTTAGTGCTTTCTAAAGAAACGATTCGGAGACTGGGTCACATCGTTCAAGGACAACCAACAAGATATATTATGTGATAAGTTTCTCAGAGCGAAAGGTCTTGAGATCCGAGGGCCCCGTACCTCCCCGTCTGGCAGCCTGATGAAAGGCGACTGCACGCTGAGCGCGGCCGCCATGGCCACGACAGGGCCCGACAGGTGGAACAGCGACCCGAGCACCAGCATCTTGCCCAGGGGGACGTCTACCGGGAGGCCGGAGAGCACCTGCGAGGCAGAGAAAAGCGGTCGGTGAGAGCCCCGGAAAGGAGGTGTTCTGGAAGTGCCCAGATCAGACCACTAAACTGGAAGCCTCGTTTCTGTCTCAAATGTCTACATTGCGTCTTCTGACTCTCCATACCATCCCGCATTCCGGTTTCGTCTTGACAGACGTCGGAAAGTTTGCTTTGCGATCTGTCGTTTCAGATCGTAAAACCCGTCATGCATCCCCCTAATTCACCTCGCTTTTGGCTCTCCCCAGAATGAATGCCAGTACTCACCTCTCCCAGGGGGGTCAGCACCAGGTGCTCCCGCCCCCCCTCAAGATAACTCGGCGCCGCCCGCACCGCCTCATGGCTCACCAAGCTCCGCACGGCCGCCTCCAGACTTTCCGGGGGGGGCGGATCCAGGAAGTCGAAGCTCCGGGGGTCACCCCCCCCCAGCGCGAGAATCTGTAAGACCAGTTGTTCCAATCCGACGCGCCTAATTTCGGGGGTCGTGAACTCCGGAAATGAGGCGAAGTCAGTTTGGGAGTAGAGCCGAAAGCAGTGGCCCGGGCCGGTCCGGCCCGCGCGCCCCGCGCGCTGCTCGGCCGACGCCCGGCTGATCCAGCCCTCCTGAAGGTGACACGTGGCTGGTGACGTCAGCGCGGATGATAAACACTGGACATGTTTCGGCGGACTTGGGCCGAGATAGCGCTTGATCTAGACTTGGTGCGCCAGGGGCATGTGGCAGGTGAAGTAACACGGAGAGCGCTCGTGACCTTATTAAGATCACCTAGCTTTCGATTTCTTACCGTATGAGGACCAGAATGATTGAGCAATGGTGCTAACACGTGTTACGTGACGTCAGTGGATAACAAAACGCCTTTCCAACTCTTTTCAGCTTCGGAGAGGGAAACGAACGCAGCCTGAAGACGTACTAGATGGAGAATTTGAGAACCAGCGAGGGAATAAATGGTATATCATCGAACAGCAATATGCTCTGACGATCTTATGCTAGGCTCAGAAAACAAATTGGAACGTTGACGTCTTCGAGAAAGAAACTGAGCATGGATTCTTGAGAGACAGCTACCAATTGATCAGAAGTCCTGGCTGGTTCCATAATGCAGACAGACGAACGAACATATGTAACGAACATATACAACAATCATATACAACAAACGAACATATACCATACTGCTTTCAACATCGGCACCTTCGACGCAAAATAAGTGACTATGAACCCTTTTGAGACTCTCGGCAGACTTAGCGTTACCTGGTAAAACGGACAGTTGTCAACTATCGCTCTGGAATAATCTTATGAAGATCTTGGCAGGCCAAATATCCAATTCATTTTGCCGAACTTTAAAAGCAGAACGATAAACGAAAACGTAGATCTCCTTACCTGTAGGCTCTGCGTCAGACTGCCTGCCACGTCGTGCGTCATCTCCTTGACGCGCCCGCTGTCCACCACGAAGCGGATGCCGTCGATGGTGACACTTGTCTCCGCGATGTTGGTCGAGAGAACGCACTTGCGGACGCCGTCCGGGGCGATGTCGAACACCTTGTCCTGTTGAGAAAGAGTTGGTTCAATCAATCCAGATGACTTTCAAGTACAAAAGGACATTCAGTAAGTTCAAAAGCTGCTTCTTAAGATACCGATCTGGCTGCTCAAAAAACTTATCCGAACGACTGGATACTGTCGGTCAGCGCAATCCGGACGAGTGTCCGTGACCGGTTGTGTCAGAGGCGGCTCCTGAAGCTCAGGACCAGCACGCAGATAAAAGCAGAATCGGAGTTCGCCCCTTTTGTTGTGGATCTGATGAAAGGTATCTTGCAGAAACTCCGTGTTTCTTCTGTTGCCGGCTTTCTGTTAAGAAAAGATTGACTCTTCGGTCGAAGTGACTCCCCCTCAATTGCATCGGCAATTCTTGACAAAGTCGCCTCGTCAGGTGAAGTTTCGCAAACCCTCTAAGAAGGGAGTAGAGCTGAGAACCCCCGACTCGCTTTTTGTAGCGGAACCAACTGGACACAAGTTCAATCGCAAAAGGAGACGAGACTATACCTGATGCATCGTGACATGGAACAAGTGCTTTCCACGTGGCGCCCACCTGTTCTTCCACGGAAAGGGCGCTGTGGAGCAGCAGTACCACCCAGCGCCTCGTATGAGCTGCGTACGGCCGCAGGGCGTCCGCAACCGTCGTCATCTCTTGCATGCCTGTGCGGAAGCCGTCCGAGAAAGATTAAAGCATATAAGAGAGAAAGTTCACTCTAAACTATTTGGACCAAAGCTTTTGGTACTTCCGATCGGTTGTTCCCGTCCAATCCTCAAAGGAGTCTTAAAATCAAAGCAAAGCGTTTGGTCCGTTCCGTCGGCTCTGTCCGTCCAACTTCTGCAAGGTCGACAGACCGGACCGCACGTGAAACATCGAATCTCCCAGCTATTTAGGCAAAACAGGTACGCCAGAGCATGTTAATCAAACTCAACCAGCTCACTGCTTCAAATGAAACATCTCAAAGCGAGCCCCAACATGCACCTTTAAAACCCCGCTTACCGCTCAAGAAGACGAGCATGTCCCCCCTCTGCTCCGCCGGAAACTGCTGGTCGATCCGCTCCAGAATCTTCAAGTACGGCCGCGCGTCGATCCGCTGCGCGCCCCGCCGCTCGCGCCGTTTCCCGCCCTCCCGCGCCGAACTTTGAGCCTTTTCGTCGTCCGGTTGTTGGGGCAAATACTCAACCGTAATGGGGTACAATCTGCCCGGGACCTGGACCACCGGGGCGTTGCCAAAGTAGGCGGAGTACCTGCGAGGTGGTCGGGACAATATTTTCCGGCAACCCGGACCTGAAAGACAGCAACCTTGTCTTCCTTCTTCCTTACAAGTCTCTTCGTATCCTCGTAGTCCATCTCGGACCCGCATGATGTCCGCAACCTGAGGAGAGGAAACTCAATCATGGTAGTGAACTTTCTGAGTAAGCGAATACAGTCGAAAGTACTGGCATACTCCAGAAGAGTCTGACCTGGTGAGTATTAGCTCCTTTTGGTTCGAACCTTTTAACAGTTCTTCCAGAACAGTCCCCTCTTTCCCTCACTTCTCACATGCACACGGTGTCATCGGACGAAAGATCAGCTTGATTTCCAAACCCGTCCGATCAAATCTGAAGATTTTGAAATGTTCAGATTCACCTGGCAAGATCGATGGTGGCGCTCATAAGGATCACGCGCAAGTCGGGCCGCTCCGCGAGAATTCCCTTGAGCAGGCCCAGCAACAGATCGGTGCTCAAATGACGCTCATGGACCTCGTCCACCACGAGGACCTGCAGATTCGCGGTTAGGTACTATGTTTAGACTTCGGTTTAAGGGTACGAGTATGGGTTTACCAGGTCATCTGGCGGTCAAGATTTGGATTCTAGGTTTGAAGAGCTGGGCTTAGCACGTAGCAATCCCCTTGAGCAAGCCCAAAAGCAGGTCGGCGCTTAGGTGTCAATCATGAATCTCATTACCAGTAGGACCTGCCGTCGTTGATGCTCAGTGGGTCACAAAAGTAGACTCAACACCACGAGCCTCCCCTTTCTGGAAGTCTCGCTTTTGATTGCCCCCGGCTCTGGCCGCGGATTCTGTCTACAAGCAGCACTTCGCGTTAAGGACCCTTGAAGTAAGTGATCCTCCTTCTACCTTCTGTTGAGATGGTCATGTGGCTGCCTCCTTTCTCATGTCTTTGGACCGACTGGGTACTCTGCACAAAACAGCCTTCTGCGAGCAACATTAATGGATTGCAGTATTCTGACGAGCCGAACCAACCTCCGAATCTACCAATAGCAGGTGAAGACGAAAGGCTTTTCGATGACGTACAATACACGTTCTCAATTAGAACTCAAGCTCGATGTTTACCTCGTATTGCTTCAGCGTTGGGTCTCCCACCATCTCGCGCAGCAGCACCCCCTCGGTCAGGAACACGACCTTTGTGCCGCGTCCTCTTGTCGAATCGAACCTGGACACGTGGCATATCATAGTTGATTGCAAGTTCGCTTTTTCAGAATCTTGGTAAATACAGAACGCTCGAGAAGCATAATGTTACGTTGCCTGACATGACCAAATCTGGGAGCAGGCCTGACTGACGACTGAAAATAACCAGAATAAACCTCACAACAGGATAAACCTTGCCATCAGCTTAGCAGGCTAAAGTTCGAGCCGAATCGTCAAAGATTTTGTTGAAGAGCCTCACTCACCTGATCTTGTAAGCAATCTCGTCCCCATACTCGTTCAGCGTCTCGAACGCTACTCTTCGACACAGTGAGACGGCCGCTATCCGCCTGGGCTGCGTGACGGCAATCTGCTTAAATCCTGACGTCATCAGAAGCTGCGGGAGCTGCGTGGATTTGCCACACCCCGTGTCCCCGGCGATGACGACAGCCTGGGAGCTCTCGACCGCTGCGGTGATCTCAGCCGCAAACGAGGAGATAGGCAGCGCTGCTCGGTCGGTTTGGAGCTTGAGGAGCTTGGCAAACTGGCGCTTCTGCAGAAAAGAAAGACAATATGCCAGTTATGAGGCAAGCGAGACACCGAGGATTTTGCTTACTCAAGTTAGTTTTTAGGCACCCTTCTTGAGTCTGGAGGCATCCGTTTTGCGTCACGGCATCGCAAAGACAGTCGCCGTTATGACTTGTTGAATGGACCCTTCGATCAGTGATAAGCTGCAGGTTTTTGTTCATATGAAAAGTTGTATCCGTAGAAGGAGTTCAAGAGCTTGTGGGAACAATCATATGTGGGAAAGGCAGATTGTTAGCGGCAGGTCTGTAATCGTGTGCAAGACAGGCTGGAAAGGGGCCTGGCAATTGATAGACAGAAGGATAAGCCAGCGAACTCAACGTAAAACTCAAATCGGCAACTCTGAAAGGGACAGGACCAGCTGCTAATTGTGTGGCACAAGCTTGAAGCGAATCTGAAGCCAACTGCCAAAACAAGACGGACGCCCCACAACTGCCAATTGTTGCAGTCGCGTTAAGCCAGACACCAAAACCTAAGCTTTGTGAGACACGGGGCAAGATCGTTCCATCTCCATCCGAAAGACCTTACCTGCCGGAAGTCCTCGTAGAGGACAAGCATCTGCTTGTATTCTTCCACTCTTTCCCCAGGAAGGGAACAACCGCCACGATGTTGCGCAGCTCTCCGCTTGTGATCCGTGATCAAGCCAACATTCACACGGTACCTGCATATTGCCCGACACGATATGGTTCTGAGTAACAATCTTGTGTATCCGTCTTCTCAAAGCGTTTATCAAGCACAACATCTGGTTCAGGCAGTTGAGAGCAAATCTTTGGGATTGGGGTAATATAATTCCAGAATATCAATCGGTCAGACAGCGATTAGTAAGCAATCTTGTTGCATCTATTTGACATACGTACCACCCTCAGACAAAGCTTCTCTTTGAGACGGCCAGTCTCATTTTCTGTCTTTCTTTCAGCTGAATTTTCTTGGACACTGGTTCCTGGATGAGTCCTTCCGAGGGCATCCCTGAGACTTTTGAAGGGGGCCACCAGCATTGCAATCAGGTCAGATTGAAAGGTTCAGCAGTGCCAGAGTAGTATCAGCTGGGATTGCCAGCAGCAATGTTTGACATAGTAAAGGGGTCCAGCGGCATGTTGCTTCAGAGTACAGCTTTTCGATGATATGCCAGAACAATAAAGAATAAACTTAAGTGGTTTGCACCATGCTGAGACGCACCTGGTGTCGAACTTTGCTGGGATCCCCAGCCTGTCTGCAGCCTCTGCATCCGCACTGGTGCTCTCTTCTACACCACGCTTCGCTTGTGCAGCCCTGAATTTAGCTAGCCTCGCAACGAAGTCCTTGAGCTCTTCATACTCGTTAGAACCTGCTGGGTATGCATCCCCCTCCCTATGGAATAAGTTGTCTAGTGTTGCCTGATAGGCAGACCAATCAAATGGGGCTACCATGTTACCTTGCCCCGTTGTCACCCAGCTTCCATAGAGAACTCCTAGAATACACGAGGCTGAGAGTCACAAAAGTAGCTTTTCAGGATGGTCCAGTTTGAGAGAAGCTGCCGAACGTGAGAGAGCCCCAGCTTACGACTGGGTGCACTTCTGAAGCGGGCCCTTGCTCATTGACCATGTTTCAAATCGTAAAAAAGGGCCTCAATGACGGACAAATGCATCCATGACACCGAATGACGACACAACGTGTCGCCTGCGAGGTGGGAGCCAAATTGGGAATGCCCCACCGGGCCAAGCCCACCCGCATAGGTTTCTTCGAATCTAATCAATTGACCCGGCCCAGAGTCGCCCTTGCCTGGCCAGCTAAAACATAATGTTGAAAATCTGCCGCCATTCCGAAACAGTAGCTGCTTTCTTAGACGTCCTTACCACAGGACGTAGGTAGTTGAGATTCGAGGCCCCATTACGAAGCGCTATCCAGCTAGTGTGGCTTCCATTGTTGTGTTCGCAGCTAGCAAACCTTGTATCTTCCACCGCAGTAGGTAGTACTGCGGGTTCTGTAAAGCTCCAGTAGTAGCTCTAGTAGAAGAAGTGCAGGCTTCGAGAGATTGGAAACTCTGACTTTTCGGCCAGAGAACCGGGAAGGCGTTCTTGGAGCAGTCCGTCGGTTGACCTCCTGGGTAGCCTCTACACTGGGTTTGCCGGAAAACTTTAAAAATTTAATACAGAGCTTCTGTATGGATTCTAGACAGACAAAATTCAAATGTTGACCGGTCGGCGGTAGCTACCCCACCTAACCGCCCGGGTAGCTTGTACCGGGACCTCCATTCGCTGCCGGGAACTCCCGTTTCTCTGACTCTCGACTTCGGCGGCGAGGCTTCGCCAGCGGGGTTCACCATCTGATCAATGGCATAAAATTTACGGCCCAGATCGCGCGCGCGTGCCGAATGGCTTATCAACGGCGTCGATAGCGGCCGGCGCGTCTTCCCGGCGGGAGAAACCGTCAATGTGCCGGTATGTGGGACCATGTACCGCAGAGGAATTCTGGACCGAGACCCCCTGCTGGATGTGGAGCGCGGAAGTGGATCGGTTGGGTGCCGAGAGGTGTCGACTTAGGGCCCGGAGCGATCGACGTGGTTAACTATCCACGACAAAACCCGTCGGACCGGCCCGTGCATCTAGTGTCCGGAAAAACGAGTACCTAGACTGGAAAAGGGCCCGGAATGATCGAAGCGTCTATTTAAGGAGAAGTCGCCCTGCCGCTGTGTTGTAACCTCCACTAACCAGCAAGTAGCCCGGCCACCATCTAGAATCTTGAGGAGCTCGGAAAAGATGCAACTAACTACAGGATCTAGTGTGGCCCGGGTGAACGATCCTAGCACCCCGACCTACGACTTGCACCCATCGAGTCAGAGTCATAACTTTATCGTAGATCTGCAAGCAATTCAGACCATTCCCACCGAGTCACTAGCCACAAAATGCCCCCTCTGCAGTCAGACACTCCTGAAAAAGCATCAAGAGAGTTACCAGCTTGCATGTCGTAAAAACCACCCACTGAGGGGTTTCGCAATCAGTGCACCCGGTTCGTTAGCCAAAGGTCAGAGAAAGCGCAAGCCTATCTGCCTAGAGTGCGTGAAGCGATACTACGGGCCCGTTACCCAGTGTGCTAACAAACTCACAGTCACCGTAGCAAGGAGAAGCCGGGAATCCGTGGGTGTAGCTGAGATCTGGTTCCAGCGCCAGACGCAAGAAGAAGCATGGAGCCAATTGAAGGAGCTTTCGGGGGAAGAGGTTGGCAATCTGGAAGAGAAGGCAGAAGAGGATCGACTTGCCTTCAGTGGGCACCGCAAGAGTACTGCGGCACAGGAAGCACTGAACAGGGGGCGCAAAGTGGGGGAAATAACAAGATCCAGGGCACAAGCAGTGGTAAGCCCCAACTATGAACCGTCAAACCCTAGAAATGCCTCTGCTCGTGCATCTGTGTGCTTTCAAGTGCTTCTTTGCAAGCCTATATACGGTCCATACTACAGCAGTGAGGCATTCAACAATCTGTTCAAGTGTCCAAGGATATTACCGGCTTCTTGTCATCGACTGCCGCTGGACGTTATCAAACTCTGAATGTCAACAGGATGTGAGTATGTAAATGTCTACCAGGTGTGAACAATATGGACCCAGTTTTCCATGGTGCTGACAGAATTGTTAGATACTGGGCTGATAAATCTAACTTGATCTTGGAGCATTGACAGGTGTTCATCTACCACACACCAAGCCAATATTTGGTGTAGTATGTCTGACTGCAATCCAAAAACATATGCAGGAGCAAACCAACACAGAGGCTACAGAATTGTTCGGCGCCGGGAGTCAGCGGACCATCGTCGACCAAGCTATAATGTATCTCGATGGTGTTCAGTTCGGCAAGTGCGCTCTCTACAGTGTCGGGGAGCGGGGGTCCGCAAGTACAGTCTACCTGGCTAGCACTTGGAATCACAACACCGCCAAAATCAAGCCTCTTGGGCGGCCAAGCAAAGCGCGCGCGCTGCTCGAGACAGTGCATCGGGACACCATGGGGGGCATTCAGCTGCACCTGCGACCGGGGGCGGTTGTACTCGCGGGCGCCATGCGTTCACAAGCTTGCCCTGCAGGCGTTGGAGTCGCCGAGGCTAGCGAGCGCAGTGTCGTTGCAGAAAGGCCTCAAAGGTGGTGGAAGTGCCGTGCGAAAGAGCCGGGGAGCGGGTGTTTGGAGTGTACTGGAATGCGGGTTCGCCATCACCAAAGAGGACGATGGTCCACCACGGAGAGGCAGCGCAGATGGGTTGGTTTTGTGAGGGGCAGAAGGACGGTTGCAGCAAGACGGCTGACTGCTCGCATATCCGAGAGATGAAGGGAGCTTTGGATCGACCGGGCGGTGTGGTCAAACTGAGCAAGAGTGTGTTCTCGGAGAGCCAGCTCGGGCTGGCGGTGACGTCTTTGAGGGCGGGGCTGGCAGATAGTTGGAGTGGGAATGTCGCCCACTGCGGCCGGCTGGGAACTGCAGACTCCGACGTGGACAGATACCTCGCGGAGCTGGTTGTTGAAAGCCATGAGAGGGCTGCATGTGCAGGGGAGAACTGCTTCTGCAAGCAGCATCCGAGGGCGTTTGGAGGCATTCAACCCGATGGAGAACCCTGTACGGCAAGGTGTTGCACTTCTGCAAAAACGAACGGAAAGCGAGATCGATCGGGGCAAAAAGGAAGTTCCGGTGAGGTTGCTGGAACAGCCGCGAGATCGATCAAACGGAGGGGCAAATCACACTGGGCGGCTGATTCGGAGCATGCAGAGATGGAGCAGCCAGATGCTGCAAGAGGCAGTATGGAGGAGGTCGAGCCGGATGAAGATGGGGTTCCCTTGGAGGGAACGGGGCGGAGTAAGGATAACGCCCTCCGGATCGATGATCAAGCACCGTTCCTCGTCCCGGTGTGTAACGCCTGCGCGTGCCCCTCCAGCGCGTGCACACATGGTGCATCCACCGGTGTTGCAGCGGTCCTGCCCATGAATGCCGAGGGCGTTCAGCTGGAGGTGCCTAAGCTCGTTCGCCCAACGGATTCTTGGCAAGTCCATGACCCCGAGGTGCTGTTGCTGCGGAACCCGGTCAGAGTTAGCGAGTTGACGGCCCGGGATTTTGAGGAGCTAAGCGCTGCGGGGGTCCTCTCAGCTCCGTGCCCAAGATCGGCTCCACCTTGCGGAACCAAATGGTCGGGGCTCTGGCAGAGAGCACAAATCCACGATTTGGGTTGGTCCCAGGAGGTAAGCGCCACGATGCATAGTTCTGTAGCCTTTTGATCTTGCAAATGCTGATTAAGATAAGAGTCCGACAACATCTTCCATGCGGGATTCACTCAATTGGATCAGAACACGTGCGTCGAGGATTAATCAAAGCCTTCCAATGTCTAGAATCTGATTTTTCAACCAAACACCAACTATCAATCAACAATCGACGCTCGTATCATGTTCTCGTGCAGGTCAAGCTCCGGATCTATTGCTGCGCGTGCCCAAAGAAGCACACCGTTCACTTCAACGGAGAGGCGCTCGGTCTGTACGCCTGGACGCGAGGGGTGGTCATTACGCAAGTCGCTTGCCAGTTTATGCTGCGGTCCGTACAACACTCAGGAGCCGCTTTCAATGCACTCGTTGCAGCTGCACGTACGGCACGGCGTCTCTACAACCCCAGCGCAACTATCTTGACAGAAGAGACTTGGCGCAAAGCTAGCCTCGGCTTCTTCAAGTTGTGCGGTCGGCAGATCATGGAGTGCTGCAGCCTTTGCGGCCCGCATCCAGAGGTATGTGCAGAAACACTTCCATGGAGGCGATACATGAAGGCTCGTCTCTCATTGTTCGACCGCGTTCTCCATTCTTTGACCTCCTTTTGCTACTAACGCGACCAAGTAGAGACGAGGTTTGCTTAGGTTGATTGCACGTCGTTACTGTAAAGCAGTGACCTTCTGATGTGGGTCAAACGTAGATCATGACTTCTACCACTTTGAAAGCGCTAGATTGCTGTGTGGATGCGCAAATCACATTGACGAGCGTGATCATATTCTTGTGAACACTAGGTACTTCTGTGCAACGGCATTGTTGGGCTTGCCTGCGCTGACGGCACGCGTCAGAAGGGCGGTCTGGCTGGAACGGATGCCGCTCAACTCCGACCGTTCACGGCGCCTAGTCGAGGCTCGGACGAAGTCAACGTGCGGAAGGTCATGGAGGCTGGAAGCAACTACTGCGCGGCGTCTCTTTCCGGTGGAGGCCTAAAAAGGCGTTTTATGCAGCAGCCGGAGATCCGCACGCTTATAGCGCGGTACAGTGGTCACCACGCTGCTGACCCGGAGCTGGGAAAGGCTCTCAGCTCTCGAGAATACGCGGAGCTTCTGGTGAGTTTCGATCCGAAATCGAGCCGCTATGTGTATGATAAGCGTTCCGACTTGTACAAATGTATCAATCCTCTTTTCCAAGCAAGCAAATCGACAACAGTTCAGGCATCCGTTTGCTCAAGCACGGCGTCTTTCTGTGCAGGTCGCGCTCGATAGAGACGACGTGCAAGTTGTCACAGAGTTCGTTCCAAACCCGGATGTTGCCGACACGGACCCCGTCCTCCTGCAATGGCGACGGTGGGTCCGAGCGGACCAGGTCGGCCAGATGCGTTCAAAGAACAAAGCGGGGCACGAGCTGGTCGACGGCATCGAGAGAGAGGTCATGCAAGAGGAGGCTTGCTGGCCTCCGCACTGCCCCAGCAGATGGGCGGAGCTGCTCTACACTCTCGGCGCGCCGCATTCGGTTTCGGACGATTCCAACCTCATCCAGCATGGGAAGGCTCTGAGTGTGGTCCGCAAGCTGCTCCTCGGGGGAGCCGCAAACGACGGCGACAGGGTCGTGCTAGCAGAGCACTCTCCAATCCTGCGCCGGCTGCTGGACCACTACGGCGACCGCTACCCGCGCTTCTTCTATCCGACGCTACATCATCTTTACCGGTTGACGCTCTTTAGACGTGGAGCCGTGGGACTCGGGGTTGGGCGGGCGGGGTGGGCGTTGTCGGCCATCGAAGGCCTCGATGTTTGCGTCTGGCTTGGACGAGAGCCCAACCCCTTGACCATCGAGCAGCAGCAGGCCTTCGACTTCTGGGCAGCCCGGGCGAATGCGCTCCTCCCGGCGGTCGAAAACCTTTCCCCTCCCGCACGGCACGAGTACGCTCTGCTCCCGCCTGAGAGGACGTTGCTAAACGACAGACTTGGTCTCAAGCCAGACGGGTCGGAGCCAGGGCCTCTTCCTTCGGACCATCCCTACTGTCGTGAGCAACGAGAGCTAGGCTGCTACCCGTTGAAAGGCTGGGAGCAAAAACGCCCTCTCCCGCAATACGAACCGTTCGAAGACGATCTCGGTAGGTCTCGCGAGCGCGATGAGGAGCATCGGTGTCGGAGTGGGCTCACCGTCGGGGAATTCGATGCCAAGGTCGCTCTGGAAAGCGGAGTTAAAAAGAACAAGGGCCTGCAACGGCACACGAAGGGCGGCTTCGTCTTCTCGTGCCCTCACTGTGTTATCTATAGCTTCCATGTCATGCTCCGCGGGGAGTCACCGCGAGACGCCTTCACCGTCCTGTACACGCGGCTCAATCGGAGAGATCTTCCTCAATACCTCATCCACGACAACGCCTGCAAGCTGCGCGCCTACGCGATGCGAAGAGAGCCAGCGTTCTTTGCAGACATTCGGTTCCTGGTCGATAGGTAAGGTCGGAAGATTTGCGCAAGCCAAGGGGCGGCTCTTGTTGAGAGCGATTCTTGTGATCCTCTGTGCCATTGCCATACTGCATTGCAACTTTCCTCAGCTGTGCGCTGCTGTACATTTTAGATCTCATTTCGTGCTTGATCCTTGCAGATTCCACTTCCACCACACAACCGCCGAGGCACACAAGTGTGGTCCATCATACAACACGGGTGAGACCCTGATGCATTTGCAAGGCACACGTGTTCTTATTTGGCTCGAAGGGGCCGCCCGTCCAGAGGGTGTGTGCAAAGGAGCGGATTTAGAGTGACTCAGTCAAAAACGCCCTCTCTCTTCTATAGAATAAGGAGGCAAGTTCTGACTGCCTTTCAAGAGTGTATGTCTATGTGCCATTCTTCTACAACGCCATGTCTCAAGGCTTTTCGTTTAATGAACTTATTCAATCTCCGTATGGATCACGTGCAGACTACTACAACTCTGTGCGTTGGGTCAACACCTCAGCAGCGGAGTCGTGCAACGCCTTCCTCGTAAAATTCAAGACGCAAGCGTGGTATAGGAGCCTCGTTGCGTTCATGATTATCCTTCCTAACCTAGTCAGCAGAAGGAATAGCGCCTTGCTACGGGTTGACGAACCAAAGCTGCGCATTGCGGGCAGAGCAGACACGTGGAGAGCGTCTGTACGGCAACAACTCTTGATGTACTAAAGACCCTATTGAATTAAAGACACTGATCAAGAAGTTACCATGACTTGTACGTTTTATCATATGCGGCATGCATGTTCAAACAACATCGATGTGCATTCAATGTGTAGTCGTTATCATCAGAAGAAGCTGTACCACTTTGGTGCAAACGAGAAGGGTACTTGTGCCAGTGGCATGATCGTGCATGGATGGGGCCGCAGACCAGAAGCCCAAAAGACCCGGAACCCAGGTCTTTTTTATCATAGCAATCATGGTCCCCAGAGAATTTTGAAATCGAAAATACTTGAAATCGAAAATACTTGAAATCGTGGTCTTATAGACTTTTGGTCTGCAGCCCAGAAGACCCGGATTCCTGGTCTTTTCTATTTAAGCATCATACATCTCCAAGGGAATTTCGTAATTGGAACACTTGAATTCGTGGTCTTATAGACTTTTGGTCTGCGAACCATAAGAACAGAGCTCAGACGCAAAAAAAATATCTTGCTAAACAACCTTTCAAGCTCCCATCTGCATGCAAGCGCTTGCTCTGCCCGTCGTCACCTACTCTTACGCATGAGATTCATAGCCAGATTTCAATCGAACCCCCGAAAGGCCTTTAAATTGTCCTCGATGTTGTACCTGGCTATTCGTGAACCGACCATCTGTAACTACCCGATTCTTTCCTTCAGCATAATCCAAAATGCGCTTTTTTAGCGCCGTTGCCGACAAAGAGCTTGTCAAGTCTTCTTCCTTCAACCAAGCTCGGAACACCTCTCCGAGCCGTTCGCCAACGGCTAAGTGCCATGTCGCTATTTCTCCGGGTTGGATATCTTCGAAGTCAAGACAGTCGACAATCCAGCGCCTAGCAATGTCCGAGTCGTTGATGTATGCTTTAACAGCTTCCTCCATCGCACGAGGTCTGCGCATTAATGGCAGCGTATTGGGATTCGCTCGCTTGAGTTCATAATATCGTCTTGCTCCCTCTGCGTACCATGAAAGACCCTCATCTCGACCTTGGTCGCTTTTCAAGTAGGTTTCCAGGGTTGTATCAATAAGCTTTTGGCGTGGTTTGCTAGAGTCAAGCTTTTCGGGAGGTAAGAAAGTGACCAACATCGGGAGTAGTGCCAAGCGTCGAGTGACGCAGTAGGATACGTTCTGAAGAATAGGCTTGTAGTTTGTGTTGAGGACGGTTTTCACAGTGAGCTCAAATGTTTCTTGTGTGCTATGCAGCTCGCGCCCTGTAGTGGTCCCCCCGCTTGAGAGGGCTTTCATTGCGGCTTCATTCAAGACTGCTTTCTCTCCCGACTCGTCGGTCTCCGCGAGACGCCCGCCTCGAAGAGCCATGATGTGGCTCGAAGCCGCGCCAGCGGACCGTTTACCGGCCTCAATGATGCAGTCTTCCGACATAACAACAGCGTAACTGCCTAGAACTTCGAGACTTGCCAGCTTTGTCAACGATTTTCCATTAGCTCCATTGCCTTGCTTGACAAGGAACAATTGTTCACAGGTATCCGCGGTCATGCAGTAGCCACAGAAGAGCTGATACCATTCGAGTACTTCTCTGTCGTCGTTGAAACAATCAAGCAGAAACCTCTCGAATCGGCTTTCGGCCTTTGGCATTCCACGAAAAGTTGCTTTCGAGGCGCGTGAACATAAATGAGCAGGATGAAATGCGAGCAAGGTTCCCGTCTGAGTGTTGATTATTCCATTCGCGCATGCAAACAGATACGGATTGGCAATATCCATCAAGTCACTAAGAGATTGGGGGCTTGCAGTGCATTTGTAACAAATTCGAGGCAAACACGTACCTCAGATCCCCGCGTCAGGTCTACAAGGTCACGCTTCTCGGGATATGGTTGACTACTTTCCATATGGCGGTGCATAATTTTCGCTCTTCCTCAGTCGTTGGGTTCAATGCCCAATCCGGAAGAGCCGATTCCGGGGTTAGAGATGCGTTTTGCCATGTTGCAGCGTCTCTCATATGTGCATGGAGTTTTTGCTTGAAGGCATTGAGTCTCTGCTTCGCATACCAGGACATGATACGGGACATGTGGCTACTAAATACACTCTGTATATGGAACGCATCGTCGATGATCCATCGGCAACCGTTCCAGTATTGAAATGTTTTACCCTCAGCAATAATGCGTCCGTCAACGAGATACACAGCCGAGAAAATGGCTGCCATTCCTCGATAGCGCTGCGTCACATTCCGCCTTATGAGATTAATATGTGCCTCCACAGCAGCGTCTGACAGGATCCTTATATTGTTGGGGAAGGTAGACCAATCGTGCGTGGGATGCACACGTACATGATTGGCATCCAACAACGATGCTGGAAGAGGGATATTGCCAAGCAACGAAAGAGGCTTTTCCGTGCATTCGATGCCAAAGCATCGATAGAATACCGTCCAACCTCGCTTTACAAGCGTTAAATTATTGCTGCCATCGTGTTGATGGCCGTGTATGCACGTTCGTGGACCATCACAGATGAATGAATAGAGCATACCGTATGGACCACGGGAGGTCACGTTGCCGGAGAATCGAACGTTCATGTCGAGTCCGTTGTTTTGCAACAAAGCCATCATTGCATCAGCAATTCTTTCGTGCTCGATTGATAGTGTCTCGTGACAAACCTCGGTGTTTTTTTCCGTTTGTATGTTTTCTTCGGTGTTTGGCAATTCGAGCCCACTCGCATTCTCGAAATCAGCACCGTTTGCTGACAGCTCTTGGATTCGATTGCTCGAAGTCGACACGAGGCCCTTTTTTGCCGATTTGCCGGCAGAATCATTGAGGAATCGGATCAACCATGATGGTGATGGTCGAATGTTTGTCTTTGAGGGTTGTGCGCACCAAGTGTAGTTCAACCCAATCTCGGGTGAACCTGGTGGGGCCAGAACGATGCCTCCATCCCCGCGCCCATCGAGTCCGTAATAACGGCCCTCATAGTCCACTCCAGCAAAACACTTTCCTGATCGGAGTCCGTCTTTGAGTGATTCACCATACGAGAAGTAGTAATGAAGGCCTCCGCTAGCAGAAATGGCCTTTAAAGTATTTGGTTCTCCGTTTTCCGCAATCAATCTATTCCAGAGGGGCATGCCAGCTTGGAGATCTTTCTCTGGTTTGTCTCGTGTGTCTATATCAAGCACGAAGATGTCCGAAATGGCTCCAGTCTTTATTGCCAAGAATTTGTATCTTTCTTTTTCAATCTTTTCCATGATGCGATCCCGCGCCATTCTCCAATCCGACGCCGTTCGTATTGCATGATTGCCCTTCGTATGCGGCATCGTTCCAAGAATCTCCTTTGATCCTTTGTCGGTTGCCTTAACTTTTGCGGGAACAGCGTATAGTCCTTCTTCTGCATACGCTTCTAACACATACACAATCGAGTTTGTTGCCATGGCTTTCAACAGACCAAAGGAGGTTTGGAGCCCCCTATACTTTCAACCCCAGAAAGTTTCGTTCGACATGGAACGCGGCATTCGACAAAGCCCACACTTGCAAAGACGTGTTGTTCAGTACGATCGAATCCAGGGGATAGCAATTTGTGCCTCGTAAAGTCGTTGTCTCGTCCGTCTGCTTGTTCTACTTCCTTTTGCGATCCGTTCTAAAGCCTTCTTCAAGAGAATTTCGTCCTTGTGTACTTGATAGTAGCTCTTTGAATATTCTCTTTTCTTGGTCTGATGCTCGTCTTTATAAATGTTCGCCTCTAAACAAGCAGCACCATCGCAGATTTTCCAGCGTGCCGCCCAGGTGCCGCAAGCTGCCGGCGGCAGTTACGGCACATGCCGTCAGGGTGTGCCGCTCCGGCAGTCATCGAGGT